CCCCCGCGCGCGCCGTGAGAGGGGAAAATTCAGTTGCTTTGACGATTTTCCACGACAGAATCGAAAAATATTTCACCAACACACGCCCAGACGTCCAAAATATCGAATGATGAGAGGCAAAAGGAAGACTCGCAGTTTGCTATAAAGCCATAAATAAAAATATTTTCGTCTTCTCGCTCGCTCGTACGGTCGTGAAAAACCACCCCCAAAATCCACAGCCCGCCAACGAGGGAATGCGGTAGGAAGAAAGTAAATCGCAGCTATAAAAAATCTATCAAACTTTGCAATAAAGACATATAAAGCCTCACTCTCTCTCATTTGCGGCCCCTGGAAAATTTTCTTTGTCATACTTTTTCACTCTTTACAAATTGAGTGAAACTTCAAAGTGTCACTCAATTGCTGAGGATTGTCGAAAGTAGATGAATTTCCCATCAAAAATATTGAGAAAGAGAGCTTCAATCGCTTTTTTCCCCAATTTTAAAGCGCATTCTTTACAAATTGTAGAACTTCAAGCTGAAAGAGGTCGTGAAAAGACGCACGAAAAGCAGAAACACTTGCCAAATGGTGTGAATTTTCTCTGACTTGAGGAATTACTGGAAATTTATTCTCTTAAAAATCGATGAAAGTACATGAGAAAGTGGAAGTATATTGAATTGCAATTTTCTCTGTCATGCCCACCCTCAAAATTGGGCATCGTTTTCACTTCCACCCTACAAATTTTCCGACTGTCTCGCTCGTGGGTAGAAAATAATAAAATTGCCATATCATCACAGGCCATCCTCGAAATTTGTACCATAAAGAACTCAATCGCGATCCGTTTATTGCTCACCGGACACTCTCCAAAACCCCCTGAGGGTTGGTCGCAACCCTCATTATTTGCTTTTTTCCAATACTACTCTGTATTGCTATCTCAAAAATCCCTCTTCGCTTTTATGATTCACTTCTTCCCTTCATTATTTTCCTACCCTGTCCCGGCCGAGCTGCTCTTCTCGCACTCTTTTTTTTTCTTCTTCTTTTCACCGCGCGCGCCAAAAAAAAGCCAATTCCGCCCCCGCGTCACAGGTAGGAATGGAAATGCCGGGAAAAGTTGCGTGATTAACTGCCCTTTTTTTTTGGGTGGGCTCAAAAAATATTTGAGAGCAAATAAAAATATTTCAATATTTATAATGATTTTATTATTGCAATTGAGAAAAAAAGTACTTTCGTGTTTGAAATATTTTAACGAAAATGCTACATTATTGCGCCACCACAGCGTGCAGAAGGTTTTTGTGGAGGAGGAAAAAAAGGTCAGAAAGGAGTTGAAATTTCATGATTTAAAGCGATCACTACTATTTGTGGGCAAATAAAAAGTGACGTGCTTGAATAAATTTCCGAGAAATGTGGAATCTATTAAGTAATTTCCTTCGAAATTCTCCAGAATAAAGGAGAACATATGAAAATTAAATTAGTCTAAATGATGAATAGAATTACCCTTGATTGGCTTTTCAGCCCAAATATAAGATATATAACCTTCAAAAATGGTTTGATAGATAACACTAGGGAACAAATTTCTGCTCTTTTATGAAATGTGGTTTTTTTAGATTCCATTTTCCCCTATTTCCCCCCACTTTGCCACACATATGTGCTCTTATCTCGCCCAATTTTCCACAGATTTCCCCCAAATTGAGCTCAAATGATAGATATTGAAATTATCTACAACTTTGTAAAACATTGTAGGATCTTTAGATCACTCCTTGTCGATGAAAAACAATTCCTTGTACACTACTCGGTTAAAAATTCGTCGGTTTTTTGAACACGTTTTACTAAATATCTCCAAAACGAAAAAAACTTCTATGCCAGATTATTTTTCTTATGTGTAGAGCACTTCTAGGGCCACATTTCCCTCATACAAGTCAAAGTGATATTTCTTCTCCATCTGCCTGAAAAGCAGGGTTATTATAATCCCATAATTCCAAAGTTATGTTTTCTTTGATATATGAAAGTAAGCAATTTTTTAAAAATGTATTCAAGGTATAAATCTTAATTTCACTGGAGTTGGAACAAAATAATTTTAGTATGTAAATTCACTACAGATTTTCATCAAAATCAGAAGAGAATTGAAAATAGCATGTGATAAAATAGGAATTAACTTCAAAACAAAATTTCTTGGTATGTGAAATTCGAATATCCAACTGTTCATGCCTAAAGGACGATAAAAATTATGAAGTAAAACATGCAAATTAACAGGAGTACAACATTGTACTTCAATACACAAGAAAGCACAAAACATTTTCAACAAATTACCCCAAAAACGCACACCGAAAATGTGAGGAAGAAAGAAAGAGAGAAAAAGGGGTGGATAATTTCACTCATTGAGTTCACTCAATAATTCAATTGATTAGAATGAAAATCAGTCAATATTTTACACTTTGGTTGAAACTTTTCCTCTCTGTGTTTAAACAGCAATTTTTGAAGCACGAGTCGAACGCGTTGCACGACATCATACATAATTATTAATGAAAAGGGGAAGAGAATCCACCCACTGCTCTCACACTTTCTCCAAAAGGGGGTTGGAGAACGAGGGTTGGTCGTCGATTTGGGCACTTTTAGGATTCAAATTAAAATTTTCATGCTCGAACACGTTGCGTGTAATATGAAATTTTATATTTTTATAGGAGGCCAACAAATTCTTTCCCTTTGGCGCTTTTAGTGGCATTTCACCCTCTTTTTTTTTCTTGGTCAATAAATGAGCGCACATAGTGATGTGGAAAAAGTGGGGAAAGTGTGCGAGTGGCTCAACTTGACAATCCCACCATTGCTGTTTTTCTCAAAGACTTCACAAATGCTCGATGGATCATCGAATGTCGTGTCCGTGTTTCAATACATATATTTTCTCTGCAACCGGTAATTTTTTCCCTTAATAAAACACCCTCAGTTTTGAGCATTGCCAGTGGAATTCAATCAAACACAATTTACCACAGAACATTTGAAGTTTCAGCGGTGATTTTGAAATGAAAAATATTAAATCAATTCCCACTAAAACTGCGGAGAATGTTAAAGATGTGTTAGAGTAGTTTAAAGATTTTGATTTTGACGATGTGTTAAACTAATTTTTACCACCTAAATGCGTAATATTAACCCAAAAGAATGTATTTTCTACAACAAAAACCAACAATTGATAAGTAAATGAGTTCAATTTATTGCCACAATTCATGACAAATTTTAAGATTTCTTCAACGATTCTGTATTTCCCATAAAATAAGCCATTTTTAATATGATCTCGTTGCTGAGTTTGTTTTAAATAATGTGTAAAAAGCATTGAAAATTGCAAAAACGAATCAATCTGTGATTGTGATTCTGATTTTCAGGCGAAAACATGAAAAATATTTAAAATAAATTTTTTTTATCACGGATTTACCAAATTTAAACTCGTATTTCGTAACATTCCTTAGTTTTAGTGAGAATCATTCCATATATCGATAGACTAATTAATAATTCTCAATAAATTCTCTAAAGGACTTTATAAAATCCTGAACGTAAAATGAGTTAAACAGAACAGATGAGAAAGTATTTGTGGAGAATTCGATATTTGCTCAAAATCTTCTATTTTTTGCCATATGGCGAATGATATTAACTCGAAATATTTTCGCGTTATCAGTTGATATTCATAAAATATTCCAGGTGTGAAATAATTCCAACAGTTCGTAAAAATATCGAATTTACACAAAGAGTGCATAAATCTGAGCAAATGATATGAAATTCTGCGGAAAAGTGTCGGAAACTTTTGAATATTTCGCACAATTTGGCATTTATCAAATGCTGGAAAACCCTCAAAACACACAAACAGAACAACAATTGGCGATATTGATGAGAGGTGAAATTATTGATTGTAGTTTGGAAAGTGGAAATTGAGGCGAATTCGGTGAATTGCATGATTTGTAGCGCGTTCAAATTGCGTGGCGATCGAGGGTGAGTTGGAAACCAACACAAGTGAATTTCACTCCCCCTAAAAATTCACTTTTAAAGGAAAATTCGATGATACTTCTGTCTCAGTCTCGCAGCCGCTCTCGCAGCATTTTCGCCTCACTCTCAGGACGTCTCACTCTGGGCACAGAAGGAGAAAAGCCGAGAGACTTTCCCCCATTCGTGAGTGCGTATTGAAAAAGTTGCAACTGTAGAGAAGAAGAAGAAAAGAAAAAAAATGCGGAGAGAGAAGAGAGAAAATTCTCGGCCAAAGTCCGGCCATTGGAAAATTCGAATCTCTTCGGATGATGAAGATGAAAGTGAAAGAGCGAGATAGTGTGTGTGTGAAGGACGAGCAATAGAGCCTCCTTTCCATTGCGCTATTTCACTCCTTTTCACTCGCATTGCCCTTCATTTTTCACTTTTCACTCTCCCTTTCGCACTTTTCCTCTCAACTTCACAGTGGAAAGTAGTGGAAAACCCCTCACGAGAGCCACCCCCGCTGCTGTATGTGTCAGAACCGAAAAATTTGCAGGGCCAGAGCGAGAGGGATGCTTTTTCCCCAAACACCCAGAGAGACACACAACTTCACTTTCGAGGGATAATGAAAAAATATTAAAAGAAAAATGTATTGATTTTTCTTCTTCGGAGGGAGGTGGTGAGAGATGGCAGGGGATTGTGAAATCAACCGACTCACACCCTCTCGACATGCGAGATTTCTCTCCACCATCTTTCTCTCTTCCCTGTGTACTTGTCTTCGGGACATTCGGATGAAGAGATGAATTTTCTCACTCGGAAAAAAGTGATGCTTCGCCTCCCATTCAAGTCCACCCCCCGCCAAAATTCTTGGCCACCCAAAACAGGTATTATTCTAGTAAGATTCTGTGCCTTCTGTGCCCTGTGAAAATTCAACAACCGCACATATTTTCCTTAAGGACTCAAAACTCTCCCCCAATCTTGGCAAATATCCACCAACTTGTGCCAAAATTCGAAGCATTCCGGGCGCTGGAGGGGCAGAAATATGGCTAACAGAAGTGAAAGAAGCTGCAAAAACTTACAGAACTTCACAAGATGTTCACCACCTTATCATACCGACACAAAACGCACGCTAGGGATGTAGCTGCTGCTACCTCGCGGACGCGACTTTTCTGACTGAACACTAAGGCTGCCGAGAGGTTGGCATGAGCCGAGTCTTCCCTCCTTCGGCCACCCTCGCACTCATCCACCCTCCGCAGCTCGAATCACTTTCACTTGCCACTGTGTATGTGACGCCGGCGTCTAGCCACAGCGGTTCTCCCTCTCGCACCCTCACTCGTGCCGTCCTTCTCTTACCGCTGCGCTCACGCACTCGCCGCACGTCCTTATCACTCCCGCACTCTGCGCCCGCTTGTTTACCTCGTCCTCAGAATGCACTCGCAGGAAGTCCGCAGCGGGCGAGAAGAAAGAGACTCCTTCTTGCCCTACTTCTTCAGTTTGTTAAGGAGCAGTGCTTCTCTTCGTTTTCAACACAAAATGCTAACATCTCAAAGTTGAGACCTTCAAAGCTAATATTTTCGCAAAGATCTTAGCAATTCGTGTAAGTATTAGCGATCCAAAGATGTCGCATCATGCAAAATCATACCTTTTTGATGCAGATTCGTCATGATTAGAATAGGGATCATATAATATGGAGATCAGTCGGGAAAATAAGGGTTGTCAGATTGAGAAAGGTGACGAAAAAAACCAAACGTGAGTGAAAAAAGCGGAGGAAAAAGTGAAAATGAGAGAGAAAAGCTGTAAGTTGTCTTGAGTAAGACAGAGTTAAAGAAAGATTTGAACTGCAGGATTAAGAAGGAAGGTAGGAATAGAAAGAAAAGGATTAGTAAGAGAATGACTAAGAAAGTCAAGTTAATTGTATAAATAGCGTCAAATAAGAGAAACCGGACGAAGGAAAGTCCATTGAAGTTGGACTTTTCGTTTCTTTGCTGAAATCTGACCAGAAAAAGCAAAGAATTCAGCAAAATATTAGACGACAAATGGCAGAAAACTTGATGATTGCTAAGAAATTAGCTAAGAAATGTAAAAATTGGCTCAACATTTTATTTTAATATTTTCTGTATTTGTAACACTATTGATTTTCTTCTATCGTCCGCTGCGATCGCTGACCGAGAGCTGCTAAAATATGAGCTCAGACATCTTAGCTTTTTTTAGCTTTTGTGGTTCACTGAGTTAATTGACCCGAGATGATCATTTACCTTGCTAACCTTAGAAAAGTGCTCTTTAAAACATGTCCAATGCGTCATGAAATACAATTCTACTAATTTTCTTGGAAAGAGAATAAAAAAATGTCTTCAACAGGAATTGTGTTTAGAATAATTCTTCTTATTCCTGAAATTTCCATCTTTATTTTTCGTCTTTTTACACATTTCAAAACTTAATTAATTTTACAACAACGCATAGTGTCGAAAAAGAGAGAAATATGTAAAATATGCTTTGAAATATGTGACCTTTCAATGCCGATCGCTTTGGAAAAGATGTCACGAAATCGCTGACTTGTTGACCTTGTAATGCACTCAAAACCCTTTTCAAATTAGTGTAAAAATACGTCTTTTCCACAGCAAAAATGTCCACCGTATAAGAAAGCGAAACAACCGATAGAATTGGCTCAAGAATCCTGCAAGATTTCTTGTGATTCTGCTGCAGTGAAAAATGGCCCGCGGCGCAAATGTTACTCAGTTGCGGCTCACCTTGACTCCCTTCATTGCCTGCAGTTGGCGCCACAGTCACTCCACTGTCACTTCGCCCGAAAGAGAGAGTTTCAGAAGAACTCCCGTCGTGATATTTCCCAGGGAATTGCGATTGCAATTAGTATATCTTATCAGGTGCTGATCAGCAGACGTCTCCAGTCTGCCCATCATTCTGCAGATAAGTGTCTTAGCTGTTGGTTGTCTTCTGGCCGTCAAGATGAGTCTTCGTCTGCCGCAAACACTGTCAATCATCTCCAGGTACGTCCGGAAGGTGCCTGTGAGATCCTCGACGTTCCCGCGGAGATCCTTGGACACCAGCGTCAAGGGACTCTCCACAGGACTGCCAAAGTTGGACAAGGAAGAGTGAGTATTTTGTGTCGCTGCGCTCGGAATTCCTTCACACAATTGTGTTTACGTAATCTCAACTTTTTCACTCTCCGTGATTGAATTTCTGCTGCTGTCTTTGGGCGCCTCCGTGGATCCGCCGGGCAGAATTGACGTGACATTCGTGAAGGCGAATGGGGAGCGGATAAAGACCAAGGCCAAAGTGGGGGACACTCTCCTGGACACTGTGGTGAACAACAGTATCGACCTGGAGGGATTCGGGGCGTGCGAGGGAACGCTCACTTGCTCCACGTGCCATCTGATCTTCAAGCAGAGCGACTTTGACGATCTGCCGGAGAAGCCCAGCGACGAGGAGCTGGACATGCTGGATCTGGCCTACGATCTCACGGACACGTCGCGCCTAGGCTGCCAAATCACCCTCAGCAAGGCCATGAATGGCCTCGAGGTGCAAGTTCCGGCCACAATCAACGACGCCCGGAAATAGCAGCGACTCCAGGATCTGCTGGACAGCAGAGTTGCCAGTAACAGGAATTCAATGAGCTATGAAGGATCAACATCCAGATCAACAGACTTACCTCTCTCAGCGACCAACTAATCCAATGGGAAGAAAACCACTGATTTTCCTCCCTCCGGAAGAAGATCAAGTGTTGAGTGCAAAAGAAAACTTTATTTTCAATCGTGTTAATTCACTTTATTTGACCATTCTTTTTGTTATCAGTGAATATAGAAAATACTTTTTATTACAAGAAAAAAAAATCACTTGCTTTGCATTCTGGCTGCTGTGCAGATTCGCCGACGATCCTCAGTTGTGTGGAAAAAGATCCTGCAAATATCAGCTTACCTTTGGCGCTGTGTTCCCTCCCAAACAAAAAAATAGTCTTGCTGTAACCTTGCCTAAATTGTGTTATCAATTCAAGGGTCGACTGATAAACTCATGATTTTTCATCTCTTCATACGTTCACTTTATGTGCTCAAAAGACTTTTTGTAAAATTATTACACATTCTTTTTCGAACGTGTAACAACAGAAGTGCACTTTTATTTATCAGCGATGGAAAAAAGCTGAAATTCATCCTATTTATCGATTTTCAAAATGTTTCCTTATCACAACAGAAATTTACTGATTTCATTATCACATTACTGCAAATCATAATGAAACAGCGAAAACCAACTTTTTTGTGCAGATTAATATAGAAAAAGTGTGTAATATTTTACTGAAAATGACTGAATAATTATTATCAACTTCAATCTCCGCTTTCCATTTGGGTTCGTCAAAATTGAAGCACATTTCAATCAAATAAAACCTCATAGAAAATTGCTCGTGCCTGAAATAATATCCATTTCTCCTCTGGTCACAAAAGTACAACAAGCAAAAGCACATAATATAGTGCTGAAGAAATTTGTTAACTTGTGATGCAAGTGAGCAAGAAAAATGCCTCAACTTGGTGAACGTACAAACAATCAATTATGTAATATGTTCTCCTCTCATTGAGATGAATGAGATATTTTCACCAATTGAAAAATTACTTCTTGGCTATACGCAAAAAAGCCCCAAAACGCCACCCACTCAATTGTGTGTGTGTAGAAAATGATCTCTAAATATGTTGCTGCTTGTGCGAATTCGTGACGTGAACATTTAATGCCATTTCGCTGCAGTGAATAAGCAATAATTGATGTTCAAGTGAGGAAAAACATTCAATTTCACATGTTGTTTCCAATGACGAAACGTCATCTTTTTACTCTTTTTATCAATCAACAAGTGCTTCGAAGATAACCATTTCTTCCTACTTATGAATTTCCCCATTCTTCCTAATTGCACCGCTTATGCAACAATTAAAAACATTGTGTGTATATTATTATGTGATTTACACAGTAATATTTTGATTTGAACTATTTAGTATTTCTTCATTTTTCCATACAATTTTTTTTTCACTTCTATATTATTCAATTGAAAAATGTTTCTTTTCAATGTTTATGGAAGGAGAATTTTTTTTTGTATCATTGCTAAGAATTAAAAGTAACTTTTCCCATTTCAACAAGCGAATCGAAAAGTATGAAAAGTCAAAATAGATATTTTTCACTCGCGATTTGAGATCATTAACTTTGTGATTATTCGGTCATTTCTTAAATTTTTAAAAATATTGATTTATATTATTTATTTTGATAATATTATTGGCTTACTAACTTTGGCAATAAATAGTGAACTCCTCAAAGGTCAATTTCGCCTTTGAGAAATAAAATCGTAACTACTTTATGACTTTTAAACGTAAAAAGCTGATGCAAAACTTGACTCTCGAGTTCAAATTTTTTTCTCTCCTGGCCAGGATCACGCCAGGAAGTCATAAAGTGTGAAAATATGTGAGAAACGAGAGAATATTATATGAAAAATGCGATATTTGGCGTCCCAGTTCAGTTGATTTCATCGATATTTATTGAAATTTTTGACTAAAATATGGCAAATTTATTAGAATTATTGAAAATATTAACTTCCAAAGTTGATTTTTAACAGTCTTCGAGTACATTTCAAATTTTCAAAGGTTCCACAGGTGGAAAAATTTTAAAAATAAGAAAAATATTATATTATTTAATTGCCAAAGAATATTTTAAGAAAATCTTGAAAATATACAATTAATTATGTTTATCAAAGAAGCATTTTATGCAGCATTTGACTGGAGTTTGAGACAATTTTCTTAGAAAAAAAGATACGAGAAATAGTCGACTTTTCATAATTAATTTACTCAGCAAAACATGAGAATATTTTCCATTTTAGTTATTTTTATAGAAAGAATTTTTTAATATTGCTCCATTAAACACAAATCTCAACAAATTTTATTGTTTTCAATTCAACCATATTGAAATCAACTTCAATAAACAATAAATTATAGTTAATTATTACTTCTTTTGCGTTGGATTTTCAGCAATCGTGATCAGATGCGAAAACCGCTGTCGAAAAGACGACGCAAAACATTCAGTGCTTTTGTATTTTTCATTCGAGAGCAGAAGAAGCAAAAGTTTTTCAATGACCCTCGATGGCGCGGCTTAAGGAAATCCTTTAAAAAAAATGATGTTATCTTTGCGACGAATTCAAGTAAGGAATAAGAAAAGATGCTGTAGAAGATCTCAAAGACAGAAATTCACTCTAAATTCTGTTGTGACGAACTGACTCTTCTTCAGATGGTTTCTATTCACCAAACCACACAACATTTCGGATCAGAGAGAGAGAGAGACAGGAGAGAGAGAGAAAGAGAGTCTGACAGTGAGAATTGCCAATTGTAAAGTTTTTAAAAATAATGCCTTCGACGCGCGCGCGAGAACTTTGCTCTGCTCAGCGCGATGGCATCAATCAAAACAACAACAAAAAAGTGGGGAAGATCTGTGAATTGAGAACAATCAAAGTGGCGTAAAAAGAGCCTCGCAAAGCATTTTTTAAAAGTTTCATTAAAAGAAAAGCCAGAAAGTGACTTTAAATTTAAATTTATTTGTCAATCTCTGTTGATTGAAGAGCGCCAAATGTCTTTGACGCTCTTCCTTTCTTATTTCTGTTGCATCTGCTTAATATTCAAATGGGCTAAATTAGTGACAATAAATTGAGATTAATTTACTCTTCGAACGATCATTCCTCTGGTTTGATTATTTCTTATATTTTGTATAGTTGTTTCATTTGTTTTCTTTTTTTCTCTTTTTAAGTAAGTTATGCTTAAAATATTTGTCAATCTTTACTCTGAAGAACTCAAGTTTTACAAGAACAAGAAAGTAGTTTCTTTCATCCATATTTATATGCATGCTTTTTTTGTCTTTCTAAAATTATTAATTGGATTTCGAACAGTGTTTTTAAAAGTCATTAAAACTCAAAATCCGAACATCCACAAATAGTAAAAAAAAAATCTACAAAGTTATCAATATCGTTAAGTTTGAGGAATAAAAACAAAAAAAAATGTCTTATTCCATTTCTATCTTTTTTCTTCTCTTTTTTTCAAACTTTAAGAGATATTTTTGCAAAGATTTTCTTTTCATTTTTTTTTACTCTTTATCATTATCAAAATCAAAAGACAAGAATTCTATTCAAATCTATCTTCGAGTCAGACAGGAATTTTCATTTATTTTCCTTTTTCATAATTCTTTACTCTTGTTTTCTCTTTTTTACTAATTAAATTTCACATAAATCTTAATGTATAATATTTTAAATATTCTCTTAAGGGGTTATTATATATTTTTTCTTCCTTTTAATGTTATTTAAATCCAGTAAAAGTTCCTTTTATTCACTTTCAAAAGATCGACACAAAAATTGTGTGTGTTTTTTTATGAACCTCGGCAAATTAATCTTTTATCAACTTTTTCTTGAGGTATAAAAACTTTTACTTGGTTTTTCAAAAGCAAAAAAAAAGATTTTTTCATGAGAAAATCTCAATTTATTTAATACAATTGGTAATAATTTTCATGTTTCAAAAATTGAAAGTCATTTTGAAAGAATTTACACACAAGTTATTTAAGTTTTAATATTTTTTCCACAAATATTCTGTGAGATTTCTCTCCATTTTGCAAACATTTGTAGCATATGAATTTGTTGAAAGACATGAATTTTTTTTATGTTGTAAACTACGTTCATTTAACATTACAAAGATAAGAAAAAGAGGCAAATTAATGTCTTACATAATTGCGGATTATTGTTAAATTTATCGGTCTTTTGTTCCTCCTTTTTTCGGGGGTTGATCCGATAAGAGAACTAAAAAAGTGAGAGAAAAAATCCTGTTCTCAGTGTGTCTCTCTCATGTTTCCACAGCTCATTCAAGCTCTCTCGGCTGTTCTTAATTCTTGGCTGTTTTCTTTTTTTGTTGCAAACTGTGTGATTTTATGCAAAACACACACACACAAGAGAGAGAGAGAGAGAGAGATGCATGGAAAAACTATTGAGTTTTTCACTCTGACTCTACTCGCCATTTGGCTTCGATTCAGCATCTGTGCCATTGGCATTGTCCGACTCGACCAATGTTTTCTCAACAATTTTCTCCTGCAAAAACAACAAACATTTGTTCATTTGTTGGTGGAAAAAAAAACTATTCCAACTCTATCAAAATTATTATTATTCTTATTATTATTTATCAAATTCTAGAGAGAGAGAAAAATCAATTCATATTCACTGGGCGTGGTTTTTATTTTATTTGATAATGGCAAAATAGAGGAAAGTTTAGAGTGTAAAACAGAAATATTCTCGACTTATAATGGCAAAATAACAGAGAATAACAGCAATAGGAAAGAAAATAAACTACATTTTCCTTCACTTTGGATTGCGAATTTCCATTGTGAGCATTTTAAGGATATACTTAAATTCGTCGTTGAACAACAACTCTTCCCCATGGATTTTCTCAGGTCAAAATAGTGGTGAATTTGGGCAGTGAATTTTTAGTGAATTTGAGAGAGGGTGAAAAAGAATTTATCTATCAGTCACGGTGATTCTCAGTTTTCTCTATCAATTTGTTTTCATTTATCACATAGAAAAGAACGACGAGTGAGTCGAAAACTATCAAAAGTCAAAATCGCAATTTTTCCGTAGAGCAAAAATAAAATTTAGCTTCAATATTGTTGCGAAATTTGTCAAATTTACCTCAAAACGCCTTCAAATCGTCCGTTAAAGTGCAAATATTGCTCTGTATTTTTTATTTTGTAAATACTTTAGTTGATTTTATTGATATTTAATGAAATTAAAAAAAAATATGGCAAAATTAATGGAAAATCTGAAAATATTACTCTTCAAAGTCGATTTTATCCAAACGAATTCTAAAAAAATCAACTTTTTCCTACAATTATTGATCTTTTCCTTAATGTTTTCAAGTGAAAAAATTTAATAAAATATGAGAAATATTCATTCAAAGTGTAAAAAACATTTTAGGATAATTCTGATCATCTATAATTATTTTCTTAAAGGCGTTTTGTGCATTTGATTGCAATTTTTGAGACATTTTTCTTTTCATTCGCAAAACATGACGATTTTTTTTCCATTTGTGCTTATTTAGATAAATAAGATTTTTTCTATTGTCTCATAAGATGGAAATCTCAAAATTTCTCTACATAAAGAACAGCTAAAGAGCTTTTCAAAAATTCACAAGACGCAAACTACGATAAATGGACTTTTCATCGTTTTCCATTCACCCGCCGAGAAACCCTTTCAAACAATGCGTCAAGTGTGCCTTGACAACGCCTTTGTGATCTTTTTCTCATACTTACGCATCCTGCGAAAGCGCGCGCGCGCGCGCCTCTGTGCGTCTGGCCAGAGAGAGCACAGAGACCGGGATTTGTGGGCTGCATTACTGTGTGGAACTCACCTGGCTGCTCTTGTTCTTGCTGTACTCCGCCTTGGCGGCATCGTAGAGCGCCACGAACTTGTCGCGCTCAGTCTTGAAACACGCGAACAACTCGTCATTGCGATTCCCCTTCAGCTGATTCTGCAGATCCTGCTTCTTCTGGTGCTGGTCGCGGATCTCCTGCGTCACCCACGGCTCCTCCAGCGGGTACTGATTCTGTGGCTGGTTGTTGGGCTTTTTCGTGATGCCGGGCTTCATCTTGCCCTTGGCTTTGGTTGGCTTGCGCTGCGTCTTCTGGTTGGCATTCTGCTGCCGCCGCATGCGATTGCCGCCCACGTTGCCGGCGTTGGGGCGGCCGCCGCCGCCCATCAGGGGGCGCGGCGGGCCCATGCCGCCGGGCATGGGTCGAGGCATTCCTGGCATGGGCGGCCACTGGCCCATTGGCGGCGGCATCGGCGGTCCGGGCCGCGGGCCGAAGCCCATGAAGCGCCCGTTCATGGGCGGCGGATGGAAGGGCGGCATGTTGGGGCCCATGGGGTGGGGGTGCATGCGGGGCGGCATGGGGCCGCCGCGGAAGGGCGGGCCCGGCGGCCCGGGACGCTGATTCATGCTGGGCGGCGTCGCTGGCGGCATGCGCGGCTGCTGATTGCCCCAGCCGCCGCCGCCCCCTCCGCCGCCCATGCTGCCGCCCCCGCCGCCCATCTGGCCGCCGCCCTGCGGACGCTGCAGCGGCATCTGCTGGCGCCGCCGCTGCGGCTGCTGATTCTGCCCCATCGGCCGCTGGTTCTGCTTGCGCTGCATCATTCCGCCCGAGACGCCGCCCAGCTTGCCCTGCACCTTCGACATGCCGCCCGGCTGGCCGCCGCCGCCCATCGGCGGCCGGATGGCGGGCTCGTTGAAGTCCATGTATCCGGGATTGTCCATCATTTGGTTGGCATTGTAGTTGCTAAACATGGCGACGCCACCCATGTTGGGTCGCATGACGCGCTTCTGCACGCCCTGCTTGAACTTCTGCACATTGTTCCTCTGCTTCTGCGGCGGCCGACGGCGCTGATTCTGGGCCTTTGCAGCTGCCATCGCGGACCTAAAGCACCTCTTAATGCAAGAAAAATGCCTGGAAAATTCCACACCACGCTCTGACTTTCAGAGAAAAAAAATGACAATAATGACACCAAAGCCCGGCTGAACAGTCGCCATGCCAAGTGCTTTCACAAACATGTCACAATATTATCACGGATTTTCCGAGAAACAGAACGGGAGTGAATTAAGCATCAAAGAAGTTCTCGTAAACTACAATTGTGTCTTTATCTTCATTGAAAGAGTGTGATGATTGTGCAAATACGGGAAAATATTCCCATCTTGATTTTAGTATATTTCCAATTGCGCCTATTCCTATGCAAAGCCTCGACGTGATATTGATTTGCAATGTGTTTGCTGGTGCTCGAATTTCAGTCACTCCGAAACAGCAATAATGCCCAAATAACCTACAAATTTACGTAAACACCAATGAAAACACACAGAGATTCGCGTATTTTTCAGTAAATTATGGATTATCAGTGTGGCTGTGAGAATAATTATCTCTTTGTGAATCCTCTGTGTCAATTAGAAACGTTGGATCAGTTGGAAGTAATCTTAGAGGCAATCATCAACGGAGAAAATGACAATGCTGAAGAATCTTTGGTAGTGCAGAAGAAAACAAACCAGATTCCGAGCTAATTCTTTTCTTATTCAGGCAACAATTCAGGCTCTTCTCAGTTCGATGACTTCTACTATTCCGGGGGATTTCATCTCTTCTCTCCCCATGGAAATTCCCAGTGATGCTGAGGAAATGCCGTATTGGATAGAGAATCCCTTTCTCAAAGACGCTTTCAAGGATCATCAGCTCACTGAGCAGATTTCCGGCTGTGAAAAATGCACAATCATCAACCCCAAAATCTCCGGCGCACTGAATTATGGCTTTTTCCTGCTGTGCACGCGACAGTACAAGGAAACTGAGCTCATCCGGAAGATCATTTATCTTCTGGCGCCTTTTAGAAAACGACACAAGGAAATTCCGCAGTTTTACAGCACAATCTGGAAGTTTGCATTCGAGAGAAAGCTCTCTTCGTCTCTGTACGAGGATCTCATGCTCTTTCACTCTCATCCCGTGGAGGAAATGCTCGATAATCTCATTGCCAGTCTTGAATTCGATGAATATGCTTTCGTGACGCTACATTTGGATCTGAAATATCAAGAATTGGCAGATTATTCGAAGAAATCCAAGAGAATCTTCAACTTTATCCTAGATTCCGTCGTTCAGAGGTTCTTAGTATCGAGAAAAGTGTTCTTCAGAGATTTCCTGACTCACTTCATTGAGTATCTGAAGAATCTAGTTCTTCCGACAAACTTTATCAATATGTTTAGAGATATTTTGTATCCTTTTGCAGCCTTTTTCGTATACAATTACAATAATAACAAACGCCTCGTGAGATATATTGAAGAAATGCGAATTAGTGATTACAAAATGTACGTGGCTCTTGGGCTGTCTTTTAAAAGATACCATTTCCTGACTGATGAATTAATAAAATAGATTTTAGGACTGGATTTAGTCTGGAATTCGTTACAGTTCAAATGCAATTCGTTGAACTCTTTTCTAGCAGTTCGTGACGTTTTCGCTGTTTGCGCTCCGGAAAACATGAGCAGCGCTTCCTCTGTGTTTTTGTGCGTTTTTCTGTGAAATACCACAATTTTCTTGTACATTTTTCTAGTGAAAAGCCCACAATGGCCCATCCTTCGGTCGATCTGGTGGAAGAGGACGCTGCGGATCTGCAATTTCCCAAAGGTAGGAAGTGGCAAAGGTTTTGGAGGTTAAGATTGTGTTTATGTTTTCCGCGTTTGCAGGTAATGTTTTCCCGGAATCCCTGTCCTTGACCACTTCTTCCTCCGTTCAGACGCTGTGCAATTACTGCTGCGTGAGTCTCTCTGAGCCATTTATTGAGTGTGTCGATTGTCGTGAGATGTTTTGCCTCTCGTGCTTCTCCAGCGGCGTTGAGACGCAATGTCACAGGAATTTTCACTCCTACACTTTCCGGCGGGATGATTTTCCCATCTTCCGCGAGTCCTCGTGGACGGGAAGAGAGGAAAAATTGCTCCTCGATACAATAATGAAGTGTGGATTTGGTAATTGGAGTGATGCAAGCAAATTTCTGGACAAATACTCGAGCATTGATTGTCGAAATCACTATTTTAACTTCTATGCCAAGGGATTTGTGGGCAAAATGAGTGGAATTGACGTGGATCCGTATGAGAGAAGGCATTGTCCCTATTGGGCCAGGAGGGAGAGTGCAAAATTGGTGAGATTCCTGCCAGAAGAGTTGCACACAAAAACCCTCGCCGGCTATTGTGCGACGCGAGGAGAATTCGCCGTTCCCTATGATCACACGGCGGAAAGAAGCCTGAATCTGATGGACACAGAACCGTGGACGAATGACGAGGACACAAAGTCTGTCGAAGAGCTCAATTGCGGCGTCTTTCGCGCATTCAACAATCGCTTGAGGTAGGAAAACAGGAATTGTGTGAAGAGTGCAAATTCTCAAGGATTCACTGACTTTTCAGGGAACGTCATCGAAGATATCGGATTATTAGGGATCACGGACTGCTGGACTTTGAATCTTCGGCATCTCAGATCAGAGACATTGAGGAAATCTTGTTTGCCAGAAAGTTTTCCATTGAAGAAGCGACGAATTCAATCAGATTCGGTGTCTTTATGCAATTGCTGTCGGCTGAGTCATTTGATCTGCTCGTGGCGGGTTTGAAGCACGCTCAAAACACCAAAATGTACCTCCATAGGCTGCACGAGTTGCGTCATCTCGGCATTACTTCTTTGCACGGTGGAAAACTCTACCACAAACTTCTGGCGGCGCGCGAAAAGCGGCGAAAGTCCGAAAAGACACACAAAGAGACGCTGGACAAGCTCATGTTCGCCCCTGGGCGAGACAGGAAGTACAATCCCATGCCAATGAACATAATCGGTCTGTCTGGCTATGAGAAGCTCTCAGAGGAGGAGAGAGAGTTTTGCAGCAATCTCAGACTCCAGCCGGATGTCTTTTTCACACACAGAGAGACTCTCGTGAGCGCCAATGCTGTGCTTGGATATTTGCCACTGTCCGAAGCGAGAAAACTCCTCAAGATTGACGTGAATAAGACGAGGAAACTCTATGATTATCTCGTGACAAAGGGTCTCATCGCGAAGCCACAGACATAATCAAAGAGAAAAATGTGAGAGAATCAACAGGAATACATTTACTTCTAACACTCTCTTTTCTCCGTTTTCTCCTTGCAGAGTTTGAGAATGCCGAAACACTGCTGATCAGCGAGGTGCACATGCTGTTGGACCATCGAAAGAAGCTCAACGAGTCGGCGGACGAAGAGCAGGAGTTCTCAGAAGTCTTCCTCAAGACCTACAGCTACACTGACATCTTTCGCAAGTTCAAGAACAAAGAGACCATCGCGGCCGTGCGCAGTTTACTGATGCAGAAGAAGCTGCACAAGTTCGAGCTGGCCGCTCTGGGGAATCTCTGTCCGGAGGCGCCGGAGGAGGCCAAGGCGCTGATTCCGTCGCTGGAGGGACGCTTCGAAGATGAGGAACTGCGACAGATTCTCGATGACATCGGCACGAAAAGGAGTTTGCAGTATTAGATGGTAATTCGCGCTCTTTTGCCTGGAATAAAGTGGAATTATTGCTAAGACAAAAATTGGATATTTACAAAATTTGTCGATATTCGCGAATGGTCGGATTTAATTGGAATTTTGACTTTTTTTTAAGACACAGACGAAGCCAGAATGAACTTGAATTCCGTGAAAATGCTTCAAAATTTCATGCCGACAAGGAAATGAAACCGAAAAGCGTTTAATTAAGAGTCAATTCATCAATATTTATCCCAAATTAGTGATTATAATGAGCTTAGAATGTTTTTCCTGTGAGAAATGAGAGTTATAATGTTGAATTTTCATTTAAAAAGCCTTTCCTGGGTTAATATTCAACATATTTCAGGCTATTCCGTTCTTTGATTTGAACTTTAATATTCCTTTTATTCTTAATTTGATATTCAGTTTTAGAAATCGTCAGTTAGATTAGTTAGAAAGGCTGTTAGAAGTTCTGATGATATTCTCTAAATGCAAATAGTTTATTTTCACGCTCAAATTCCTCTCTTTCCTGATCAGGATCATGCCAGGAAGTTAAAGAGTGTAAGAAGAGAAGGAAAGGAACGCGAAAATACGATATTAACAGCTTCCCAAGCGAATATTGTGGAAAACAAGGCGAAAACTGACGTTTTGGGCTTTTAAAGAAGTTCTTAGAGTTCTTAGAAGAAGATTCAAAAGCCAAGGATGAACATTAAAGCGTTAGAGAATGTTAGAAAAGATTCTATAGTAAAATGGATAAATTTCAGGGCTAAAAAAAATTATTTAGCGCGGGTTTTAGATCACAAATACGAAAATAAAGAAACGTTTTAAAGGACATAAAATTTTCAGCACAGGTTTAGTGGAAAATTGCGATGAGAAAAGAATATTTTTTGGCAGTTTATTAAAAACAAAAATGGCTGCAGAAAAGCCCTTTTCTGTACTCCTTTCATCTCTCATTTATTTCTTTTTATTTACGTCCTTATTGAATCAGGAATTTTTTTTACGATGAATCGAATCAATCTGGAGATTCCCAAATAAATTGCATCGCAATGCAGTCGAGATGCAAGATTCTGTGGCACTCAAAACCCACATTAGCAACTCCTTGAAGGTAATTTCCGTAATTTCAATGTATACTTTGATTGCATAGAAGTTTCTCTGCGCGCGCTGAATGAATGCCGCCAGATGGCTCTGCACGAGAGTTGACGTTTCCATTTCTATGGCGAGAGTGCAAATTTTTACTCCGTAAGAGAGACAGTCGGATTTTCCTGGCTTCAGAGTATTTTGTGATGTGAAAAGTAAACAACAATCTCAAGACGGTGTGCTTATTTGGCCAAGTGTGTGCCGAATTTGCTAAAACTCGTGTTTCTTATATGTCCTGTTAAAAGTGTGTTAAAGAAACTCTGTGTGAGTTTTTCCTGCAAATTTTCCAGCTTTTTCACATATTAAATTAATTATTGGTGTCTCTCTTGAGTAACTTCTTTTCCCCACTTCGACGCAAACACTTAAGTGATATGTCAGAAAGATAGTATTAACATCAAGAGATTTTACATGATTTTAGTGTGATCAAGAAGAAAAGCGACGAAATAAGCAATTTTCCACACATTATTGCACGAATCAAAGAGAGAAAACAATGGAGAACAGGAAGTTGGAACAAGGTAAGAAATTGATGCGGGAAAATGAAGCATTTCCAGTGAAAATTACAGTCGTGAGGCGAAACATCTTGACAAGCCAAATTTTCCCTGTACATTTTTCTGAACCTTGACCCACAAACTCAAATTTCTGTCCTCATAAATGCTAAAAGTGTTCAAGGCAAGGCTGACAGACACTATTTTGCACAATCTGGTCTAGTAACTTGGGTGTAAAACCGCCCATTTATAGACAAAGACTTGTACTTTGATTCCGGCTTTTTGCCACAGAATTTGCATGATCACTTATCGACCAAGAAAAAACAGTGTAGAAAGATTGATGGCAAAAGCCAGACAGCTCACGTTTTCATTGAGACAAAGAACTTCGCGGTGAATGATAAGAATTCCAAGACAAGGTGAAGAGATTCTCCTTGCTCTTGAAATACTTTCCACACTGCAGTGATTTTCCACATATTTCCCAGTGTGCAAATCAATACTAAATTGCCGCCAATTAAGAGCATTTTTGTGCCTTAATGTGGAGGGGAAAGAAAAAACTCCGAGAATGTCTCAAATCAGCTGATTTCCTGCGACGAGGTCAATGAAATTCACTCTACAATTCCCACCGTCTTTCCACCTTCATTTCCCACCTCGTGCATATCGGCGAAGGCACGACTCGATGAATCACTCGTGAAATGAACTTTTGCGTTGCGTCGCGATGACCGCAAAACCGTGAATTTTCCTGTAACAATTGCGCTAATTTCTTATCTGTGTGAATCTGTCACGGGATAATTTGTTGTGCAAGCAAAATTGTAGCGCAAAAATATTTATATTTTCACCCATTCAATTCGTGGAAAACACCCAAAACCAAACCATTCCAGTTATATTTGAAAAACACTCATGTTTGTCACATTTTCTACAATTCTCATCAAGGGGGAGATAATATGGCTGGCTGGTTAAAATCTGTACACATTTTCCTGTCTCTTCAGACTTCTTGGATTGTCTTTAAGACAATTCGATAGGAAATTCTCAATCAGAATTTGGATAGCTTAAAATTAGGCATTGTTAAGTGAAAATTTGAGGTTATGTTTGATTTTAACTCTCTTCGCTTTCAAAATCATGATTTGTATTGAGTGAAAATACACAAATTCACACTAATAAATTAAAATATTGTAGTTTAAAGTTCAATAATTGCTATTTTCAACTCTTTTCGTGTCTAATAAGTTACATAACCTAGAAAATATGTGTCAATATGAAGAATTTGTATGAAAAATCATTGATTTCTCAGAATTCTGTGAAAAGATTGGAATAAAACGATAAATGAGGCCAAAATCAGTGAAGCTTTACTTGATTTTTTACTTTTATTACCATGAAAATCAACAGAAAACTAACTGAAATCGACTAACCTAGAAAAATATATCAAAATTAGGACTTGGACAAAAATTAATAATAATTTCTGGGAGTAAAATAAATCAACAGAAAATCAAAGCTCAAATACTGAAAAGAATTGAAACACTTTCACTTCCTAAAACTTCTTCTGATCATGTACACCACTTCTGATCATATTATCTCCCCCTTGGCTCTGGTCACGAGAGATGAACGCAAAAGTTTTTCCAATATTCATCAAACCGAACATAAATTGAAGGCTTGAATTGAAGTTAATTTTGATGTTGTTCATTAATTGCACTCATTCGATGGAAATGAGCAATATGAGGAAATTGCACACTTTAATTTGCTCATACATTGGATCGAATACGGAAGTTTTCTTATCACAAACTTCTCTTTTATCTCCGCCACACTTGTGTGGAATTAAATGTCTCGCACAGTTTAGTGTTTACTTTACGCCAATTAGAAGAATATCAGAAATCTTCGGTTTTCTGTTTTGTATCCTTCACAATCTTTCTGTCTTTGTACATTTTGTGTGTGAAATTCTGCAAGAGAATGTGTGTTTTGCTGTGTGTAGATTGATATTTTGCCATATTTTGCTTCTCTGCAGATGAAACTGTGGCACCGGAAGACGACGAAGTGAGCAAACCTGTAATCCAAAGAAACACTTCTAGTGGCCTTAAGAAAAAGATGCCAAAAATTGGTGAGTAATCTTCCATGTGCATACGAATTTATGCCAATTAGGCGTTAAATATCCAAGATAACATCCACAATACAATAGAGTCAAGAACAAACCAATTTCCAACAACGCCTGAGCCGAGAGAGAGTCACTAAAATCTCGCCTCGCGCGTGTGTTTGTCGCGCCTTTCAATTGACCGTCAAGTGGCTGATGAAAAAAAAATATGGGAATGTTTTGAGATACACATTTTCATCATTTTCCATGAGCCGCAATAGTTGCAATAAAAGCCACCATGAAGTCGAGGCGCGAGAGAAATGAGAGTGACTGACGCACTTTTGCGGGTGACTCGCGCAAGTCTCAATTTGTTAAGTAATCAATATATTTTGAAGAGAGGCGAAAAACGCCACTCGTCAGTTTGCTGTGCGCATCTTAACACACTTGATCGCGAGCTTAAGACACCACAAGAGTGAAGTGAAGATTTTTCTACAGTGTTTCCGGGAAAGTCTCAAGCTAAAAAGGTTGATTCTCTGTTATAGACAAAAGCGCTTCAGTTTTTACTTTGTGCAAATCACACTTCAATCTTGCTCACCAGATGATTAATCCCTCTTGTTTCTCTCACAAACTTGGCCAACCATAAATCTTGCGCACTTTCAGTGACTCTTCTCGATGATTTTGAATGCCAATTTTTGTCCAAATTCACCAACAACGCAATGAAAAGGACGTGATAAGTGAACGCCAAAGCTAGCTTATAGGACAGCTGAGTGAAATTTTAAACTTTTATAACTCAGATTCAATTGCAGTGAGAAAAAAGTGTAACCACAATTTAGAAACGTGTCGATCTGAACTATTAAAGTGCCTAAAAATGACTTTTTAAATAGAATGACATTAGAACATAACTAATGATTCAAAAATTATTTGTTATCAATATTATTATTGACAACAGCGCTTCTAGCGATGGTCGGATGAACTTCTGTCGTTTTAATTAGTTGTAGAGTTTTGCAAGACCTTTCCAACGAGCCCAAAATGATTAAGATCGGATTAATAGAATCAAAGTTATAGCTATTTAAAATCAAAACTTTAAATCATTATAACTCCGGTTCTATTGCAGCTACAAAAAGTTATAAGCAATCTTTAGAGACGTCTTGATCTGGACTATAACATACTAAAATCCTATTAAAATTCACCTTCTAGTTGCCGAGATACAGGCGTTTAAAATTCAAACAATATGGCGTTATTTGTTATGACGTCACAGATAAAAGGTGAATGTGACCTACTAAGCTTTAATATTCTCTACGTTATTTAACCATGATTTTCAATTACATTGCGTATCATTAAAATGTGATTGAATTATTTTTCTGTCTAGTGATTTTTAGAAATGCGAAATAGATTAATTTTTTGCGTATTTTGTAATTGAAAAAGATTTTCTGGGTCAACAGGGAAAAAGCTCAATTGTTATCACACCTGAAGCTTCATTTTATCATTCTGCGCTTCCTTCGAGTGTAAAATTGTCAAGAATATCACAGATTAATCGTCTATAAATCAATTGTATTACGCAAAGATAATTTTGAGATTAATTTCCACCGTCACAAGTTTTTCCACGTGTCTATTCTGAGAGATGAGAAAACTCACCGAGGCAGTCAGATGATGCTTTCAAAAAGAGTCACAAAATGCATGTTTAGCCTTTTATCATTGCGATTGCCAAGAGCAACGCGCATGTTTCCATCGGAATTATGGTTTTGCATGTCGTGTGGGTGATGAAGAGGAAACTCGTGTGAATTTTTGGGTGGAAAGACGTTTGGCCAGAAGAACTCACACACACATAACTTATATTGAGCAAATAAATGAGTCCGATTAGCTGAGTGAACTCACTTCTCTCGTTTGTGTGTACAAAATGACAAAAGTCGATCAATATTTTTCAGCTGAAATCGCTGCTGAAGTAACTAGAAATCATAAGAAGACAATCAATGGAAGACTCTAGAGAAAGAAAATTATACTATTTTTGTCCAAGAGTTTGTTGAACGTTTTCATGATCATCAGTGGTAAAAAGTTCCGAGACTAAAAAGTGATCTCTAAATATATTTGAATTTCTTCGCAGTTACAATTTTGCCAGAGGAGGACGAAGAGAAGCATGAGAGGGAGAAAATGACCCAAGCTGCAATGGAAAATGCCGAGTACGAATTGGTGCCGCCGGACGGCGGCTGGGGATGGCTGGTTCTGGCCGGATCTATGCTCGTGAACATTCTCATTCCCGGCACAATTAAGAGCTTTGGAGTTCTCTTTGTGGAATTCCTCGAGACATTCAACGCCTCTCCCGCGACAGCCGCTTGGATTCCCGCGCTGTGCTACTTCCTCTACAGTTCACTAGGTGAGGAGCAAAGGATCCTCTCAAGGGGGAGATAATATGCCTTAAATCTGTACACAAACTTGAAATTCTCAGGCTGTTTGCGCACTAATTCTCAATTTATTATGATTTTCTTGCGTTTTTCCAAGGGGCAAATCACAAGGCGATTTTTGAGGAAACTTAATGTTCTCTAATCAAATAATCAATTATTTGAGTAAAGTAATAAAAAAAAAGATTATTTTCTCAAGGGAAATTATAAAATAATAAAAAAAATTCAAATTCTGAATAAGAAAAAACCAAAAAATGAATATTTTTCCAAGTAAAATTGCAAAAAAAATCAAAAAATAATCAAATCCTGAATATAACAATAAAAAAATGATTATTTTTCCAAGTAAAATTGCAAAAAAATCAAAAAATAATCCGAATTTGTATGAAATAATCCATTTTTTAATAAAATATTCTGAAAATAATCAGAATTTTGTATGAAATAATTAAAATTTAAATCACAAATAATTAGAATTTTGTATGAAATAATCAAAATTTGAGTATATTATTAAAAAAATGATTCAGTAATTCAGTAATGATTCAGTAGAAAAAGAATATTAAGGCTGTTTCTACTCTACTTCTACTGAAGTGGGATAATTTGCCCGTAAAAGAAGCACTTTGGAGAGGAATATTGCGAGTTTTTGAACACTTCCACTTCATTAAAACTTCTGTTGAGTTGTACACCACTTCTAGTTGTATTATCTCCCCCTTTGTTCCTTTAGGGAATTAAGAAAAACTACTGCTTGAAAGATCTACAAGGGATCTTTCAGTGATCGTCTTTGGGTTTTCCCGATATAAATTTATCTCACACCTTGACAAAGAATCGTATTGGGAAATGAAAATGTATTTTCGTGGGCAAGAGAGAAAGAAAAAATCCCCAAGGTTGAGAGCTTGATTGACTTGTCAAGTAAAAGAACGTGATCCAGTTCTGTTTTTCCTATTAATTACCACTTCGATAAGCTTCCATTATCTGCTATGGATGAGATTATCAGTCACTCAATTTGGTGGTTTTTTAGCGGAGAGGAACAAATGTGAGATTGGCTGAAATGTCTGTATTTTCTTTCCTTCTTTCAGGACCCGTTTCAAGCATTTTATCCGTGAAATATTCATACCGAACTGTGACGCTGATTGGTGGAACATTTGCAGCCGTAGGTAAAGAGCCAAAATAAGACATAGAATACTCTCTCGAGCGTGCACGCGAACAGAGTGCGACCCACAAATGAGATCTCAATGTCTATGTAAAAATGCCACCACGTGTGCTGTGGAGTGTGGAGAGAAATGTGACGATAAAATGGTTCAATTTGTTGTAGGAATGATTCTCACATTCTGGGCCTCATCTGTCACATATTTATACATTAGGTACGCCAGCAGTCAGGCAAGAGATTTTAGTCAAAAATGAATCATTTTCAATTATAGTTATGGGATTTTGGTGGGCACGGGCGCCGGATTGGCCTTTCCACCGACCGTCTACATTGTCACATCGTACTTTGTGCGCCTGCGAGGACTCGCCAATGGACTGTGCATCTCCGGCAGTGCCCTGGGATCCATCATCCTGCCGCCGGTGTTGAGATACTTGCTGGAGACCTTTGGATACAGGTTTTCATTAAACATGCCGGCATTGATGATTTCGCCACTTGCAAATCATCTCTGCACTCTTTGCACTGCGCTGTGTTGATCCTGTCTTGTCGCCCTAATGTGCATCTTGTCCTGTTGCAGAGGAGCCTGTCTCATCATGGGTGGCGTCACGCTAAACGTCTGGGTGGCGGCGATCTTTTATCAGCCCGTCGAGCAGCACATGAAGCGCGTGCCGAAAGCTCTGCCGCCGGTTGAGGAGCCGCAAAACGCGGATGAAGATATGGGAATCGTGCTGGATCTCACGGCCAACACATCTCCCGATGCCACTGATGGACGTGCCAAGTTCGCCATCGAGGATTCAGGGACGAAATCTCCGGAGAGCCAAACGCCGACGCCCACGCACGAGAATGGATTTGTCCGGAGCGCCAGCGCTGTTGTCGTGAGGAACTTCTCAAGGGGCAGCGGAATTGATGGAATGGTGAGAGAAGTGATCTGAAATTCCAATTATGTCTAACAATGTTGTAGATAATTTCAATATCTATCATTTGAGCCTGATTTGGGGAAAATCCGTGGGAGATTGAGCGAAAACCTCCTAATTTTTGTACAAAAGAGAATTTTTAATAATACTGAAGAAAATCTATAGTCGAAGGTTCCGTAAAATGTCCTTTAATCGTTTAAAATTCTTCGTAAACTGAACTTCAAATTCCTCTTTCTAAGGTATAAAATTCTTATGATCTCCAAACTGGTTTAAATAGTTCTTTTAACGTTTTAAAATCTATCTTCAGACGTAATATTTGTCCCGAAAAGATAATTTAACACCTAAAATATATTTTCCTCCTCCATTTTCCACTCTTTTTCTCTAAATCCTGCACAGAATTCTCACCTCAGTAATTTGGGGCATATTTTCTAAGATGTAATTGAATTTTTTGGTGTTTTGCAGGCCGACAGGAGTCGCAAGGTGAGCGTTCCTGTTAAGGATGCCTTTCGCAATCAAACATACGCCAACAATCTCACGGATCTGAGCTCAACTCCATCGCTGGCCGCCATGCCGGAGTCCCGAATGTCCGGCGCGAGGCTGAGTCAGCGATTTATGAATCACAGAGTGACTTCGAGTGGTCGACTGGCCAAGAGATCGCCATCCACGAGTTCCTTTCAGTACGTCAGCACGCCATATCACGGCAGCACGCTGTCCATTCATCCTGCGGAATTTGCATCGCATCTCTCCATCAAGTCCATCACGAATTCCCTCAATCCCGTGTCGTCGTGCTCGCGGATCAAGAAGGAGGGCAAGGAGAGGAACGACGACGATGAGGAGGAGGAGGAGAGAAAGAAGAAGGAGAAGAAGAAGTTCTTCGACTTGAGTCTCCTCAGCGATCCAACATATCTCGTGATTCTCATCTCAAACTCCACCAACGCCATCGGCTACACGAACTTCATCATCCTCCTGCCGGCGTACGCGATCTCGATGGGCTTCGACAAGAGTCTGGCGGCGTACTTGCTGTCGATTGTCTCGCTGCTGGACTTGGTGGGGCGCATTGGGGGCTCCGCCCTGTCAGACACGGAACTCATACCGAAGACGTGGTACTTCATCGGCGGACTCGCCATCTCGGGCGTGTCTCTGTCGCTGCTGCCGCTCGCCACCACGTATCCCTTCATCAGCATCTGCTGCGCGTGCTTCGGCCTCGCCTCGGGCGTCTACGTGGGCATCACGGCGGTGATTATGGCGGACATGCTGGGCCAGGAGCGTCTCACGTCCACCTACGGCATCAGTCTGTTCGTCAACGGCATCCTGCAGCTCGTGGGACCGCCGATTTGTGGGCTGTGGATTGAGCAGGTGACGTCGTACGAGTCCCTCTTCACCACGCTCGGCTTCATTCTGCTCGGCGGAGCCGCTCTCTGGGGCTTCATGCCCATGATCAGGCGCAACAAGGCCAGAGCCGAGCGCAAGGCGGCCGCGGCGGGAGGAGCTGAGACGGAGAAGAGCCTCCTGGCATGAAGAGCAATCGAGGATGAAGACAACCGATTCAGGATCATTGATACTTAAGAGGAAAGAAAGTGTGTGAATAAATTAGATCAATCTATTTCTACACTTATAGAATTTTAGCAAAGAAAAAAAATATAGCAAAGAAGAGAGTATATTTGTATAAAATGAAAAATTTTTAAAAGAGAAAAAGAAGAGAAAGAGAATTTTAATGTGTAGAATTTTTGAAGTATTTCTTTTTCAAACTTATCCGCACACAAATCTCTCTTGTGAGAAGGAAAAATCTGTATTATTTTCTTATTATTTCATCATATTATTATTATTTTTTGTTTGCACAGACAAAAGGAGACTTCATAGCCACCGATTATATAAAATATATTATAGCAATTCAGTATCAGAGGGACTTTTAGGCAGAATTCTTATTAAGTTTCCCTTTACATGCGTTGGCAAATGAAATAACAATATTCTATATTAATTCCATTTTAATTACAACTAAGGAAATTGTGTAAAAGTTATTTTTGTGGTAATTTATGTAGACAGAATAATTTTGAATGATAATGATTTGAAAATTACATTTTCTCTAAGTGGTTTTTCTTCAATTTGGCGGTTGAGAAGTGAAAAGACGTGATAATCCAGCGAACACAAAGTGCTAAGTCTCAAAAGTTCTCAGGAATCTCTAACCCTCGAGAAGTTCGTCGTAGTTGGAAATCCTCATGAATTCGCCGACAATTTCTCCCACTTCGACAGCAGAACGCCCACGTTCTCAGTCAGCGAGGCGTCTTCCGGGCAGCGAGACATGTAGAATGGCTTGATCTGAGGTGGGAAGCAACACAGCATGATGGGCTCGTTGATGGCGTCGGTAATCTTGCGCTCAAGCGCTTCTGGGATGTTCTCACCGTGTTCAAAGAACGTCCCGTCGTCCTTAGTCACATTGTTCTTGCGCAGCCACTTGAAGGCATCGCTGTAGTTCATCCTGCGAAAGGGTCTCTTAGGCGGTAGGAAGCCCGGATTGAGCTTCTCCACAAGATGTCCGTACGCGACCTTCAGCACGCGCTCCACCACATCACAGACGAGATCCTCCAGTCTATCCAACAGATCGTCGGACGTGATGAAGGGACACTCGCCCTCAATGTGACTGTACTCAGCCAAGTGGCGGCGCGTCCTGTTCTGCTCCGCCCGGAAGCTCTCCGCGATGCAGTACACGTCCCCGAGCGAGGGCATGCACGTCTCTAAGTTCAGCTGAGAATAAGCCTGCTCACCGAAGAAGTCTCCAGCTTGTGTTTGCACGATCATTGGAGGATTCACTTCCGTTTATCCACGATCAGCATAGTGACTGCGGAAAGCCTGGATCAGGATCTTCGATGTGTTCTCGCTGCGAATCATGATGTGCCTGTTATCCAGCTGCACATCTTGGTGCGCTTCTTCATTGAGAATCGTGTCCGCCCCGCCGGCAAGAGCTAATCCTACCAATTCCCAGTAATCCACATGCAACTCGTGGCCTCGACGGGCAGTTTTACTCGTAGTGTGATCAACATAAGACCTTTAACCCATCCGTGAGACGACGAAAATGAAATGACTGTTCAAATTTCTTAATGAAGTCAATATTTTCTAAAATTCTGTATCAAATCATCTGTATGATAAAATCTTTATATTCAAGAAAAATTCAAAGGATTCAAGTTTCAAGTTCATTTGATTATTTACCGCTTCCTTATTATTTCCAACTCCAATCCTTCCCCCATAATTTCGAAATCCCTCACAATCTTTTCCGTATGCAATTGAATTTGTCCATCTGACTTTGTTGTGTGTCCATTCAGAGTTGATATTCGAAAATCCGTTCTGTCTCCAATGTTGGGCTTCCAAAACACTCCAATCACGTCTTCCTTCAAGGGATTGGCAAAGAATAGCGCCACTGAACCAAATGCAGAGCGCAAATCCTCCAAGAACCGCTTCGCAGGACTGAATTCCACAGGAAGTCTCTTCTTCTGCATCTCTTTTGTTGCATTTTGTGCCTCAAAATTCACATTTCCAGCGTCAATTTTGATCACGACATCGAAGGAGTCAAATTGATGCTGCCGGAAGAGCTGCAAATAGATCAATGTTAGTGTTTATGCATGCTATTTATTACAAGTTTCTCTTCAGCAGACCTTTTCAACTTCCAACACACCCGAAACGAGATCATTTTCCACACTGTCCAGCATTTGCTTCGCCAGCAATGAAACTCTCACGAGAACCTGCAGAATTGGGGCGGATTTGCTCCAAATGCTGTGTTTGCTGCTGTCGAAGGAAGTCACAATTGTCAGTGGTGGAAAATTGTCTCGGGACGACAGGAAGTTGCCTTCCATTTTGGAGATCTCTTCCTGACTCAGAGATTCATTGAAATTGACAATTATCATCTCACTCTGCCAATTTGTGTAGGCAATCAAGTGTAGAAATCGCAGGAATCCCACTTGTGGCTGAAATGCAGGCAAAAAGGCGCCACCTTTAGTGAACAGCGACGCCACAAGGAGTTCTGTGCACTCATCTGGCCAGAGGTGTTGATCAAAGAGTTGCCAATAGAGCCACCTCTTTGCCAGGCAAACAGTCGGTCCGAAGGAATTGAATTGTTGATGGATTCTGTAAGAACAATCAATCAATATGCATATCATTTCATCTCTCTAAACAACTTCACTTACCCATTGAGAGCACTTGAGAGGCGTGGCAAGATGAAGAGCTCCTTCTCGAACTGAACACTTTCCGGTGAATCTCTCTGCTTACTGATTCCATTGATCAGCACTTGCTTTCGCAACATGAGCTCCTTTGTGTGCGCCAACTTGAAGCGGAAGATGAAGCCTTCTTTGAGAATTTCTATAGCATTTCCAGACACTCTGCTGAATTTCACACCACTCTTTGTCAACTTCTTAGCCAATTCCAGGTAAAAGGCTTGCTTCAGTTTCCCAATCGCATCGACATCGTCTGGCCACTTTCCACTCACGCTCAGCTGAAGGACACCGTCGTAAATTTGCTTGCCGTAGAAGATTTTCCACCCCTCATGACTGACACAGTAGCCATTTGGGAAGTTCTCAATGGGATCACAATACCGGAAGACAGCAGATGTTCCCTGAACACCTGTAATTTCCAACGGAAGATCCTCGAGACTTCGCAGAATTTTGCCCAACGCATCAAACTCCTGAATAACATGCAGAGACATCATTTCTGTGTCATATCCATCACGATATTTGCCACCTTTGGACGATTCACTTGCCGGAATCTCGCAATTCAGTTGATTTCCCACATAAGTGCAGAATTTTCCGACACTCTCTTCACTCACTTCCAAATGGTGAGACAGCAAATGCCTCACAATGTCTCGGCAAATCATTCTCTTGCGCGTGAGACTGCTCGATGACGGTGCCCAGACGCAGGCTTCAGTTATTGAGCCATCCTTGAATCGTCGAAGTTGAGACTTTTCGCCCCAAAAACTGCGGAACTCCAGTGCCTCAGGTTCATTGGCTTGAGGTCCTTTCACCACCACGTCCAGCGCTTCCTTGGGATTCACAATCAATCCAATCGAGAGCGTTGCAGAGTTATTCACCGGCTGAGGATCTTCATTGGCACTCCATTTGGCTTCCTTCAACGCAAGAGGACACAGGGATATGACTCTGTTCGAGAGTCCCTTCCTGACGATCTCTAATATCATTTTGAGAAGTCTAGGATACCAAAATGTGCAATAATCCAGAATATCCGCATGTGAGGAGCTCCTCTGCAAAGCCTCTTTCACAGCCTCGTCAACTGTAATGTTCAGGATTTGATCATACTGAAGGAATGATGGAATTGTCGACATGAAGAGACACTGAAATCTATTCACTGATGAATTATCCAGGATATTCAGTGCAATTTTTGCCTCCAATTTCACCCTCTTGTACACATCCTGTGACATGTTGTAGCACAAATTGAGAAATCCACTTGAATCTGTCATCACAACGTCGAAGAATTTGTGAAATTCATCCATTTTCGGCTGATTTTGTCCCTCATCTTCCTTCACCAGCAAGCAAAGTCCCTTTCCCAGCTCATTCCACTCACTGTTGGCCAGAAATGTCCACACGATTCGCACTAATTGATAACTACTCACATTTTGGGTCATCTTTCGCGACTGGATCAGATATGCGACAAGGATTGTGGCGAGATATCCCGAAAAACCACAATATCCTCTATCTAATTGCCGCTGCTTCAGCCAAATTTTCAGCAAAATCACACCATCGCGAATATTTTGCCTGTCTCCGAGAGCCGATGCGATGTACTTTTCATTCCTGAGCAGCAGAAAATCCTCCAAAATCGACGAATTGTAGTGAGGAGTTGGACATTGATCGGTCTGGACGTTTTCTGGCATTCCTTTGATTATATTTGGTCTCACATTGTTCCTCTGCGGAATGAATCTCGTCAGTTTGTACGTGTTCACTTCGCAGCTCAGGCGAATGGCAAAAGTAACGTGTTTGTTCTTGCCAGGATTTGACAGCAAAAGTATTGGTTTCAGAGGATCTCCTCGAGAATACATAAATTCTCGCACTGTTGCCAATTCTGGACATTCATCCTGGAGATGCTTAAGGATGTAGCATAAGTAGAGACCTCTCTTTCGATGATAAATCATGTTGAGATTATCATCAGCCTTGTAAAACTCTTTTGGAACTTCAATACAAACATCCACATTAAAGTGATTGCCCAAGATTGTCCCCAGACTTTGAGATCCTACAATCTGTGCTGGCTTTTTGGGTGCCACAAACTGGAAGGCGCCCTTTGTTTCTTCCAGAAATGATGTGTCCAGTGAGAGTTTAATATTTCCCCGCCAAGAAGCATCACTCAAGCTATGTTTTTCCTTTCCGGATGGCAATTTCTTAAGCAATGCATTGAATTTCAACACCCAATCCTCAATATAGGACTTGTGCTTGTTCTGTAGTATCTTCACCTCCTTCAGCATCTCCTCAGTTTGCATCTTGAAGAGATTTGAGTGGTAGAGATTGCCAACTTCCTTGAGTTCATTGATTTCAGCCACAGAAAATGTTTTATGCTCCAATTTTGCATACTTCGGCCTGGAGGATCCTTTGGCAGTGGGTCGGGAGAGCTCAGGATCAAGATCTCCATCACTGTCGCTGTTCTCAAGCATCTCCAAGTCATTCCCGGAATCTGAGTCAGACTCAGAAACTGTGACTTCCTGCAGGAAGTAGAAGAGAACCAAAGGGAATTTCATGAAGGAATTCATAATCGGTGTTCCTATATTACCTTCAAACTCACGAAATTCTTCCTTTTCATCGTGAAACGCCGTAAAGCAGGAAAAAATCACACCGCAAAATAAACCAAGAACATAAACTCAGAAATCCACGTGCGATTGAAGTGACAGAACAGGCTTTCCACCGCTTGCTGCAGAGGTCGCTGCTGGCGGTGAGTAGGAATTTGTAAATTGGCGCGTCGATTTTACACAATTTTCCCGCGTCGTGTCACGCAGTCGTGCAATTCCCTCAGTCAGTTCTGTGAGACCGGTTGAGGCGAATAGACATCCAATCTCACCAGTAGCATCATCTCCTCTGTGACCGTGAATCATTCTTCAAGCTGCTGAACACAAATTTGGCTTCGGTGACCCCGGTGAACTCCATTTAGTGTACCTCTTTATTAAGTATGTGCGAGAGTTCAATTATGAAATTTGTAAATTGTTTGTTGTTAGTCGCTAAGAATTACGCTATTGTGATTATATTGTCTTATCACAGATGAGTGATTGTTGAATATTTTAGGAAAAGCATCACAGCTATAGTGAAAATATTCGTCTCAAGAGAAAAATCAAATGTGCTCCACCCACTGCAAGTGAGTGCTTAATCGTCAATTTTCTCATTCTTGAGCGAGAAAATATCTTTCAATTCGCTTGTTTTCATCTATCTTCAATCATTTCACAAATGGGCAATTGATACATAAATCAAATGAACAATAGTGGAGAAATTTTTGCCAATTTAAATCACATCACTCTTCTCAATGTGTATCTATTTACCTCGACACCACTTGTTGGAGACCTTGAAGATTAGCCATCAATACGGAAATATTCGATATTTAATTAATTAATCTGAATGTAGGGAATTCACTGGCGACGCAATAAAACACAGAAACCTAGATTTCATCGGGCCAACATCCAAGAAGCATTTCAGTTGTTATGTCCGTGAATTGATGACGAGACACGCGCGTTTGATATCATCTTCTTTCAGTTCATTTATCACCTCGTGGATTCTCGTGGGTGGATTAAAGTTGAGTATGAGAAAAGAGGTAGCGAGATACAGAGGGCAGATGTTCGCATTCACCAAATTAAATGGCATTTTCACTGCGATTTTCGCCTTATTTTCACCGCTGCTCTCCTTCTTCTCTCTTCTCATCACCTCAAAACCTCTTCTTTTATTTTTTTTATTTTTCTTTTGCTCACAGAAATCCCAGTTGGTGGAAGCGCCGAACTGCGCTGGAGAAGGCACTGATTCTGATCAGTATTGTTGCCGTAATAGCGATATTGGCATTAATAATTGCTCTCGTGGCTTTGGCACTAGTCACAGTAGTAGACAGCAGACGTGAAAGTACGTATGGAAATTTAATTCTCAACCAAAAATCTATTTAAACAACACATTAAATTACAATTTTAGCAGAGCAAAACATATTGACAGTCCTATAAGACGTAGAAAGAGAATCTCTAGAGAAAAATATCATTGTTCAGTGATGATCAAATGCCTCGATGATACCCCGAAAAGAGATCAAATGACAATTGTCTGTTTAGTGATTCTGAAATGAACGTCTGTAAACTCACAGAGACAATATTATATCGCATGCGTGATAAATTCTGATCTTTGGATGAACTTCAAAATTTCGTTTCAATTATTTCATTTATAAGACGAAAGTGGTGCTTGATTGTACATTTAATTCTAGTTATATTAGCCAAAGTCTGTTGTGGTGCATATGTGTGAGAACTGCTCGAACCAATTGTAATGTGATCGGTGTGATAGATGTATGCAAGTCCCTCACTGTGTGATGGGATAAAGATCGTGGCTTGGTCTTGACAAGACACGTAGCGCCGCGAAATGTCGGACTTCATTTGTGTTCTTCTTATCTTCTCCCTCATGAATTTAAATAATATTCCGCGTCTCTGTTTAGATTCCATAGAAAAAACCACCGCAACACTAGAGGGTAGTCCAGGAAAGAATCAAGATGTTTGCTTAACACCCGGTTGCATTCACGCGGGTGAGAGATTAATTTTATATCTATCTTCAGTGTGTTTGCAGAACTCTGTGGATTACAATGAATATTGTATAATTATATAATATTTCAATAGCTTCGCGTGTTCTGGTCGCCATGGACCCGGAAATTGAGCCTTGCGATGACTTCTACACGTTCGCCTGCGGAACTTTCCTAAAAGAAACCAATATTCCGGATGAGAAGGTGTCAGTGAACACCTTCATGATTACTTTGGATCGAGTCAAGGAGCAGTTAAGGACGCTTGTGAGCGAAGAATCAGCGTCAAATGAGGCCAAGCCATTCCGGTTGGCGAAAGATTTCTTCAAAGCCTGCATGAACAAAAGTGTGTTTAATCATCTATGTCTATAAAACATTACCTGATAGATTGACCCACAAATTCACTCTCCAACTCCCACCTTTGCAGCTCTGATCGAAGAAAGAGGCCTGAAGCCACTAAAGACGATTATGGACGATTTAGGCGGCTGGCCAGTGGATCGCGGCGATGCCTGGGATGAGAAATCCTGGTCATGGGTGGAAGCTGTGAAGAAGTTCCGCAAATACGGATACAGCGTGAACTACATTTTGGTCTTTCTTGTGGGAATCGATCTGAAGAAATCAACCCAGAGGATTATTATTGTAAATGTCACAATCTCACTTTCGATGGTGAGGAGGAAATTAATTGCTTTCTCTCCCCACATTTCAGTTGGACCAATCTGCTCTGGGAATAAGTCGCGAATACCTGATTAAGGGACTGGATGATAAGATTGTTCAGGCCTATTACAGCTACATGGTGGATCTGGCGGTGATTTATGGCGCGGAAAGATCACGAGCGGAGAAGGAATTGAACGAGTCACTGGCGTTTGAAATTAAATTAGCTAATGTACACTAAATCAGAGAATTTGCATGTTTGACAATGTCGTAATGAGAATTCTTCACACGTTTGCAGATATCATTGCCGAATGAGAAGAGACGCAATGCAACAACACTCTACAATCCAATGACTATTGCGGAAGTTCAGAAGGCGTACAACTATATTGATTGGCTGGATTACATCAATGCCATCCTTCCGGAAAGTCTGAAGGTCGCGGAGAAGGAGACGATTATCATCAGCGTCCCCAGCTTCTTCAAGGACTTGGAAGCGGTTCTCAAAGAGACGCCAAAGAGGTAATGACTTTGCCCAAATCCAAACACCATCAACAAGATAGATAAGGGATTATCGGGAAACTCAATTGACATTAGCAAATAGAATTTCCATCGCAGAGTAATATTATTTTAGGAAAGCTCAGTTATCGTGTTTCCACAAAAGCGCGCATAAAATGTTACTCTTTCTGTATTTACTTACACATATAAAATCAATGATCTTAATTCTTTTTATTGAATTTTACACACAACATGCGTAAATATTTATACTCAATTGATTAAATAAAATTATATTGTATTCCTTGGTCCACGATTACAGTGAGTGCTTGATCAGTGTACACATCATACTATTTTAGCAACAAGCTGTCTTGATAAATGTGTTGTATGTGTTCGATATTGTATCGATGACATCGCAGATGAATGGATTGAAGATGTGAATCGATATGTACAAATTCCATATTGTAGCAGATCAAGATCGTGGCCAGGTCTTCTTTTCTAAGACACGTGTTGCCACAAAATGTCGGGCTTTGTTTTAACTCTCGATATAAAAATGTATGAGAAGACAGAAAGAAAACATGGTAAGGAGGCGTAAGCCAGAGCATTGGCAGTGCCGAACGACAAGAAATTCGTGCTCTCAGTGTTGTTAGTGCCACGGATGAACGCCTTACACTAAACGGTCACTGAGCCTCTTCAAATTTATTTTGAATACAGAATATCGTTCTCTTCCTCAGGACCATCGCCAATTACATGATGGGGCGAAATTTTGCCATCTCAGCCTTCTTCCTCACAGAAGAAGTGCGCAAGAGGCAACTCGAATTCACCATGGCCGTGAGCGGTAAGCAGCAGCGGGGCCCAAGATGGCAGGAGTGCGTGGATGCGACGGCTGGCAGGTGAGATTTAGTCAATGGTGGTGCAATTTCTCTCACCTGTGGATTGAGCGTCTATATTAAAAACGTTGTGCTAAATCGCACTCTCAATTTCTGACCTACTGCAGCTTCTCGATTGCTTTGGGTGCTTTGTATGTTCGCAAGCACTTCCGAGAGGACGCCAAGAAAACCGCCTTGGAGATGGTCAACGGCATTCGCTCGGAGTTCCAGAAAATCCTCACCACGGTGCCATGGATGGACGATAAGACAAGGAAGGCGGCATTGGCCAAGGCCAAGGCTATGACCACCCACATTGGGTACCCTGATGAGATTATGGACAACAGCAAATTGGAGGAGTGCTACAAGGATCTGAAGATTGATTCTTCGAAATTCTTAGAATCAGTGCTGGCCGTCACTGTCTTCGGAACGGATTACGCCTTCAACAAGTTGAGGCAGCCCGTGAATAAGACCGACTGGTTGACCCGTGCTAGTCCTGCCATCGTCAACGCCTTATACTTAGCTCTCGAGAATAGTATTCGTATGTTAATCACACATTAATTTTGGTGATCCGCTGAGAATTCACGCATTTCTTTTTCATTTCTGCAGAATTCCCAGCAGGAATCCTCCAGGGTCAATTCTTCTCGGCCGATCGTCCTCGCTACATGAATTATGGTGCTATTGGATTTCTGATTGGCCACGAAATCACTCACGGCTTCGACGACCAGGGACGTCAGTTTGACCTGGACGGAAACCTCGTGGACTGGTGGGAGCCCGACACCAAGAAGGCATACTTGGAGAAGGCGTCCTGCATCATTGACCAGTACGGCAACTACACCGAGCCTTCCACAACACTGCAGGTGAGTTTCTGGCGCGCACAATTGAGGGACGTGATAAGAGTGAAAGTGTGACTGAACCTTATTGTTGCAGCTCAATGGAATCAACACACAAGGGGAGAACATTGCGGACAATGGCGGTGTCAAAGAGTCATATCTGGCCTATCAGAAGTGGGTCGAGAAGAACGGACCGGAACTCAAGCTTCCTGGACTCGATTACACACCACAGCAGATGTTCTGGATCTCTGCAGCTCAGACTTGGTGTGAGGTGTATCGTCCAGAATGGATGAAGATCGTAATCATTACGAACGCCCACTCTCCTGGTAGATTCCGCGTCAACGGTCCACTGAGCAATTTACGAGCCTTTGCGAAAGACTTTAATTGCCCAGAAGGATCTCCAATGAATCCCACCCACAAGTGTGAAGTGTGGTGAATGAATTTGTAATAATTATTACAATCATAAAAATTTTATTCTACCTCGTGCAAGCGGGTGACTGAGGTCATAATTAATACACAATGACTTAAAAAACTTCTCCTTTAGCCCTATTTTCTTTATTCTGACCAAGACTGTGCTTTATCCTAGCTTTATCGTAAAAAAAGAGCAACAAGAAAAATCACGCGGCAAAATAAACCATATAACATAACCTCAGAAATTCACGTGCGTATGAAGTGACAGATAAGACTTTCCACCGCCGACTACAGAGGTCACCGGTGGCGATGTGTGGGGAATTTGTAAAATTGGTGGGATATAGCTGTATTTAACCGTTACTGGTCGTATTCTGGAGATTTATTTATTAATTCGTGTTTATAAATTATTTCACGGGAAAAATAGCTGAAAGTAGAAATATAAAGTATGTCACATGACTTCCTAATAGAATGCACTGGCGTGTTTGACGAAAAACTTTCCTTTTGCTGCAATTAGAAAGTCTGGAAGTTGTGTCTGGAAATGCACAGCACTTGAGCATCTCAGAATTAGCAATAATCACTCTTTTTCTGCAAATTTCTTAAGTAATCATTAGTGTTTGAATGTCATCTTCATCAAATATTACTAAAATATGTGTTTTTAGTTCAGTGTAAGAATTTATTCTAAAATAATCTGTGCATAAAATCTCATCGGAGAGAAATTGCATTGCATATATTGTATGTATGGTTGGATAAAACACCCTCTCTCATATCTGCATGAATACATATAATGCTTAACCACTATAGTGGTTAATATCCCATATCCTTTAAATGTTGTTATTTTTCTGTCTGCGTGATAAATTTTGTTGATTGAACTTGAAAGAATTTATGTTTGTTTTCTTCAGCTAGAGGGTAAAGGATCGTGATCAAAATCTTGAGAATGCGAAAAAATAAAAAAAAAACGCCTCGAGACTCTTCGCATTAATAATTATATAGTGTTTTTGGCCAATTTTCAATGTGTCTTTTTGCCACTAAAGCCTTTTTTTCTCTCACTCTCCATACTGCTGTGTGTTTACCTTTTAAACGATTTCGAAAATGAAGAGAAAAACATTTTGTATAGGTATGCGGGGCGTACAATAATTCATTTAGAGCCATGTTGACGGCGGAATATACGAACGTTGAATCGCAAGTGTGACGCGACGCGGGAAATTTATATAAAACCGCCAATGCATGGAAGAAGTCAGTCAGTTCAGTGAGACCGGTTGAGTCGAATGGACTTCCCATCTCATCAGTAGCATCATCTCTTCTTGTGACTCATTTTCTTCAAGTTTGCTGAACACAAGTTTGGTTTTGGTGACTCTCATTTAGTGTACTTAAGTATGTACAAGAGTACAATTCCGAAATTTGAAAATTGTTTGCTTTATTGTTAGTCAGTAGGAATTACGCTATATTGTGATTATTATTGTCATAGATGAGTGATTGTTGAATATTTTAGGAAAAGAGCATCACAGCGATAGTGAAAATATTCGTCTCGAGAGGAACATCAAATAAAAATATACAAGTCATGGAACAATTTTGAGAATTAATGTTCAAAGCAACTTCAAGTGATTAATAGTGATTTTATACCTTCTTTTTCTGTGTTAGACTATTTTTTTGGTTGTTATCCAGTTTTTCACTGTCATTTTATTTTTTTGTTTCTCCACTGAAATCATAAATAATAGTTATTCTCGCAAGGGGACAATTACAATTGATAATTCTTCACGTGTGCTGTCATGACAAGTGCAATGCAGACTGTAATCAAGTGAGTATGCAAAGCATCAGGCTTCATCGCATTAACTTCATCTCTCTTGTCTGTCTTGAAATTGATTTCTATGATTGCGATGCGGTGGAAAAAAAAATTGTTGCTATCTTTGTTGGGGAGTGAAGAAAAAGTCGTCTCGTCATGGATTTATTTTTATTTCATGAGGAAATGATAGAGAAATCCTCCTGCGAAGCGATTATTAATAACGCACAGCGACTGAAAGATGATTTTTTGAATGGAAATTAAGCACCTGCCCAGCATTACTTTATCATTAGAAACTTTCTTCTGCTCCACCCTCTCTGCCAGTGAGTGCCTAATCTTCAATTTTCTCATATTTCACCGAGAAAATATCTTTCAATTTTTGCTTGTTATTCATCTCTCTTCAATCATATCGAAAATAATGGACAATTGCTATTTGAACAAGAGTGGAGAAATTTATGCAAATTTAAATCACATCACATCCAACTCTTCTCATTGTATATCTACTCACCTTGACACCGCTTCAGACCACATTGACTATATATGCTGGGGAATATTATTAATTGTTGTACGTTTAGAGTTTTTTTTTGCATTTTATAGCCCATGAAAATGAAACTTGCTTAATCATTTGCCAACTCTCAATCATAGTCAAGAGCTTGTGATGCCCGAGATTGCACAAAAAATATAAGTCTTACTTCAATATAGTGATTCTTCTAAACATATTATGTCTGCGTGGTTAGAATTCTTTTCACAGCATGGCCTATACCAACTGTTCCACATCGCCGACGCCGCAATTTGATCACATTCTGTAACGCACTTTACAATTCATAAAAGAGTAAATAGTGCAAATAGCTGAAAGGGGAGAAAAATGTCGTTTAGCTTTAAGTGTCTTTTAACGCTTGCAATTAATTATGAACCAATTGTACGGAAAACAATTTGTTTGTGTTTTTTTCTCTCTCTTTACTGCTTACGAAGAGAAAAACTTCACAATCTGTGACTGTTCACTAGTAATCTCAATCAAGAATCTAGTTTAAAGTATTTACAAATTGCTCAATTCTTCAGACATGTTTTCAGAGACACTCTGTAAGATCACTTAGAAGATTGATGCTAAATCAATCATTTTTATGCGCGGAAAAAATTCAAGGTATTTAGAGTTTCAACTTCCCACTCCCACTTTTGTTCTCTCATCTCTCCGGAACGGCGTATTCGCGCTCTTCACCGCGCTCTCTCTCCCTCTCTCTCTCTCTCCTCACTTGGGTTGGACTTTTGGGTATACATAGAATTAATTAGACGGTGAAACGGTAAAAAGTTGATGTTGCTGCGAAAAAAGGTGGAGAGCATTTTGGGTGTGCGCGAAAAACACTTAAAGTTTATTGTCAATATGGCATCAGGAAATTTGCATGGACGTTGTATAAAAATCAGCGGGTCAGTGTTGAAAGAATAACATAAAATCATGGATATTATAGTGTATAAAGAAATTTTTGTAAAATTATGCAATCAATGCCAATGCCAAGCAATTTTCCTTCGTATTTATGAACCACACACGTTCACAAATTGTGGTGTTTGGGGGGGAAAAAGAGAACCTCAAACCACCTTTTTTTCTTCTTATTCCTTAATGGGCTTCACAAAATATACAACGCGCAGTGTGGAAAAATATTGCAAACTTTTTAGTTACTGCTGGAAGACGAATTTTTGGTGCAAAAAGAGGGAAACAGATTTTATTATAACTTATATTGGTTGTCGATTTTTATCAATCGAGTTTCTTTTTTTTATTCGAAGGCAAATGACACTGTAACACTTAATTTTTTCACCTGATTGGAATATTTAATTAATTTCACCTCGAGAGAATTCACAAGCCACACAAGCACACACATTTTGTATGTACTTTATTCACACCACGAGTGCAATATTTATCTCGAATTATCGTACCTGTTTTTTTTTTCGAAGTATTAATGCCCAGTGAATTGTATTGTTAACAAGAGTCGTGGGCACTTTTGCTGCGCATTTTTGCAAATAAAGTCGGAACGTTGGTTGAAAATTTCACATAGTGTCTTTGGAATTTTACAAAAAACACGATAAGTAAAAGCTTTTTTGTGTTTAATGTGACTTTGGGATTCGCAGTGTATTTAGCTTTTTCTCATCCTTCCACAATGGAAGGGTGATTAATAGTTAAAAAAAAGTATATCAATAATCTTCCTCAAGGTGTTAGTTGTAGAATTATTATTTGCATACACTGGTTATTCCGGACGTTTTATCAGGAAAATCCAGATACTCGAACAATTAAGCTATTACATAAACCCTTTAAGTGAACGGGTTTTCAAGAAAACACTGCTCATTCATGCATTAAATCGATATTGGATCAATTTCAATTGATTGATCATTCAATAAGGCATGCCTTTTATATACTAAAATGTCCTTAAAGTATTTGGCGTCTTAAATAATGCGCAATATGTGTGTTGAGAGTAGCATTATGATAACAGATCAATAACCGGCCGGCTAGACTGGAAATAACACATGTTTTCGTGACTAGAGATACCTTGTAGCTCTGCTCAACACATCCATTCCAGGCTTAGTTTGATGACATTTGCCTTTTTCTGGGTAACACTACCGAAGAGCTGAAACACAAGTAATCCCTATTCTAACTGCCAGCATTTGGAGAGCATTACCAATTCAAGGTTGTTCCTCTGCACGAGTAGTAAACACGAAGGCATCGCTGTGTGTATACAGTGGCGAAAGAGAGGATTTTCTATGTACAAATAATGCCATTAGGTTCTTATGTGAGAAAACAGAGAGAGAGAGAGAGAGAAAATTGAGAGAAAGCAGAGAGATAGTCGGGGATGCTTTGCAATTTCTCTACGATATCCATGGCTTATCACACATTCTCAGCAGTGCGGGAGAAAATAGTCGCAGATTTCGTTTATGACAAAACTTTTTTATTGCTTCACTCTCTCAAGTGGCATCCTCTTTATTTATCGCCATTGTCACCAATATCTGTAGCTTCAACTTCTAATGCCTTTCTCCACTGCCAATCTACTTCACGTGGTGTTTCCTCGGCAATTTTCTCTTCTTTTTGTGGCACTGCGAGAGGCAAAGATATCCAAATGTGTGTCCTTCGTGGGTGATTCAGTGTCGCTCTCCATGTATACTGTTAAAAGTAAATGTTTGACTTTACGAACAAGTTGGAGGAAAATTGCCTAATTGGTATCATTCTGGAGAGCGAGAGGATGTGTGCGCGGCACTTTCACGTGAAAATTTACTTTTCAATATCAAACATCTGGGCTGGTAAATGCTATTAAGCTGCCTGATGCCTTTTTTCCACTCTTCAAATATTCTTATCACGCTCGCGGGCTTTCAGTACAGATTGTGTTCAGTGATAAAGGTTATTCCGTGCGCTTGTGTGCGAAGGAAACAGACTGGGTGCTTTATTGCAAATATTATTTACTGGGCGCAATCAAGTTCTGTGGCAAAATTTTCACAGTTGACGTCGAGAGATGCTCCTGTGAGTTTAGTTGTGCTCGATAATTCCGTGGTGTAGAGTCGCAAATAGTGGAAAATTGTTCTCATTTCTCCCAATTTGTTCGCATGGTGCAACATTGCATTGTGCTGTCTGTAGGTCAAATAATCGCACTCAAAGACACTCTCTGTCGGTGGGGAAGAAAGAGTGTGAATAAAATCGGACAGTTTATTAATCTCTCGTTTGTGCGTAGAGCGAAATCAATTTTGGCTGATAAATTAAGAAAGTGTGACCACACAGAGGAAGGGCATTTATCAAACGGAAAGCGAGAGAGAGAGAGAGAGAGAGAGAGAGAGAGAGAGTGATTGCAATTGAAAATTTGTCAATGTGATGGACAAATCGAATTTCCGCGAATTCATGTAACTTTCCCAAGTTGACTCCAAAATAAATGCACGAGACAAAAATTGTGTGTAAGGTCTCGAAATTATATTGTTAGCAGTTGAGTGAAATAACAATACGTGACACACTTTAAATGTTTTGTCATATTTTATTTCTTTTTCACCATTTTCTCTCACCAAACAATTATGTTTTTTAATTTGCTATTTGCATTGGACACACCTCGTTATGCACATGGGCAATATTTCAGGAAGGTGCACAAAAAAAGTGCTTGCTTGAGGAAATATTTCTTCACTTTTCCGTTTAATTGGCTATTATCGCCACCCAAATTGGCCAATATTGCTTCCGACTCGTGCTGATAGTGATGAAAACGCCACAAATACTAATCAATCACAATTACCCAGTGACGAATTGGATTAATTTCAGTGTGACGTGATAAAAGATTTAGCGAAGCTCTTCTATTGCCCATAAATATTTTTGAGCTTTAAATAAAGCGCGTCGAGAGTGGGGAATTAATCAAATGTGAAGCGTAATTCGACCAGAAATGGACATAATCAAATTCCCATTCGCAGTTGATTCTCGTTTTTTTTCGCGGTGTACCAACTAATATGAATACACGACACATGTCGCGGGGATTGGCGGTGGTTTTTTTTTCATCTACACAATATTGCCAATTTACACATTGTAATCAGCGATAAAAAGATTTTCACATAAAAGGTCAGAAACCACTAAGTGATGTGTGCGTGTGCACGTTTTCTCATGATTTCATCTCTTTTCAATCTCTTAAGCAAAAAATTTACCATTCTATTATTGCCACACAAGCAATTAATAATATTGAAGAGCAGAGGGGGGCTTATGTACAATATTATGAGGGTTTTTATGATTTTCATTCGTCTCTTAGATTGTTTTTGCGTCAATAGATTCTATAGTGTGTGTGTGTGGTTTGTACATAGTGAGTGGTGAAAAAAGTTTGGCTATTTAATGACTAATAAAATCGTGTGGATTTTATTGATTTACACTTGCGATCCTTGTAAGAAAAGTTGATAAATAAAACTAGAAATTTCTTATGAAAACACCCTGTAAATAGCATCTGGGCAATAATATCGAGTATGAATTCGTGCATAAATATCGCGTGACTGTAATAAAAATTTTGTGGCACTTGGAAGTCATTATTTCTTTTTACTCAATGAAAAGTTGCAAGTGGCTGTGATTTCTTCCTTCATAGATTGCATAGATTCGCGAGGAAAACTGTGAATATTATTGTGTACAAGAAGAATGTCTCCAACGCACGTCAGTGCTTTTCATACATCATCAATAGACAATGAAGTCTCAATCCGGTATCAAGCTTTGGGAAAGTAAGTTGCAATGTGACATGAAAATCATGCCCTTTAATTGGGAATTTAAGGGAAAGAAAACCAAACACATGTTTCAGCTTGTCCTACAATCAAAACTATTAATATGATTTACCTAATTTCTCTTCGCAATGAGATCTGCGGGGAATTTACCACCTCTTTATCTCTTCAAAACATTCTTAAACCCTAAATCACACTCCGAATGTGTAATCTTTGTTGGTCTTCAGAGCTTTGATCCCGGACAGTGTGTCAAAATATAAATTATTTCAAGGAAAATTTCCTGATTCAATTTACAAGTTAAGGTTGAACTCGTTGAGCTATTAATCTTCGCGGTGAGTTGAAAAAAAATACGTGAGATATAAATCTCATGTATATTTCTTTCACTTTGTTGGTGAATTGTGGGCAACATTAACCATTTCGTATTTACTCCACAAATTTAATGCGGAACATTAAAAAAATCAAACAAATTGATGCTTATCCTCTTGATTTTTTTTCTTCATTCATCTCACTGATTGCTCGCTATGTGGAAGTAACATATATTCGTGCAGATAAAAAACATCTGACGATAATTGCATCACAATTATGCCTGAGGTAAAAATACTGGAAGGAAATTGTAAATTTTGTAATTTGCCATTTCTTTATTTGTGACTTTTTGGGCTGAGTTTTGAGCGGCTTCTTTCAGGTGTTTAGAATGTAAAGAGAGAGAGTGTGGTGAATTATGTTGGACAGCTTGTAGATTAGCCATCAATATGGAAATATTTGAGATTTCCAGCACAGATTGATGAATTAATCTGAATGTAGGGAATTCACTGGCGACGCAATAAAACACAGAAACCTAGATTTCATCGGGCCAACATCCAAGAAGCATTTCAGTTGTTATGTCCGTGAATTGATGACGAGACACGCGCGTTTGATATCATCTTCTTTCAGTTCATTTATCACCTCGTGGATTCTCGTGGGTGGATTAAAGTTGAGTATGAGAAAAGAGGTAGCGAGATACAGAGGGCAGATGTTCGCATTCACCAAATTAAATGGCATTTTCACTGCGATTTTCGCCTTATTTTCACCGCTGCTCTTCTTCTTCTCTCTTCTCATCACCTCAAAACCTCCTCTCAATTTCTCTATTTTCATTCTCAGAAGTAATTTGCATAAAGATATAAGAAAAAAAGTATGTATAACAATTGTTCATATCCAGTGAAACACAAGTCTTCAACGTCTTCACTTAATGCATTTCGTGAGTGGCACGAGATGGAGTGTTTGAATGGTGGATTAAAAGAGCAAAATGCTCAGAGATAATTCAAACGCATTGTGTAATACACATAACTCAAATACGCACTCAATTGAGATTATTGTAATTATGTTCCGCTGTAGAAATTGAATTTAATTAATTTTCTCTATACGATTTACAGAAATCCCAGTTGGTGGAGGCGCCGAACTGCGTTGGAGAGGGCACTGACTTTGATCAGTGTTGTTGCCGGGATCGCGATATTGGCATTAATAATCGCCCTCGTGTCTTTGGCTCTAGCAGACAGCAGACGTGAAAGTACGTATGGAAATTTTATTCTCACCCAAAAAATCTATTTGACAGCGAAAAGGAGGCTTCACATCGCCTCAATCACTGTCTTCATTGTCTTCCAATCACCATCTTAATTTGCTGCATTAATTTCGACGTGAGTTTTTGGCTTTGTCTCGTGTTGCGACAGAATCACAAACAACACATTAAATTACAATTTTTGCCAAAAAGCAAAAACATATTGACAGATAGGACTATAAGGCGTAGAAAGAGAATCTCTAGAGAGAAAAATATTATTCGGGAAGAAAGATTGGACTTTGGCAACATCATCGTTCAGTGACCATTCACCTGCGAGTGAATGTTTTCTTTGCCCGAGGCGACTGTCTTTTTTTCTGTCCAATAAACTCAAAAAAGGTTGCAAAAATTTTACCCAAAGCAGGTTCTTTGGCTCTGAAGTCCATTCTTTGCGCGCAAACTTAACACCAGAGAGCACATCTTGGACGAAGAAAGGTGAACAACACTCTATGGTGGATATTTGGGTATATATTGATATACGCGAAGTGAATACTCAATCTCACATTCCCCGAGCTCTGAAAATTATTACACTTTGCAGAAGAAGCTTTTCGCAAATTCCTCAGCAATTCAGCTTTGCACGGGGCCCGTAAAACATTTCGCAAAGGCACCTCTCTCTCTGTCTCTCTCTGTCTTAATATTATTTCAAGCAATTAACACTGAAACGCATTGATGATACCCTCAGAAGAGATCAAACTACAATTATCGCTTTGGTGATTCTGAAATGAACGTCTGTAAACTCACAGCGATGATATCATATGGCGTGCGTGATAAATTCTCATCCTTGGATGAACTTGAAAATTGTTTCTCTCTCTCTTCTCCCTTGTGTATATTGACTAATTCAACTAATAATTATTGATCTCCGCCTCGATTAAATTTACTTTCTTCCTCGAGGAAATTCAAGTGGGGACAATGAGGCAAGCAGTGTCTCGTGAAAATAATTAGCATTTCAGCTTGATTTTTGCCAACAATTTGTTAGATATTGCTAGTAAATAAGCGAGAAGACGTTGAAATATGTCTTGAGCATCAGATAAAATATTCAAAGGCCACGATGAAGCCATTGCCAAAGAGAATAGATGATTAATTGATCATCTCTGTCTAGATGCCATAGAAAAAACCACCGCAGAAGCACTAGAGGGTAATCCAGGAATGCTCGAGGATGAACACAAGCAGTCTCCCAACCATGTCAGCCACAAGAATCAAGAAGATGTTTGCTTAACACCCGGTTGCATTCACACGGGTGAGAGATTAATTTTTTTACCTATCTTCAGTGTGCTTGTTTGTGTGTGTTCTGTTGAGTTTTGGTATCGCTATCAAGGTTGCAGAACACAGAGGATTACAATGGATATTGTATAACTATATAATATTTCAATAGCTTCGCGTGTTCTGGACGCCATGGACCCGGAAATTGAACCATGCGATGACTTCTACACGTTCGCCTGCGGAACTTTCCTGAAGGAAACCAATATTCCGGATGAGAAGGTGTCAGTGAACACTTTCTCGACCATCGGCGATCGTCTTCAGGAGCAGTTGAGGACGCTTGTGAGCGAAGAATCAGCGTCAAATGAGGCCAAGCCGTTCCGGTTGGCGAAAGATTTCTTCAAAGCCTGCATGAACAAAAGTGTGTTTAATCATCTATCTCTATAAAACATTACCTGAGAGATTGACCCACAAATTCACTCTCCAACTCCCACCTTTGCAGCTCTGATCGAAGAAAGAGGCCTGAAGCCACTTGAAGGTATTATGGATGCCCTGGGCGGATGGCCAGCGGTTCGTGGCGATACCTGGGATGAGAAATCCTGGTCATGGGTGGAAGCTGTAAAGAAGTTCCGCAAGTACGGATACAGTGTGGACTACATTCTGGACTTTAGTGTGGGAATCGATCTGAAGAAATCGACCCAGAGGACAATTGATGTAATTCTCGCAATCTCACTCTCGCTGCTGAGGAGGAAATTAATTGCTTTCTCTCCCCACATTTCAGTTGGATCAATCTGCTCTGGGATTAAGTCGCGAATACCTGATTAAGGGACTGGATGATAAGATTGTTCAGGCCTATTACAGCTACATGGTGGATCTGGCGGTGATTTATGGCGCGGAAAGATCACGAGCGGAGAAGGAATTGAACGAGTCACTGGCGTTTGAAATTAAATTAGCTAATGTACACTAAATCAGAGAATTTGCATGTTTGACGATGTCGTAATATTAATTCTTCACACGTTTGCAGATATCATTGCCGAATGAGAAGAGACGCAATGCAACAACACTCTACAATCCAATGACTATTGCGGAAGTTCAGAAGGCGTACAACTATATTGATTGGCTGGATTACATCAATGCCATCCTTCCGGAAAGTCTGAAGGTCGCGGAGAAGGAGACGATTATCATCAGCGTCCCCAGTTTCTTCAAGGACTTGGAAGCGGTTCTCAAAGAGACGCCAAAGAGGTAATGACTTTGCCCAAATCCAAACACCATCAACAAGATAGATAAGGGATTATCGGGAAACTCAATTGACATTAGCAAATAGAATTTCCATCGCAGAGTAATATTATTTTAGGAAAGCTCAGTTATAGTGTTTCCACAAAAGCGCGCATAAAATGTTACTCTTTCTGTATTTACTTACACATATAAAATCAATGATCTTAATTCTTTTTATTGAATGGGTCTCTAAATACCGTGAAATTTACAACATTGTTATTTACATTTACAAATGGAATTTCTCGCACGCACATGCGTAAATATTTATACTCAATTGATTAAATGAAATTTATTGTGAATACCGAACATCGTTCTCTTCCTCAGGACTATCGCCAATTACATGATGTGGCGAGTTTCGGCCTTCTCGTCCTTCTTCCTCACAGAAGAACTGCGCAAGAGGCAACTCGTGTACAGCACGGCCATCAGCGGCAAACAGGAGCAGGAGCCGAGGTGGAAGGAGTGCGTGGACATGACGAGTGGCAGGTGAGATTCAATTAAAGGTGGTGCAATCTTGTCTCACCTGTGGATTGAGCGTATATATTGAAGGAGTTGGCTAAAAATGTCCTTTAGATTGCCCTTGTGACCCCTATGAAAGCCTATCCAGATGAACATGGGTTAGCCTATTTCTCTCTTTCCAACACTTTCCAGGGAAGATGATGACGATGATATTGAGACTGGGTACGGATGTGTAATTATAATTTGGATTGTAGTCTAGTGAGGAGTCAAATTGTATTTATTTTGTAAAGTGGAAAAAAAGAACAAATTGGACAAGGAATTAGATGGCTAAAATGCATTCTTGTGTACGTGTGCTTAGCCTTGTTATTAGCTTTTGCTGGCAAATGTATAATATATTGGCTTATCATTGGTATGCCATCAGTTAATGAATGCTGTCTTTGGTGCTTTAATTAGAACAGAACTTTCTGGCTGCACTCTCTTGAGACAATGATGTGTGCATATTAGAAAAGTAGCATGATAAGACACTTTCATAGATGCGAAGGTGATGGAGATATTCTCTCACGAAGTTCTTCTCATTGTATTACCATTTTACATCGATGTTGTGAATTATTTTGTGTGTGGAAAACGTTGTGCTAAATTGCACTCTCAATTTCTGACCTTCTGCAGCCTCCCGATTTCCGTGGGTGCTTTGTATGTTCGCAAGCACTTCCGAGAGGACGCCAAGAAAACCGCCTTGGAGATGGTCAACGGCATTCGCTCGGAGTTCCAGAAAATCCTCACCACGGTGCCATGGATGGACGACAAGACAAGGAAGGCGGCATTGGCAAAGGCCAAGGCTATGACCACCCACATTGGGTACCCTGATGAGATTATGGACAACAGCAAATTGGAAGAGTACTACAAGGATCTGAAAATTGATCCGGCGAAGTACTTGGAATCCGTGCTGGCCATGAATGTCTTCGGAACGGACTATGCCTTCAACAAGCTGAGGCAGCCCGTGAACAAGACCGACTGGGTGACTCATGCTCGTCCTGCCATCGTCAATGCTTTCTACTCATCCATCGAGAATAGTATTCGTATGTTAATCACACATTAATTTTGGTGATCCGCTGAGAATTCACGCATTTCTTTTTCGTTTCTGCAGAATTCCCAGCAGGAATCCTCCAGGGTCAATTCTTCTCGGCCGATCGTCCTCGCTACATGAATTATGGTGCTATTGGATTCGTGATTGGCCACGAAATCACTCACGGCTTCGACGATCAGGGACGTCAGTTTGACCTGGACGGCAATCTCGTGGACTGGTGGGAGCCCGACACCAAGAAGGCGTACTTGGAGAAGGCGTCCTGCATCATTGACCAGTACGGCAACTACACCGAGCCTTCCACAACACTGCAGGTGAGTTTCTGGCGCGCACAATTGAGGGACGTGATAAGAGTGAAAGTGTGACTGAACCTTATTGTTGCAGCTCAATGGAATCAACACACAAGGGGAGAACATTGCGGACAATGGAGGCATCAAGGAGTCATATCTGGCCTATCAGAAGTGGGTCGAGAAGAACGGACCGGAACTCAAGCTTCCCGGACTCGATTACACACCACAGCAGATGTTCTGGATCTCTGCAGCTCAGACTTGGTGTTCCGTGTATCGCCCAGAGTCGATGAAGATGAGAATCACCACGGGCGTCCACTCTCCCGCCCAATTCCGCGTCCTCGGACCACTGAGCAATATGCGAGACTTCGCGAAAGACTTCAGTTGCCCAGACGGATCTCCAATGAATCCCACCCACAAGTGTGAAGTGTGGTGAATAAATTCCTAATTAATACAAGATGATATATAAATTATTTTTATTACTTTGTATTCCTTTGCTCTGAGAACAAAAAATGCATCATTATGTAATATTGTACTTAAGGCACAGAGTTTAACAGCCTATTAAAACCTTCCAATGTAAAATGGGTATTTCTTTTTTAGAGAAATGACACTCTATGTGCAGAAATTAATGTTATATCGATGGATGAATTGTGTAATTTCGGTGTATAATGCCAATTTAGTGAACTTTTATATAGGTAAGACCAATCAATAAATTGCCATGAAAAAATATTTTTCACAATTCGCCTCATTTGATCCATCTAATGTGATAGTAAACCTATAATAAATTAAAGTATTATTATTTCTATTAGAATGTCGTTGCGAAATACTAGATTTGAAATAGTTTCTGTGTCGCTCACTTGGGGCGCTTACTTCAGCCAGCTCATTTCTCCGCTTGTGGCGCTGGTGTCACTCATCGATTTTCTAATCGAAATCTGTGTGAAAATTTGTTGACTCGCAAATTTTTCTTGAGAGTGAATTTCTCGAATTTCTGTCAATTTCCGCAGCTCCATTGATTATCCGTGTACTTATTCCATATTTCCCCACTCTGACATTGGCTGTGGTGACTGACGCAGACTGTTCTCCTCAATCATTCTTGTAGATTCCACGAGATCTGTTCGACGCACTCCTTGTTGGTGAGAAGAAGCCTGTCCGGAAGAAGAAAATCGTCACATCATCACACTCGGAATATCTCTTGGATAGCAGACATCGCCTGGCGGCGCGGAAGCATCTTATATGACTTTTGAAAGATCCAGAGGTGAGCAAATCTGGGAGGAAAGGTGCAACTTTCACTCCTAACCCAACTATATGAGCGAAGAGAGAGAAATTTATTTTTAATCTCCCGTGTCTTTCCGAGCCACGTGGGTTATTTTTCTCCGCACGAGTGTTCTGTACCTCAAGTTTAGATTAGAATTTGCACAGGGGCTCTAGTGGCGGCCCGAGCAATGGTTTGTTATTAGGCGCGCGAGAAAGTGAGAGTGGTCCCCAAAAGTGGGCCTGTGTCAGCAAAGGACCTTCAGACAATTCCAGTGGAGCAACGAAATCCAGTTTGGCTCAGTTGCATAACCTGTTTCTATGTAGTTTTTCACACATTCTGGACGTTCCGTCTTCTCCGTTGCTCAAGCATAATGCTGAAGAATTCGTGGACAGCCAGTAGATATCAGTGGTGGCTATCAGAGAGTGAGAAATTGCGGTGAAACAGGCAGATATTGCACTGCATATGGGAATAGTCGCAGGGAAATTGATTAGAGAGGCAGAAACCTCACTTTATCAGTACAAACCATGCCACATAACATACATAAGTGATAAGGAATTGAATAAGGCAACAATAGAGTTGACCTGCTATCGGACTGTTTATTGCTCCTATTTTTCTATTTCTCCACTTTTATTTATTGAAATCGATACTATTAGACAATGCCTCATTGCGATGATGAACTTCTGGGTAAACTCAGCGCGATCATCTCAAAATACCTCACGAAACACATTTCAGAATGTCCAATTGACATTAAAATGATATCAATTGATAAATTCTTAATCTTAATCCATCGATTCAAAGTTCTCTCTTGTTGAAATGTGTTTTTCTTTCATTCCACAAAGCAATAACAATTTCTAAAGCGTTGATATATTATTTCTTTTGCTAAATTCTGAAATATTCAGCTGTACTTTTTTCTAGATCTTTATTAAGTTATTGAAGACACCTGTAAAAGATCAGAACTTATTAATTGCATTGCAAAATGCATGAAAGGTGTTACAATTCCTCTAACATAATGGCCGAAGCGTGTGCCGGGTTTGTTTGAAATATGGCAAACCTAAAAATAAAACATTTATCATAGCGATAATGCCATGATGTGTTGGAATTTAGGTGGCAAATTCGCGTGTAAATCGATTTTGGATGTATTTCTGTCCAGAGAAGTAAATGGCGGATGTTAAATATAAATATTGTTGAGATTTCTGATGAGTAATCTCGTGTTGGGGGTGTTGATGGGCTTCGGTGAATGAATTGAGGGTGAGTTTGTGCCATTGCCCAGATCCATGCTCTCGTGCTGGTGAATCGCACAGACTAGAATATGTCGGAAAATGCTTTGCGCACGCGTTGACCCCCTGCGAAGCTCCTTCTTGCTTGCTCATCAGTCTTCCTCGCTCATTTTCATGGTGATTTTTTGATGTAGGGAAGGAATTTCTGTCAGAGGAAACATTTGCTGAAATCATTTGTGTTTGCTGGTGAAAGTTCACCGTGTTCTCTTGGCAAAGTATAAAGAAAAGTGTGCTCCTCAATGACTTTCCTGAATGTGCAAAATGAATTTAACACTAGCACAAGGGTGAAAAACTCTGTCCGGGGCTCGAAAAGTGAGCGTGTCAGCACGTCGAAGCAATGGAAATGAGGGATGAAAATGTGTTTGATGTGGAAGGAGCTATAGGAAAAGCTTTCCGGGCTCCACAGTAGCTTCCAGCTGCTGCAGTGCAGTTCATTGAGTACCTCTGAGCCTCAACGACGTATTCTGTGCCACTTTGTATCGACAGCGCCGAAGAGAGATTTCAGCTATTTTCCCTGGGCAAAAGAAAAAAAAGCCATATTAAATTGAAATATTGATAGAAATCTTGGAAAAATCGTGGCTACAAGAGAGTTGGTGTGAAAAATAGAAGGGAGAGAGAGTGCAGAATTGGTGTATAAAGTCGACTTTTAATGCGAAATTCTCTCAAGCACGAGATTCACGATTTAATACATTCGTGAAGTGAAAACTCATTTTATTGATTTGTGTCTTTTCCGAGGCTTTTCGATTCCTCCAGCCATTGTGCAGTCGTGTCTGTGGTAGTCTTTACACAACAGTTGGAAAGAAGTGTTTCTATTCGTGACTGTATGTGGAATTAATTTGTGTTTTTTCCACTAAAATTCTAATCACTTGCTTTTGGGTGGAGAAAAAAGAGAGAGAATATAATTGCAGAGACGCGTAGAAGAGCATAAAATAATATCTGATAGTCTGTGAAAAGAAGAGGGTTGTTAAGAGAGCACAAAGAATATATAGTGAAAAGCAAACATTTTCTCAGAACATTGAGCAAGATTTTCCAAGGGGTTGTGTGCATTTTGTGTGAAGCGAGAGAGAGAGAAGATATCGGCCGCAGAAGCTGTGTTGCAGAGAGCGAGGAAAAAATTAATTAATAGTTATTTGTGTGATAATAAAATCGCGAAACGTTACACTGAGGTCGACAGAGAAACGTAATTTAGCGCTCCATCTTATGGTGGGCGCTCTATTGCCGGAAGCACCCGGCATTTTCTGCGGTGAGTCTCTTTTTCTGCAAAATGATCCATTTCTTTTGTGACCTCCACATGCCCACTAACCGACCATGCGTAAAAGAGCCATATATAATAATCCATAAATTTTACAATTTCATATATATATTTTTTTATGGACTTTTGGGGTGTGCATTTGTGGGGGATTATGATGTTATTCAAGGGTCTGTTGGAGAAGTGCAGATTCTGTCTCAAGAGCATTATTTATAGCCTGAAAATCTCTTGTTTTTCGGGGTTTCAAATAAATATCTTTCAATATTGAAGATTCTGAAGGTCAGAGGTCAGAATTCACTCAAAGGATTCACATGCTAATGGCCCAATTGAAGCTTTCAACAGAGGAAATATAAATCATATCTGAGTGGTAATTGCGAGAACATCCGCACAATCATGAGCAAAAAGCACCTCGCGAACAGCGCATTTACACCCCATTTTTATTATTAGCATTTTACTGTGATTAACAGTCATTTTTTCCTTGCAATTTGTGTGGTGAAATTGACCATTTCGTCCTGTTTCGAATGATGAATGAGTCACATTAAAGTTATTTAATGAGACACAATACAATGTTCCGAAGAGGCTTTTGTCTCTTCTTCGTTCCTTGCAGTGGTTGTGAGAGGATATTTTAGAGACTTCCCCATCTTGGTTGGAAATTTCTTTTTGGTCATTGATTTTTCCATTTCCTCTTAGTTTTATCTTGAGTATACATTTTTCTTTTTCTTCTTCTTCATATGAAGTAATTGATGATGTGAGGAATTTGGGTGGATAAAATGCCGCCCATCAGCAATTTTTCTCTCTATGATTCTCTCTCGTGTGCTCTCAGTTACACTTCCCGGGAGAGAATATAGTGTACAAGTGAGTCTGGAGGGAATACTCTCCCTCATATCCTCACGTATGCGTGGTTTTCAGTCTTTAATTTTTGTCAATTCCTCTCTATTTCTCCTCATTGTGTGAACCCTTCTGAGGATTCTACAGAACATGTTCCTTCACATAGACATCGAGGGAGAGAGAGAAGAGGGGTTGTTCGATTGGGTGGGGAATGTGAAAGAGGCAGACAGAGTGCAAAGTATATATGTATTTGACGGGTGAAATCCTGTGCAAGTTAGCAATTTTATTTCCTACAACAATCCTATGTACTTCCAAAACTATGTACACCCTTCTAAATGAGTTCTATGTGGGTGCAAGTGTCGAAGGTGGACGTCTATGTGTATGCAGTGAAGTGATTGTGGGACGAGAGGGTGAGGGAAAACGATGGAAATGATAGGAGAGAGAGCTTGGGAAATGCTAATAAATTTGTTATGAAGAAAAAAAGAAGTAAAATGTAATGTCATATGGGTCATATACAGTATCTAGCAGTGGAATTTGCTCACAGTTAGGTTACTGGGCGATTCCCATGGGGTGGAATGGGTGGAATATAGTGTGATGAGGCTCGATATTTATATAAAGCATGAACTGTATGGTGGAGAAACATGTAAAATATGTACACGAACAGTGGATGATGATTTCGATGATAGTAAGAAATATTCATGTTCAGACCGAGTCCGTTTTGATATAAAATATAAAACACTTTTCCACTCGATAAAATTACTTTGGGATTCCTTCATGTGACCATTCAAAATTCAACACTTGATGCGTTCACAATGTGAGAGTCTCGATAATCACTGTTGGGGCAAATGGTATTAGAATGATTAAAAATGAATAATTGTGTGACATTTCTGTGGTAGTTGAGAGTATATAAGAGCGGCCCAATTCTGATATTCGTGAGATGATGAAATCAATACTTTTGTACAACAACAAGGTTGTAATAAGACCCAGAGAATCTTCTCAATTAATCATGAATCCGCATCTAAATATTTTGTGTAATGGATGAAAATACTTTGACTTAATTAGTAACTTCGTGGACAACATTAAAAGCTGTTTTTTTTCCACTAATAGTGGAATAATTCATGTGAATTCTCCAATTTATTTGTTATAATAATTTGAATAATCTTCAAATATCTTGTAATTATTCAGCTTTAATCCTAAACAAAAAGCATCAGCAGTAATTTCTCCATTCGTTCTCTCTTATCTCATATTCTATTATGAAATATAGTGTCTTAAATGACTGGTAAATTATCACGATACTGTTTGTTTTCTTATGGATGAATTTTATCCAAATGAATTCTTCTCTGAGTTGCACGATTTTCTTTATGTTGTTGCTGAGTGTGAATAATACTAATTTGCGCCTTTATCGTTCACAGAAACATCAGAACTAAAAGGGACACCTCCATCTCCCCCCATCACAAGAAATCATCGTGGCAGATCGTGCATGATTTCTCATAGGCGGTGTTTAAGTCATAGGTATTGGGCATTGCTTTATGCCTGTGCTGTTTGCCTGTGTTGTGACATGGAATTTTGATATTCACTGTATTTTATTTCAGGACTTCAAAATTTTCCAGCAATAGACATCGAAAATTGCAACCATTCAGAGAAACGTGAGACGTCTGAAGGAGGGAAAAAAAAGTCTCAGTAAAATACCACACACAAAAATCAATAGCACTTTTGCGCGCACTTTGAATGCGTAACATTTTATTTACAAGGGAAAAAACATAATAATTATCCAGGAAAGAGAGAGAGACAGACAGAACAGAAGCGAGTGAGTGCGAAGAAGAAGAAGAAAAGAAAGGAAAAAATCAAGGATTCAGAATTGAACTTTGGCAACAGGAATACACATTTGACAATATCTGAGTTGGTTGAGCAGGAAATTAAGAGTACTGAAGTGAGAAGAAGAGAAGTTTCTGGCGGAGAAGAGAGAGAGAGAGAGTGGCAAATTTGTTGACCAAAACATCCTCTCTTTTAACCTTTTCTTTTTTTAATTTTCTGGCTTCATTCCTTTCTGTGTTCACACCTTCGATATCCGATCGCTAGCGTGAAGGACAATTCCTCCTATCATATATGCATATATCATTAGTAAAGTTGTCAAATCGTCGAGATTTGCTGAAATATCCCCACTTCAATTCTGGCGTAGGATTGATTTGTTTGGCCACGCGCATGCAGTGAGAATTTTCAAGGGTATAGTACCCTCAAAATAGTATGTGTGAGAGACATTGACTCAATCGTCTTCTGGAAGATAACTGCGAACGCTGATGCATTCAGTTGATTGTCCCAATTGAAGACTGGGTCAGAGAGAAAAACTACCAGGAATTTCCACAAAGAAAATATCACACATTGCGAGGAAGTTGTCAAAGCCTGAGCTAAAAAAAGTCTGCGAAAGTTGATCACACTTGCTGTCGGAAAAAAATCTTGAATTGTATTTGAAGGTGAGAGATTGAAGAATTTAACTTTGCATTTTTCTTACTAATGTTGTTTTTTTTGTGGCTTTTTCTTTGTAGTCGCTGAAATTTTTGCTGCAATTGAGTGTGTTGTTTGAGCATCGAAAATGGGTACCGTAAATGTGAATCGCAATGTGACGGATGTCTTCTATCGCTACAAGATGCCGCGCATCAATGCAAAGGTGGAGGGAAAGGGAAATGGCATAAAGACGGTGATTGTGAATATGGCTGAGGTGGCAAAGGCACTGGGACGTCCGGCAACGTATCCGACCAAATACTTTGGATGTGAGTTGGGTGCGCAGACGCAGTATGATCACAAGAATGAGCGCTTCATTGTCAATGGGTCTCATGATGCGGCCAAGCTGCAAGATTTACTGGATGGTTTCATTCGGAAGTACGTGCTGTGTCCCGAGTGTGATAATCCTGAGACGGAATTGCTGGTGTCCACGAAGAAGGGGACAATATCGCAGGGATGCAAGGCATGTGGCTATCATGGGGCGCTCGAGGTGAATCACAAAGTGAACACGTACATCTTGAAGAATCCACCCAACATGGATCCGTCGGCTCAGGGCTCCTCGCTCACGGAGGGGAAGCGCAGCAAGCGCTCCAAGAAGGCCGTGGAGAATGGCAGTGACGCCGCCAATGCGTCCTCCAACGCTGGTGGTGTGTCTGGAGATGCGGACGCTTCCAATGCGAGTGGCGGACACATTGGTGGGGAGACGGCTGAGCATGGTGAGGAGGATGACAACACTTGGACGGCCGATGTGTCCGAGGAGGCCGTGAGGGCGCGCATGCAGGATCTCACTGATGGTGCCAAGTGCATGACAATATCCGATGACACGGAGAAGAGTGAGCGCGAGCGTCTGGATATCTTCTATGAGTTTGTGAAGAAGCGTCGCGATGCTGGTGAGCTGGACAGTGTTCAGGTGCACAAGGATTTGGTGGCGGAGGCGGATCGTCTGGATATACTGCAGAAGGCGCCATTGGTGTTGGCGGAGCTTCTCTTCTCGGCCAATATCATCGCTGAGGTGCGCAAGAATCGCAATCTTCTGCTTCGCTTTACCCACAAAAATCTCAAGGCGCAGCGCTACTTGATGGGTGGCATTGAGCAGATTATCTCTCTCCATGCGGCCAATTTGATGAGCAAGGTTGCAGGAATTCTCAAGGTATGGAATTTTGCACAGAGAGAGAGAGAGAGAGATGAATGTGGGAACTTTATGGTGTTTTTCTTTTGGCTTTTTAACAGCTCTTCTATGACAATGACATCCTGGACGAGAAGACCATCCTGGAGTGGGCATCGAAGGTGAGCAAGAAGTATGTGTCGAAGGAGGTGTCAACGCAGATACACGAGAAGGCGCAGCCGCTTATCAAATGGCTCCAGGAGGCCGAGGAGGAGGAATCTTCGGAGGAGGACGACTCGGATGTGGAGATTGAGTATGATGATCGGGCCAAGGCGGAATTGCGCAAGGAGGCGCCAGCAGCAAAGGCGACCGCGAAGAAGGTTGATGATGATGATGGCGATGAGATTGATATCGATGAGATCTAATTGGGAGAAAAAAAAACAGAGAAGAGGGCAATTTCAATATAAAAACATATTTCAATTTGCAGGCTGAAGAAGATTGATGCTTATACGAAAAAAAAAACACTTTTATTTTCAACATATTACCCCCTACTATTACACAAAAGTTTTTTAATTATTCGCCTATTATATGGAAAATTGTCAGTAAAATTTATTGGGGAAAGGCGATTGTGGGATAGAATTGTAAAGGATGTGAGGATGTGTTCATTTGGCATGACTCTGGCACTCTTTTCTCTGAAGGCGGGAGGAGAAATTAATCATTGCAGTGAGAGAAACAGTTGAAAGAGGAGCTTTTGCTGTTTACAGCAGCAATAAAGATAACAGATTTTACTACAAATGAAAAGAGAGATATAGAATTATTACAATAGAATATGCAAGATAAGGCTTTTTCAACTTTCATACCATATTCAACACATTTATTGAAGAACAAGTTTGGAGAAAAATTGGTGGTGAAGGAATATATGAATTTGTGAAAGCCAAAAGGAAAGGTCATCGCGACACACATCCTTCAGAGAGTGTTGAGAGAAGGGAAGAGTGAGAGAGAATTGAATGGAAAATTGCTATTATTAGAAGGTGAAAAGGAAGGACATGAGAGAAGAGAGAGAGACAAATTGTAAGAAGAGACAATTTTCATAGTTTATTTTCCCTTCATTCTTAATGTCCAAATAAAATACAATTTAAAAAGCAAATGCTTGTTGTGAGAGCGCCGATGGGAATTGGATTCGCTCCGGGAGGAATCACATGATGATGATGAGAGTCCCAGTGTTGGAGAGCAAACAATAATAAAATACCATTGCGAATCCGATGGTCAGTCGGAGAGTTATTCCACCTCGCGCGGTGCACATTATAATGTGTTGTTGAAATTGCTCCGTGGCTTCGTGATGAAGGTCTCCGCTGGGGAGCACGTGAAGGAAAATCTGTAAAGTGGAGTTGCGCCAAGTGCTGGAAAGTGCGTGTGGGATCTGTCGAAAGAGCACCGACGGCGTCAGCCTCAGTCATCTGCGGAGTCTCCACTGAGGCACACACCACCTCTGGTCCCTGTTCTGTGCAGTGAGTGTGAAAGGATTACCTTCCAGGTCTCCTCCAAGGTCTCTCCGCTTTTCTCCTTGGCATTGCGGCGACAATGTATGAGCAGGACAGTGTCGAATGTGGGTCTCTCAATTGATATTATCCCGCCTCTAGAGTGCGCGCCCGTTGGACGCTTTGCTGGCCATGCTTAGAAAGTTTAGAGACGCAAGAGAGCTTCTCATCCGCCACACGCTAAGGCATTTTCTTTCAACCCATTCACGGCGATTGGACAGAGCGGCTGGAGTGAAAATCCTTGACCCTTTTCGCCATTGAAGAATACATTATTGTTATTTTCTTGGCACACCACACGTGATATTTGTCCGCTGCAGTGGCTGTCAGAGTGGCTCTGGTCGTTTTTGCTCTCGCCAGAGCTTCTGGAAACGTGATGCTTAATTTATTTCTTGCGGAAGACTTGTGATACAGAAAAAAAATGGGAAAGATGTGAGACAATACAATATCTCACGGGAGATTGACGAATTGGCTGACGAGGCTTTGTTTTCGAGCTTCTCGCGCGATACGCACACACATTTAGCGTCTGAATTGCTATCAGATTGGAGGATAGACGAGATAAGAGGCTTAGAAGTATGTACGATTGACAACGATACAGTTCAGGTATTTTATTGCAGAAAACACGAGCAAATGCTTTTATTGCCAACGACAAGTCATTTTGTGCTTCAGTGTATGGCGGGAGTCGCGCTTTTCCACACTTAAAACCCTTTCTCTCTCTCTCTCTTCTCCTCCAAGCGGAGCTCTTCCTTCCGATCCGAGGCATGGCCGGCGAACCTGAGCGCGATCCCGGCACATCGACGCAGGTCCAGGGACCAAGATACTATCTCAAGAGCGCCACCAACGGTCGCGGTGGTCTCAATGTGTACGTGAGCAATCGACGGAGTAGTTTCTGTGAGCAGCAGCGCGATGGTCAGAACTCCTTCAGCTTCCGCGACTTCCTCAAGTCCAAACTCTTCGTGAGCATCCTCATCGTGGGCGCCGTCTTCATCACACTCATCTGCATTGGGCTGGTGGTGATGTACGAGCGAGACGGTAAAGTCACACAAACCATCGATGTGTGGCGAGACAAATTAACTCCAGGTAAATTGCTCCTTATTGTCTGCGCCTCGAGGCACAAATTTGAGGGAAAATTGAGAGTATGCGTGTAAAGTTTGCAATCACCAAGAAGACGTGAAGAAATTTTTCTCTCCGAGCGATTAATGTTGAGATACAAATTATAGCTTGACTTATGAATAATTTATTAGCATTTAACCGATGTCTTTCGGAGGGCAATTTAATTTTATTTTGCCTTTAACTTCCATCTGTATTAATGATTTAATTGACTTTTTTATTACTCACAGCTGACACAGTCCTTACACAGTGTTGGCAAGGGAAATAATACCATCGGGAAAATTGGAAAAGTATATTATTGCATTAGGCGTGCTTAATTATCGCCAAAGGTCAATCAGAAGTTCAAATGGCAAATGTAATTTCATTAATGAACAGCAAAATGGACGCAAGTCAATCAAATCGACGAATAGCAAATTTCCTTGTGATTTCCAGAGCAACTGGTGTGGTTCGAATCCGGCCTGGATGAGCTGAAGAACGCCCTCACAATTCAGTCCAATACGAAGAGGGCGAAAAATGTCATTCTCTTCGTGGGAGACGGCATGGGTCCTGTCTCCACGACGGCAGGACGAATATTCAAGCATGGCGAGGGCGGCAGACTCTCCTGGGAGAGTTTTCCCCACATGGGGCTCCTAAAGGTGTGTACAATTCAGCCAATGTCGCGCCAATTCAGTGTCAATTTGTGTGGTTTTTCCAGACATACGCCACGGACAAGCAGGTTCCAGATTCATCCTCCACGGCAACGGCTCTTTTCGGCGGCGTGAAAGCCAACTACAACACGAACGGAGTGGATTCTGGAGTGCCTTTCGCCGATTGCCAGGCATCGCTTAACAAATCCCACCACGTGGAATCCATTCTTCACTGGGCTCAGAAGGCGGGCAAGGGAACGGGCTTCGTCACGACTACACGCGTCACTCACGCCACCCCGGCCAGCCTGTACGCCAATGTGGCGGATCGTGCGTGGGAGTGCGACGCCACAGTGCCACAAGACGCCAAGCGTCTCGGGTGTCTGGACATCGCGCGTCAGCTGGTGGAGGAAGATCCCGGACAGAAGCTGAATGTGATCATGGGCGGTGGCAGACAGTGTCTTGTGTCTGGCGTTGAGGGAAGCGCAGCTGATCCGCTGGACACGTGGTCGTGCAACTCCGTTGACGGTCGGGATTTAATTGAGAAGTGGAGGAATGATAAAATCGAGAAGGAGCACTCCCACGTCGTGCTGCAGAATAATTCCGATCTGGCCAACTTTGACGAATCCAGTGAATATGTGCTGGGAATTTTTGCCAATGGCCATTTGAAGTATGAGGATGAGAGGGACAAGGGCGAGGCAGGAATGCCTTCGCTGGAGAACATGACGGCTGCAGCTCTGAGAGTGCTGCGGAGGCACCAGAACGGCTTCTTCCTGGTCGTTGAGGGAGGAATGATCGATCAGGCTCACCACAGAGGATGGGCCAAGAGAGCACTCACAGAGCTGGCGATGATGGACGACGCTGTGGCGGCCACACTGAAGATCATGGCACGGGAACTGGACGAGACTCTAATCATCGTGACAGCCGATCATGCCCACACTCTCTCACTCAACGGGTATCCCGAGAAGGGAAGCAGTGTCTTCGGAGTGGCACAGAACTCCAGGGCGGACAACATTCCTTATACAACACTCACCTACGCCACCGGTGGCCCGGATGGCTTCCAGGTGGATGTGGACGGCGAGGGAAAGGCGCGCCGAAGAGATCCCACTCTGCAGGACACTGAGGGATTCACGTACGTCCAGCAAGTGGGCATCTTGACGGATGAGAACACGCACGGAGGAGTTGATGTTGCCGTCCACGCGATGGGCCCCATGGCTCATCTCTTCCACTGTGTCCATGAGAACTCCTACGTGGCCCACGTGATTTCCTACGCCGCGCGCATTGGGCGATTCCGTGATAGCTCTGCAGCAGGTGCTTTCTTCAATCTCCTTGGATTGTCCTAAATATGCTGTACGAACAATTAATAGGTGAAATATAAATTCTGCGCGTTTGCTGGGTGATAGTCACCCGCTTTGACTATATCACTGTACTTCAGTTTTCCATGCAGATCCTGATCTGAGAAGAGATCAGCATTTTTCAGCCAAATTCTGGTGATTTTGTGAAATGCGAGCCATTTAAACACCCTTTAAACATGAAGAGTTCACTTGTAGATGGCTCTCGTGTCGGGAAAAGGGTGAGATGTAAATCAAGAATTAACCTCAAAAACCGCGAGGATTTCGTCTTCTCGGGGTGTTTTCCTGCGTTTTCACCAAATTCTCCGTGTCTTGCCGAATAAAGTAATCTCATATAAGTAGTTTGAAGTCTATTTAGTTGATATAGTGTCACGCAGATAGCGTGAATGTGGTAAAAAGCAGTATTTTCCAGAAATCTCCGTCCTCCGTGAAACAGAGTTTTCCGGGAGCACAGCTCGCTGTTGTGTGACGAGAACAAGTACACGAAGGCGAAAATCAATTGCTGTGATGGCTCACTCGATTATCTGATAAGCACTTGTTGTTTTCTGGAATCTCACAGAGTGTTTCTGCCTGAGCCCGCTGACGGCTGTCTACCGAGCGCAGTACCAGTCGTATGGGCGAGAGTTTTCGGTCACGCGTACTCAAATGCTCCAAGTTTTCTGACCCTTTTTTTTACCACCAAAAGAGTCACTGAAAATTCCGTGTTGCACTCCCGTGCTGAGGACATTTGGGGCCAGAAAGTGCCGAACGTGTGTAGTGGCGTGTAAGTGAAGTGGCAAGGACGCTTTTGGTGGACGTTGCGAAGAGGCAAAATGAGGATTTTCATCTCCTTGGCCTGCTCGATTGGATCGATGGGCATCGCCTGGGGCAGCCTGCTGTCGCTCAACATCTCTGACAGGATCTCACTGCAGCGCGGAGTCTTCCTCTCATCCCTGGGCTTCGTGTACTTTGTCTCCCTCACGGACTTCTTCAATCGATTCCTGCTGGAGACAACAAAGGGTCTCCAATGGCGCAAAAAGTACCACCTCATGGTCTCCGACGTGATGGACATCACGAACAAGTGAGTCTCCCCATGGCAATAGTGCTCTCTCGGGCGCACTTGACATAGCCGGGAAGTCCATAAGGCGCGTCACTCTCACCGCCGCGAATGTCGGGAGAAAAATTCTGCCAGTTACGCAATTCATTTTATAATAATAATACCACTCTAGAGTGTAATAATGACCCAGTTCCGTGCTTCTGATAATTACGACACTCTCACAAACGTGCGCTGTCTACTTGCGATGCTGGACTTGGTCTTCGTCCACATTTCCGAAGCGGCACGTCCATAGATTTCTAATAATAATAATAATAATAATAATAATACTGCTGTATAGCACGGACATGCTAATTCTCCGCCACCCGCGCACGGAGTCGCCAACGAGAGTGAGGAAAGCCAAAGGTCAACACTTCAATTCACACACTCGTGCAGTGCCCAAATCAACTCCACACATTTTGGACTCTTTTGGCTCAAGAATCGATACATTGTTCAAAGGCAGTTTCACTTTTGGGCTCAAATGCTCGTAACAAGCGTGGAATTCGTGATTTTCTTCTCGCCTTTTTCGTTCACGCGGTGCCTCTGTCGTAAATAGCTGTGGCATGGCATCTAATTGAGGTGATCAGACGGCCTCATGATTGACAAGAGTTACCAATCTGGAATTTCTTCTTGTGCTGTGCTGAGAATATTAGCCGAAAACATTGGGTTTTGCAAGCAATAATGAGCAATTTGTACAGTAGCTCGAAACTGTGATATCTTGTCTTGCAATGTCATCAAAATTCTCTTGATCATTTCCATTATAAAAGACTCAAGCTGCATTAAACTTGAGTTTTTCTTTATCTGAGATTGATCGGATGGTATTTAATTACAACTACATTCTATCATGTTCATGATCTTCGACAGAGAAAGACTCACATCTCTGTTCAGTGTGTATTTCAATCGTGTTTCTTTCTATTATTCTCCTATTGTGTTAGACTTTCTGTCCTGTGTTTTGGAAAGTCTATCTGGTCATTTATTAATTAGAACCACTCTATGAAAGAGAAACAAACAACAACACTATTCATTTGGAAGAAGAGTGAAAAAAAGGCATCTGCGTTGTGAAACGCTTCAATGGCCTCTATGCGCTCGAGAGAAATGGCGAAAAACAGTGAAAAAATGAGTGATCCAAGTCCATTTCACACTTTGTGTGTTTGTGTTTATTTGATTAGCATTCTAATGCGATTATTCTGTGTGTATTTGCAGACTCGTGTCGGCGGTGCAAGCGAGCTTATCCTGTCTGGCTGGCTTTCTCGTGTGCAAATCCTCGTGCAACCGATCATTTCTGCACGCGTCACACTTCGCTTCGGAGGCGTACGCGTGGTTCGGAGCGGCGTACTTCTTCTATGATCTGTGGAGTATGTACAAAGTGCACATCCACAAGGTGCTGGACAAGCTGAAGATGGTGAAGGATCAGGCGAGTGTGAGCGTGAAGAATGGCAATGGGCATCAGATGTTCGAGGGCAGGCGGAATGGGGGAAATGGCGTGTGTGATGGCGAAAAGGAGGGATATCGCAAGAAGGAGATCCGCGATGACTATGGCAATGAGATAACACTGGAGGAGAGACCGTCCTTCTGGCGCTACATCTCCCGGCAGCCACTCATGGTGGGTCATCACATCTTCATAGGGTCGTTTGGCCTGTGCGTCATTGCGTACCTGAGAGGTGGTCTGGGCGATTGCATATTCAGCTTCATCTTCCTGATGGAGGCCTCCACGCCGTTCGTCTCGCTCAGGAGCATCCTGAGCACAATGGGGCTGAAGTTGAGCAATCTGTACTTGATCAATGGCGTGCTGATGCTCGTGACATTCTTTGTCTTTCGCATCCTCATGCTCCCGTTTGTCTTCTATTGGTACAGCCAAACGGTGAATTTGCCCTTCATACGAGCCATTGCGTCGCTGCCGCGCGGCTGCAAGATCAGTATTTGCATTTTATTCTTGCCACAGATTTACTGGTTCTATCTGATTTTGCGTGGGGCTCTGAAGGTGTTCTTCCCGAAAAAGTCGCCCAGTGTGACGACAAAGAGACAGCCAAATTCCACAAAACCCACAATAAATGTGATCTCAGATGATGAAGATGCTGATCAGGGTGTGAAGAGGCGTTCAGAACGCCACATGAGTCTGGACAATGGCAAATCAACACAATCCCTGACACTGATGTAAAAAGTTTTGGATATCTTTTTCTCCTAAAAATTTCTTCTCTCGCCACCAATATTTTTTTCCTAATCAGCGAGAGGCATTTTTCTATTTAAAAAATGAAAGGAAGGTTTTGTCTGCTCTTTTTACGACAGTTTTTTCTTTGTGTGAAGATACCAAAATTCATTTTGTAACTACATGTATAGATGTGTAAAGACGACAGTAAAATTTCAGACATATTTATGTGGTGTAGTGAGATAAGGATGTAATATTATTTGTGGCAGATAATACAGAAAATACTGTGTAGATTTACTGAGAGGATGGAAGAATCATTGTAATAGTCGTCACGGAACTAGTCACACTGTAATAATTGTAAGCAAGAAAAAAAATTAATTAAGCATGAGAGAAAGAGAGAGAGAAATGAGAAAAACAATGTTACAAAAAGGAAATTCCTCCCATCCGATTCTGAAGACACTTTCGTTTGTCCTCTCCATAGAATAAGCAAACTCTCTGCAGTGACCATTCTTTTTATCTCTCCACCCATTTTCTCCCTCCGACCCCTTTTTGATACATCAGAATTTATCTAAGAGACACATTCCAATACGTCGTGTTAGATACACAGTGAAATTTGAGAGAAAGAGGCAAATAAACAGATAAGGGGAAAAATCTATACCAACTATCGACATTGTCTGTGTGCAGAACGAATTTGTTAAATGTGCTTTATGTGAAATATAACCAATTTACATTTTTGTGCAGAGAACTTGATGATGATGATGATGATGAAAATGTAGGAGATTAAATATACAATTTGATATTTGCTTACATAACATATTTTTATATGATTATTGAATGTATAGGACCTTCTTGTTTTCTCAAAAAAAAAATATTTGTATTGAAAATCCAGATTGAAGAAAAAAAATGTGGAGGAGAAAAGAAGGTCGAAAAATTTTTGTGGTAAGACTAGAGCAGAGTTTTGTCTTTTGGACATTTTCTACCCGTTTTTTTTTCGGTGCGTGTGTGGCGTGCAAAAGTTTAGGGACACCGATTTGGAGTATAAATATTCCTCACACACAATAATAACCAAAAGGGAGTAAAGTGTGCGCATTTAGAGAGTATTTTCTTGGCAATGTAGACGAAAGCAGATAGTTTTTATTACAATGCTGCAGCTTCACAACATCTCATCACTCAAATCATATTCGTTGGGTGAATAGAAAACTATGAAAAGTCGATTTATCATAATTTTCGTCTTCATGTATTTTTGAAAAGCTTCTTATTTGTTCTTCCTGTGTAAAAATTCTGAGATTTGTTAGCAAAAAAAATCAAATTGTCATGTTTTCTGAATGAAAAGTCGAATTATTAATTGTTTACGCTGTACGATTTTTCCTAGAAAAATGTCTCAAAAATTACAGTAAAACGCATAAAACGACTTTTCAGAAAATAATTATAGATTTTCAGAATTATCCTAAAATGTTTTTTAGACTTTGAATGAATATTTATCATATCTTTTAAATTGTTTCACTTGAAAACTGTAAGGAAAAGTTCAAGTGAAGTATGAAAAGTTGAGTTTTTAGAACTTGTTTGGATAAAATCGTCTTTGGAAAGGAATATTTTCAGATTTTCCATAAATTTTGTCATATTTTAGTCAAAAATTCCAATAAAATCTACTAAAATATTTACAAAATAATAAAAACAGAGCAATTTTTGCACTTTAACGGACGATTTGAATGTCTTTTTAAGGGTTTTGAAGTAAATTTGGCAAATTTCGCAGCTGTATTAACGCTAAATTTTAAACTAGTTCTGCTGAAAAATGACGAGCTTGACTTTTGTATAGTTTTCGAGGCACCCGTCGATATGTTCTGACACTTTTGCAGTCCGCTTTAGAAGACTGTTTTGTAGAAGAATGGAGAATAAAATGTGTAAATTGTAAATGTAAATCATCAAATTGCTGTCCCAGTTTCTGCCTTCAGCTTTTCCGTGGCCACAGAGTCACATTTGTGTGTAGGGAATGGAGATTTGACGGGCACAACTCTGCAGATCGATGCGCACATGATAAGACGAGAGCAAGAGAGCGAGAGAGAGTGAGAGGGATGAAGCCAAAGTCGCGAGTAGATGATAAGGAAAAAATGTGAGAAACATTGTGTAGAAATATTGTTATTATATGTGTATTAAATAGGAAAATCATGCAACACAGCAATGATCAAGTGGCTTTTGAGTGCGCGCAGAGAGATTGAAAGATGACTTGCTTTGTGTACTCATTTGTTTGCCTTTTTATTTTTTAACTAATGTACATTTACATTTTGATTAGTTCTTTATTTCAAATAGTGTCTGTGTCATATTTTTTCTTCTTCTCATTTAATGCCTTCCATCATCATTTTAATAATATATAAATTTTTCCGAATATACACAAAAAATAATTCATATATTCTAATTCTTTTTCATCTCTCATCTTCTTTTTTTTCTTCTTCATTTTATAAATATCTCTGTCACATTATATACATAATTTTTCTATGACTTCCTCATAGATCGTGTTGTCATCTTCCTTTCCCCCACACAGTAATAAATTCTGCAAATTGTATATTTGATAATAAAAATTACACAAAATCACTCTCAATGCGAATGAAACAAAGTTCTAAATCCTGTCTTTTTATCAATTTTTGTATCCGCCTCTATTCTCTTTCTTTTCTCCCTCTCCTTTGTTTTCTCTTCTTCTTTTGTTTACGTGAGCAATTAATTTGTTATATTCGTCGTTTTAATAATCTCTTATAAATACATCTTCTCTATTTTCTCTTCAAAATCTTAATCATCACTCGTTTAAAATGGAAATATTCACATTCAAAAATATAACACGTGACATTCACCAAGAAAATTATATGAATGCTGTTCCTATTTTTCACACCTTTCAACATTCTTTTTCTTTTCTTTTTTTTTGTATGGAATCATCTAAATACAATCTTTAATATACGCTATTTAAATTTATATTCCTCAGTCTGAATTAAGAATATTTTCTTTATGAATATTAGAAAAAAGAAAAATTCTCCCATGTTCGTGTTGAGAAAAAACTCACTATAATATTCCGCTATGTATTTAGTTTTTAAAACTTCTAAAACACACCTAATGTTGAGACTTCTATGTCAAATATTTTCTGTCTCTGACAATTTCATCTTATTATGTTTTTTTTTCTTTAGTTTTCATGCTCTATTCTTAGTGAGTTTATAATGGGAAATTGCTTGCTGTTATTCAAAAATTCACTACCACGAATTCTCTACTATTTGCTCTCTTTTTTCCACACTATTCAGTTTAATTTTTTTATTTTTTTCTTCATCTTCTTCTTCTTATTATCATTGAATTTGAGCAACGAGAAAAGTAATAAAAAGTCTATTTTTATGTTTTACTTATTCACTTGGGAAAAGTATAAAATTCCATCAAGAAAATAACGACAAATATTCACTATTTTTACCATATTTTATGAAACTTCTTCTCCAACTTCTTCTCTTCCTTTCTGTCATAAGAAATATTGAATATTAATGTTCACCTTTTTTTATTTAAACACTTTTAAAATTTTCTTTTAGAAAAAAATATTTAGAACATTTTATGTTTATCTTTCTCATCATGCACAATCAATTTACTTCTCTACACTTCGCTTTCTTTTTCCTATCGCTGTCATTTTTCTGCCTAAAAAAATTCCACAAAGTCAATTACTACAGTGTCCTTTTCCTCCTTGCACATCTTGTCTTGCTACTTCTCCCTGCCGCTCAGCACTCCTTCATGCTCCTCCACTGACGTCTCTAATCATACACAGCGCGACAATCGGCAGGATCGGCAGAGATTCTGTGCTGTGGCAATCCTGCTTCGTGTCGCGCTCATCCTCTATTTCTGCTCCGTCAAACAGACAGCGTCACCGTGACCTTCTCCACTCGCATCCTCTTGCTCCTCCGGGATCAGTTGTGCAGCCACGACGCCGGCACCCACTGAGGCTCGCGCTCCAGCGAATTGATCTCCGTGAGGAGCTGATGATAGGCCCTTTCCGTCTCGTTGTTGATGATGATCATGTCGAATAAGTGACCCCATCGCGCTTCCATGTCTCTCGCCGTGGCGATAATCTCCTTCAGTTCCTCCTCCTGCACAGACAACACCGATATATAGCCACACACCATCGGCAAAAGCTGCCCTTCCGGACGGAAATACACTCACCTTGAATGGCTCTCCATTCCTAATTTTCTTCTGACGCAACTTCTCTAAGCTCGGCGGTGCCACCAGAACGACGTATGGCTTCAAATCCGACGCCCTGAGCAGTTTTAGACTCTGTGGATGGAGATTCAGCACGCAAATCTTCCCACTTCCCACCACAGCTCGTATGGCTTCAAGAGATGTCCCTGGAAATCGCACACACAATTAGTTCGCACACGCCCTCGTGGCACAGAAAAACATCCTCCACTCACCATAATACGCCTTCTCGTACTCTCCATGCTCCACGAACTTCCTCGCCAGGATGTCAGCTTCAAACTGTGCCCGCGAAATGAAGTGGTAATCCTGTCCGGGAACTTCACCATCTCGTCGAGGTCGTGAGGTATCTGTGGAGCAGAGATTCAGGCATTATTCTCAACCTGTCAGAGCCAAACACTCTGCAAGGAAACTCACGTGGAACTGCAGCGGCAAATCGATCGGAATCCGCCATGAGTCGCTGTCGAAGTTCGTGTCGTCCAATATTGGGCGGTCCGATGAGGACAATTGGCCTCTTGTGAGACGCTCGCGGATAGTATAAAGCAACTTCTTCATACGTGAGTATTTCCTCAGGGTCTGGCTCGTCGTGTGTCGTCGTTGCGTAGAGAGGATATCTGCGAAATACAGCACAAGATTAGAAAATAAAACATAAAAATAATATATTTGACTTACCCAGCTTCGCTGCTGGCTTTCTTTTTCTTCTTCCTCCCTTTCCTGGCACACAGCAGAGTCGCGCCCTTTGTCTGCTCCTTGTTCCTCCCACGTTGTCCCGCCTCGCCGGCAATTGCCAGCTTCATCGATTCCCGCTGGTGCTGGAATGACTGACTGGGAATGAGACCAGCCAGAGTCTGATCCTCCTCACCCTCGCGATACGCTTGCCACCAGTTGGGATCATCCCGCGAGATCACGTGCAGGACATCGCCCTTCTGGAAGCTGATGCCCAACTCGCGGCACGGAATGTACAGATCGTCCTCGGGATCGTAGTCAAAGTGGGACCTCACGTGGAGCACAGGCGGATCCCTGCCGCCGCCGCCCGGCGGAGGACTCCCGGCGGGCACGATGAGGAAGGTGAGGGTGCCCGTCATGGCGCCGAGGAGAGCGCACACGTCATTCACACTCTTCCCGCGCATCTCGATGCCATTCACATCGAGAATCTCGTCGCCCTCGTGCAGCAAGCCCGACTTCTCCGCCGCCCCGCCGCGCACAATTCTCCCAATCACCACGGCCTCGCCCTCATTGCGAATGGTGGCGCCCAGAGGCTCAGAAGACTTCTCAATCCGAATGATCCGTATGTGATCCTGCGTCCCGTCTCGCAGACTCCCCACGGGCGTGGCAATGGGTTCGCGCTGCTTCATGGTCAAGTTGTTGTTCACGGCATTGGCCGACAGCGGTGGCACAACAGGTGGCTTCACGGGCACCGGTGTTGACACCGGTGTCGCCAGGAGTGACGACGTGCAGCTCCTGTCCGTTGTCGTGGCGACGCGGTCGTGCGCCTGAAACAGTCCCTCCATCTCGTACGACGACAGAATGCCACACAGCTCAATGGCAGCCGGCGAATTTGACTGCGCCAGCGATTCCATGCAATCCTTGGCCAAGGACTGCACATTGCTCGTGACGGGATTTGCCACGCGCGGCCGTCGGCGCTGCAGGACTGCGGTTCGTGTGGCCAGAGAGCGCGCCACACCAGGACCCAGCAGAAGGCTCTGCGCCGCCGTCACTCTGCCCGCCAGCGATGCCAATCCGTACTTGTTCAGGTGACTCTGCAGGCGCTGCAGGGCACTCACCAGCTCGCCGTAGCCTGAAATTGAATGGGAAACCCAATTAAAATGATGCACCGCAGATTGGCAATATTTTTCAATTCTGCAAATTAATAGTCCATTTAGCAAAAGCATTAACATTCTGTGTGCTTCCTTGAAAAATTATTCTACTGGAATTACGTTTCCGTGAAATTGCCTCGACCTTACCACTCTTCATTCTCTTCCTCTCTCTCTCTTCCTGCTCTACAATTGTACTGATTTTTCCATTCCAGCAGGAAAAAGCTTCAACATTGGTCAACAAAACCCATCAACGCTTTTGTTGCTGCGTATTGTTAATACAAAGCATATAATTCTCAATAGAGAAGAGTTGGCAAAAAAAATGTACAAGCGGAAATTGAGATGAATTAATAAACGGAAGCGACGTTTCACAGTCAACAATTCTGCCCAATCGAAATTTTCTGTAGCACAGCAAAGTGATCTGATTTCTTACCTATGATTCTCTCCACCTCCTCATCCTCCAGATAGGCTTCATTCTCCACGCCAATGGGATTAATGACCATCGGTCCATCCTGGAGCGCTTGGAGCTTCCGTGAGCCCCGCAAACTCGCCCGCAGGAATTCATTCTGCTGCGCTATCCTTTCCTCCTCCTCGCGACGTCGCCTGAGTTGCTCCTGCAAAAAGACACGCGGTGGATGTTAGAGAAAATTGCCACTTTTCTTCAGCATTTCATCAATTTGCCTGATAGTGATTTTGCCGATGGAAAGATTCATACATTTTCCCACACTTTCACACACTTTACTATCGAAATCCAATTTGCAAGACACCTTAATCTAAACCCACTCGATTTACACTCGCATTCCTAATTTATCCGTGGCATGAAAAAGCAATCGCACACACACTTTCGTTTCTTATCAGTGCGAGTTTCACTGGTAAAATGAGAAATATTTTTGCCATGAGCAAATTACAACCACATTCGAAGACAGTGGAGCTAAAGTGACTTCTATAGAGACTCGCCGTTGGGTGGCCAAGACTGAAAATTCCCTGAGAATTATTGCTAATTTTATTTTACATGATGTCACACTGAGAGAAGCACTTAAAATCCGATATTTTCCAGTAAAACTCAAACACTACAACTCCTCAACATTATTGGTAATTTCACTCTTTCCGCAATTTTTGCATGCAGACTTTTAACGTGGTTAGAAAGGTGACATAATCACATCAGAATTCACTTGAAGACGTCCGACTGTGGGCATATTTTACGCGTTTAACATTAAAGCTCAATGTCGAATGAAATTGAGAAAGTTTAAACGCCTCAAATACATCCTAATCCACTTCTTCACTGTGCACCTCACTGCCTTTTCAGCTTCCACTCCTTTTCACCACCACCACTCGCCCCCTGAGCACAGCGAGGAGGAAAAGGGCTCTCAATGGAAAACCTCTTTTCAGTGCGACACCCAGTCAGTGAAGAGATACGTGAAAAATCTCACTGCCGCCTCAATACCATTTCAGATGCTAATAAACGTGCGGTGTGAATTGATTTCCAACAAAAACTGATTGTTGTGCGACCACACATGAATTTTCATTTTACTTCTTGGTGTTTTGTGAGCACACCACTTTGCTCTGGCCACATAAAATGTTTCCCCTCTTTGCTGCTCTTCCACTGTATGTGTTCACATGACTTTTCTTTCATACAATCGAAAAATATAATATAATTTTATCGTTCGCCAGCAGAATATTATTATGTACAACTGGAAAGGAAGCTCAAAGTGTGTGTTCACACTGCAAAATTCTATTACACCTGATCAGGAGGTGCAATTGGCAGAACTAGAATCTAATTGAATTCACCAATTTTCGAATAAATTTCAATTTTATGAAATTTCAATTGAATCTCTTAAAATTGTCTAACATTTTATCTGCATATTCATCCACATTAAATTGCGTAACTTTTCACAAAAGCTATTAGTAAATATAGAACTCGCTAAATTGACGTAATATAAAGTTTGGCAAATGAAATTCATTTGGAGCATCTTAGCAGCACTTTTCGCCACATGACTCTGAAAAGTTCTCTTTCCTTTTTATGAGGATTCTTCTCCCTGATACACTTGGCACTTAATCGTCATTGCAGGTGCACATATTAAAATGAAAACAGAAACTTTTAAGCACGAGATAAAAGATAAATAGTAAAATTGCTCTTCGCGGATATTTGAGCTGAGAATGAAATAAAGAAACTTCACCAACAGTTCAGATCAATGTTTGAAGCAATGCTATAGCATTAAAAACATAATTAAATTACTACTTTTTTCCCTCTGATATCTCTTCACATGTCGTATTGATAGATTTATTTTTATGCCATGTTATGTATTCACTTCTCATTCACTCATTACTCACTCTTTTTCCAAACCCATTTATATACTTTGCCTGCTTTTTTCATTCACCCTCTCTCGAAAAAAAATACACCTGAGCGATTTTATGCATTTTGCCCATCGCACTCATAAGCACTCAACTTGGTAAATAAATACTGACCATTTCACTTGCAGAGCATAAAAAAAATACAACACAACAATATTCTTTCACTTCCTCTCGACAGGAAGCAATCGTGAAATAATAATAAATATACAGTGCGCCAGAGTGAATTGAAACTTCAAACTTTCATGAATGAACTTACATATATGAAACAAGTGATTTTCCTGCCCTATTCACAATAAACACACTCACACGGTGAGAAGCAGAGAGTTTAGTTCTATTTTTCCTCAGGGGGAATCCAGAGAATTGAATTCCACTGAGAGAAAATAGTGGAAATTTCATAGAGTGTATTATCTACCTGGAATTTCTTAATGCTATCCAATTGCTCGGGTGTTGGTTCGACAATTTGTGCTATTTGACCCGGCGTCTGCTGCTGCAGTGTTATCTTGCGATCGGGCACTTGCGGAGCCGGCGCCCGATTCACCAGGCGGCCGTCCTTCTCGATTCTCAGATGATCACGAGGCGGTGGAATAGGTTTGGCCGATCCATTCAACTGTGTGTGGAATACAAGAGAGAAGGGTAACAGAGGGTGTGTGAGGGGAGCCTTCGCGGGATGCCCCGACGCGTGGTTCCGCAAGTACAAATTATTGCAATAGAGAGTTACTTTGCACCTATCATAGCTGAGTGCACCTTTCATCTTCATATTCATTGACTCATTTCGCTCATTTCTCGTGATTTTTTCTCTGTTTTGCTTTTCAAAACTTATAATTCAGCGAAACATGAATAACCAAAAAATGTGTGTGTGAAAATGAATATGAAGGGAGCGGGGGTTAGTGTGTGAAGCTGGAGAGAAATAATACTACAAATTAATAAAAATCTCTACACATTTTGATTCGAATGAAAGCAAAATTTCACAGGAGAAGCAACAAATCAGCAATTACTACACGTGCAATGAAATCAACAGCTAATTTGTGGATCTATAAGTTAATTGGTATGTTTTCTAACTAAATCCAGTTCGGAAGAATATAGCGTCGTCCGAGGGCGATGAATGATGTTAGTTTTGGTGAGTGAAAAGGATGAAGAAGAAGAGAGAACCAGTGAGGACCAATTAGCCAGAGGAAATGAATAGAAAATGAGTGATGATGGAGATGAAAATCTACCTCGTTATTTCTCGTCGAAGGCACCTGTGGCTGTGGCATTTGCTTATCCCCCTGCCCCTTTAGCTGTGCGGTATCTTTGTGCTTAGCCACCTCCTTGACAATTTGTGGCTTTGGCGGCGGATACCGTGGCGGTGCCTTAATAATCTCCACAAAACTGTCTGGGACATCCACGGGCAACTCTCTGTGCGGCCCCAAATCATACTCCGGCGGCCCCAAATCGCCCGACGACGAGCTCCTTGTGCTGAGTGAGCCTCTCGACTTTGTGCGATAGCTCATCGAGTCGAATCCAATGGATTCGCACGTGGAGCTCAGCGAGGAAGGACTCTTGCTCGAGCTCTTCTTCACCGTGTCTTGCGATGTTGTGTCGTCAATGGACGGTGAGCCCTTCTGGTGATGATGATTGATGCTATTGAGAGGCTCCAGCTCCAAGGAGACTCCGCCACAGCCATTCGACTGGTGGCTGGACGATTTGGTGCCACCCGAGGACACTTGAGTCTGTGGCATCGCCATATTCCCATGATTTACCTGAATCGGTGGACGAGGTGGCGGATATCGCGGTGGTGTCTTATTACGAGCGATAAATGAATCCGGAACATCCACGGCCATCTCCCTATGTGGACCTGAAAGTCAACAAGACAGAGAAGACATCCATTAGATAGGCCAAGAAAAGAAGAAGATGTGACACAATTTTAAATAAAATATTTTCCTTTCCCACACCCCAAAAAAAGCATATCATCTCATATATTGAAGGAATGTGTTTCGCTTCAAGCCTTCAAGTGGCATTCATCCATCGAGCAATTTAGCACTGTGCTCTGAGTATATGGACATAACGAGGAGAAAATACGAAAAATGAAAACAGCACAGAATGAAAAGGGAGAAGAAAAAAGTTTCTCAATTCGTCTCATCTTGTGAAAAATACTTCACATATTTTCAAGTGCCTCTTTCTCCTTTCCCACTCAGGCGCCTTCTTCCCTCTTACATGTCTCTCAAATACACGACACTGTAATTACCCAGAGGGATGGTTTAAAAGACGATGTTTTACACTATATGCAACATCTCTCGAGTATGGCCGAAGGTACTTTCCCGCCCCAAGGAACTTAAATACACTTTTCCACCCTTTCATCACTATCTCTGCCCCCTCCAAACACAGTCTACAGAGGCCCAAAGGATGACACTTTTCAATTTCTCACCATTATCCTGATTTACAGACAGCATCGTTAACATTTCCAAGTCACAAGGTTGCTGGTGGTGATGATCTTTCATAGAGTCCTCGCCGCCCACAACAACAATACTGGATCCGGATCGGCGTCTTGGCCTGCGAATGAGGACAAGAAAAAAGATGAGTGATTTATTTCAAATGTAATAATGGCGACAAGAAAAAAAAGACACACTCAGACAGAGAGAGAGAGAGTTGAAAACAATAATGTCGACAAAATGAAAAAGGGGTTCAGTTCGAATATATTTTCGCGAACATCACAATTCTTCCAGTCACACTCCTTAGTTTCATGCCTGCCAACGCTCCATCATCATCACACTATTTTGAGGGCGTTTATTTGCACACTCGCATCTTCTCCCACTCTTTTCTCTCTTTCTCTCTCTGTGTAATGTATTCTTATCCGACTGCTCAAAACAGATCTTGGCAGAATGGTAATGTTTTTTCATAAAAGCCTAAGCCTGGCTATAAAGGCAATTGTGCCTTTAAAAGCTCAAGAATAGGAGACAATAGTTTTTCACATTTTCCGCAATCGGGTGTACAAGATTTTTTAATATTTTCCTCTCTTCCTTCATCTTCTCCTTCGTCCATAGCTCTTTCTGAATCGTCTTGCATAAATACTGTTTCTTTTTTTCTCAGTAAACACACTCGAAGAAAGGCAAAAAAGATCTTTCAATATCCATAGAAATGAGATTATAAGAGAAAAGGACAAAGAAGAGATACAGAAAGAAAAGGGGAATAAAACAACACTAAACTCCTGAAAACCAAGGAGACAGAAAGCAAAACAGAGCTTATTGAAATACAGTTTTAGGATTTCTGCATGTTCTATGAAATAATATGCTTTTTGATAAAAATACATCCATGAAGAAAAAGTAAATAAGCTGAGAGTGAAAGAGAATTTTACTAAATGCCACCAAGTATTGTGCAATTTATATGGAATGGAAAATATGAAGAATTTTTTCATGATAAAAATGAGTGTTCATGGAGAGAATTTACACTGGATGAGATCTCCAATTTCAGACAGAATGTGAACGTTTAAATGCAATCGCATTTATGCTTGTGCTTGAAAGTCGAAAGTTCCTCATATTCTTATATTTATGTATTAACAAATTGCGTATTTGGCATTGCGAATTGTACGAAATATTTGCGTAAAAGTACAAAACAATAACGCAGAATGCAAACTACAAAATTCTAAGTTTGAGAGGTGTTAAGAAATTTTACGCTCCAGACCATGAGTCATAAAAGAAACTGGTTTTACATTACAAACTATATGATTTCTTTGCACTAGAATTCCACGATCGTCACATTTTATGCCACTTCTTGCAAGATGAAATCGTCAACATCGAGCCGAGAGAACACCATTAAAATTACTCAGTCCCCTTTTTCTTTACCAATTTCTTCTGTGCTCATTTTCGAGTCCTTCATGCACAGAAAACTATTCGCAAACACACCTCTTTTCATACATCATCATATATTCACGTTTTCACCACTCGCCTCTCTTTTATTATTATATATTTCTCTGTGCTCTTTCGTCTGGCAACTGTCACGCCAGTCCCTTTTTTCTCCACTTTATCCACCCTTCTTGGTCTCCACCCAGAGAGAAATCCGCGAAATCGCTAAGATGACAGCAAAATCAGAGGGAAAACATTGTCAAGTTATGTAGTTCAGCAGCAAAATCAATCTTATTCTCCGATAACAGTGTCGCAGTTTGATAACACTTTTTTTCCACTGATAAATCTGTTTGTTTTGTCTCGAAATGTGAAAAGTGGGAGTATTTTCTTAATTACCGTTTCATCATAAATTCATCCTCAATCCACTGTCGCCATCGAATACCAATAATCCCATGCTTGTGTTGATTCCAATTCTCCGTGATGTATTTCATGTTTGGGGCTCTGTGCACAGGAATTTCACAACACAGTCTTCACAAGGGGGAGAGAAAAAAAAACACACACACGACACAAGTTGATCGCTCACAGGAAATGTGTTTAGAAAATTCCCATCGTATTAGTCAAAGGCCGAAGAAAGTCTGTCAATTGACTGATGGAAAAAAAGAAGAAAGCAAGTACGAAGAAGCACTATTTCACTTTTCGCCATGCAAGAGGGGCGTCGGTGCCTTCACCTGCAATTTACTCTTTTTCTCCCTTTCCGCCAACGATTACATGGTTCATTGCACCTGAGAGGAGACTCCTATTGGCACGCCAAGTCGATAATTTTCTCCGTTTGTATTGGGACAGAAGGACTTTAGCAATCACTTGAAGAATTCCAAGAATTGTATTGTTGAACAAAAATACACACACTATAATATAGATTATTTTTTGTATATTCTGTGATATCAACCAAAAGCTCACGCATGCACGACGGCGTGACTTCGAGGACGGCTCTTTGGCGACTGAAGAAATGTAATGTCTTCTCCTTTTTGCCACGGAAGGAATTTTCTATCCACTATCGCCGTGTACACTTTGTTTAGTGTGTTTTCGTTGCCGCATTTGCAAGAAGACACCCCACCATCGTATTTCTCACTTGATACCCACAATACACTCTCAGGCCGTGTGGATGAGCGCAACAGGGAGAGGAATACTCAAGTGAGACGTCCATTCGGCATGGGGAAAAGGGCCCCTTTTTCGACTATAAAACATAATCTTCAAAGGTAAGGCAACACAGAGACCCACATAGGCCAAGAGGGAGTGTCTGTGCCTGAAGACTCATGCACCGTCTTCAATGTCCCCTTGCCTCGCTCGCACTGTGACCGCAGAACAAGACGGGAAAAAGGAAAGACCAAATATGCTTTTTTATGCTGCACGTCAAATGAACACACATTTGTTATTTCACCTCCCAAGGAAAATACCTCAGATAAATTTCTCAGGAAATGACACTCCGCAAAAGTAGGCACAGAAATACCATACATCATGCATTGTCTCGGCCAACGGGGGTGAGACGACAAGAGAGCGAGAGAGCGAAAAAAGTGCTGAAGATGGCCAGAAAAAACTATTCCGGGAAACATCACACGATAAACGATGTACAGAGCTCAGCATATAGAACAATTGATATTGTATTACAATCATAATTCCACTCCATTCCACACATTCTGCATCACATCAAATATTTAGCATCTCGAAAAGGCAAAATATGTAAAATCACTCAATATCCGTTCATCAAGAGTCTCTGAAACGTAAAAAAGATATACACACCCATAATAGAACTATTTTGAAGAAATTTACAATTTAAATCAATCCCGCTTGAATATTCTATTGGTTGATTTTTCTCGCATTCCACACAAAATATCAATAATAATATTTCTCTCTGCTGTTCTTTTTGTTATTTTGCTAATAAAAACCCAGAGAAAACTTGTGTGAATTGTTTTCAACATCATAAGCTAAATGTTTTGAAATGTGAAACATATGAAAATTCCAGGGTATTTAAAGTGCTTATGTCGCAACGTACTAATTGTGAGACCATGAGCTTCAGTTTACATTTCTATAAAGCCACAGAGTTCCGTAGAAAAAAGAGACTTCTAATCGTTTGCCGAGAAGAAGAGCATGTCTAAGGCGTATTGAATGCCACACAGATATTCTTCCATAAGTTATGGGATAAATTCCAATTCTTCGAGATCATTTTTAAGGCCTTCATGCCAAGATAATTCTATTTAATTTTCTATACCCCAAAATATCCTCTCTTTTTTTTCTTTATGAATCGAATGCATTCATAAATCGTCACCACCAATTCTCTCTCGCACGCACACAACAGTATTCACTTTCTACAGAATGCACCTCTCCTCTGTATATGGTTGAGTACCTGGTATGCCTGAGAAATGAATCTCAAACTACCTGTGCAACACCTAAAAATAGCCATGCCTTCACTTGTTCTCTCTCAACAATTTCCACTGCACGCCACATGCTTGAATGAAGTGAATCGAGAGGGGAATGCGGAGAGTCCAGAGGAGAATCATTCATTTATGTAGTGGTACAAGTGGTGTCAGTGGTGCAGAACGAGGATGAGAAATTTTTTGACGACCATAAACATTGTAAGAGGAGAATCAAAGCCTCTATATTCTGATGGATATACAGAAGAAGAAAAAAACACACAATCGTGGAACATAACCATCGAGGCACTTTGCGCCCTTCCCAAACGAATCTCACTTGGAATATTAAGTGATATTGTGATGCTAAAAGGAGGATATTTGAACAGGACGTTTGTACAAGAATTGCTTGAAATTGACATTAATCTCATGAGTGAAGATTCATTTGAAAATCCACCTCTGTAACTCTATCACATTAATTATGATGTGTTACATTGTAAGAGATGTCTTGACATGACCCTGGAGATATTTTGGTTTTTATTTCCCTGCTTCAAGTTAAACTCATCATTGCTTGACAGAGAGTTTCCAGAAGAGGTTCAAATTGTGGGAATATACGCTAAAATATCACGTATTGTGTACAATAGTTGGAATTCTTTGTGAAAATCACTCACGAATTTCATAAAAACTCATCAATGAGAATTATAGTTTTATAGGTAAAGGCTTTAAAATCCGACAATCTGATTCATTTTTACAGCCTCATTTAAAGATTCCTGCAGAAAAGGAAACTAAACGCTGATTTAGGAGAAAAGTAGGTGAAATTAAATGTAATTCCAAGGTAAAACTAACCTTCGTGAGCGAGAAATAATTTGATATCAGATATTCCTCGTTCTAAAAACCTGAGATTCGTGAATTCAAATGAGAGAAATTATAGAAAGATCGATATAAACACGGCCACACTGAATATGTTGTGGCAATAAAATATCAACTTTAAGCACACACACGCACTCTCTCGAGCATTCCCAAATATAGTCTCTCTTGCATGAAATTAGGGGGAAAAAATCCTAAAGAAGCAAATAAAATCTGGGCTCTGTGAACTTACCGACTATCGAGACGAAGACTTTGATCGCCAAGAAGTACCTCTGTGCCACCAATTAATGGCAGCTCTCCCTTTGATATGCTAGTGGTCTCGAGGAACTCGTTTAGCGGCTCAGAATCTCCCTCCGAAAGTGTGCCTAGCTGTAAAATTTGCAACGAGGCGGAATTAGCAATAGAATTGGCAATATTGTCTCACATGGCGGACTCACCTCACGCCTTGGTCCGTAGCCGTTGGCTAGAATTTCACTAGTACTACTTCCATAATAATTATTAAAGGTTGTGTTTCCAGCACCACAATTATTGCTATTATTGTTATTAAGTGTTATATTAGGATTATTATTTATGAATTGTTGATTGTTCGTTGAAGTCGTCACTTGTTGCTGCTGCTGCACATTACTTGTCAATGCTGATGGCGGCTGAACACCAATCTGGCTGCTCGTGTGATTCGCTGGATGATGATTAATTTGCGCAGTGGTTTCAATGGAAATGCCACCACCTCCACACGTCACCTTTCCGCCAATCGATGGTTGATTATTGTTCAATGGTGGCGGTTGATTTGGCAATATGTTGTTGGTCCCAGTTATGCAATTGGCAACGGTTGTCACTGTCGTCGTTGTGGTGCCAGTCACGTGATTGCCAGTGAATGAAGTCACATAAATGGGAGATGCCTCCTTCAAGAAGCTCAAATCATGCGCCACGGCTCCCTTTGTCTGCTGATTTAGCTGCACGAGAAGAGGTGAATTAATTGACATCACCTACTCAAGTGTTAATTGATTGAATATAATCGCTGAAACTACGACGATATTCTCACCATTGTAGTTTCAACAGCGATTCCTCAACTATTCACAGATTTTATAAATTCACATGAAAATCAAGGTTGATCAAATCAAGCCCTAAACAGCGCAAAAAGGTTATTGGCCGTTACCAGAAGTTGGAGAAAATTCAAAGTAAATTTTAAGAAACTACTGCAGGATTTTTAAGATGTTGATGTGTCATGTTGACGCCAAGTTCAAGAAAGTAATTCAAGAGCGACAGCATCTCATATTCTCAAAACTCAATATGCACAGGGTCAAGATAATCGCACAAAAAGCATTTGCCACACATTCCCAAGAAGTATCAACTTACAGAAAACTCGTTTCCCGATTGTATTGGTTTGCTTGCCATTATTGCACTTTTATGATTACTTAACAAATAATGTCTAAGAAAAATCCACCGTCAGGTCACGCCCATCCACCCATTATTCTGAGTTAACATTTCTGTCGGAATTTTCTTCTAAAGAATTTCGTCATTTCCCCTCCTCACGCTTAAATCCTCTCTCTCTTCTCTTACTCTCTTTGGAGATTGTTTGTCGCCGAAATCTTCCCTCAATATATATTCAAATAAAGGCAAATTCTCTCAAATTACCTGAGGTGTGAAGAATCACTTTGAGTTTTGTTATTCAAATTTCTGTTTCTTTCCTTGCAATAATCACCAATTAAATTCACAATGAAAGAAATTGTCCTGCATCGAATAATCCAATTATATTTCCATCTTGAATTTTAATACAGCGAATTATAGTGTACTTTAGTTACTTGCAAATGCAATAGATAGAAATAATTCTTATTAAAAGAAAAACCATGACATGACAATAATTATAAGGTTAAAATGGATTTAAATGCACTGTCATATTCCTATTAGATTACGAAACAGTACAGGAAATCCCTGCTTTTAAGCTACCAGTTACAAAACCACAGAAGAATTATAATAGTTACCAATACTTTGTGTACTCTTAAACGATGAAAAAAAAGACAAGTAAAATCGGTAAAATTGAAGTCATTTAGAGTCTGATTCACATGATTTTTGAGTAATCATTTTTCTGAAGAAATATCTAAAGAGTAAATCACATAAACACCCATTTTTCACATTAAAATCTCTTTATGTATTTGCGCAAACAATCTCTCTCTCTCGCTTTGCCACGGAGTAAGAGTGATGGAAAAATACGGAGAGATTTCAGGGCAGCACAATGTTTCAAATGATGGTTAAGAGAGCGAAAACTTCATATTCATAAAAATTTCATATGCAACTTTATCCATCAATAACATTCTTTGGCGCCGAAAAACTTTACTCACATCAAACGGAATTCACATTAATTGATACTTGATTTCAATCGATTTATCTGTACACAATTCGTGATGAAATATCAATGACACTCATGCACACTTCTTAGCCACTCACCTTAATTGATAGCTGTGACATGTCAACAGGAGTGATCCTCTTGAGGGCTGACAATCGCTGCAGACGCTCCCTGGCCTGTTGTTCCACAGCAATGACGAAGGCATCTTGAACGGCATTGCCAAGTTCACCGGCTGGAAGGAGGCGAAGAAAGCCATTATTCACAAATCACCCAGGAAAATTCCAACCCAACCGCGGTTGAATTGTGGAGAAAAATATGTAGTTTTGGCAGAATTTCCAGAGTTACAACAGAAATGTCCTTCTCAAAAGGACTCGCAGAAAAACAAACTAAATTGCTCAAAATGCTTCACTAAAAAAGGAAGAAGAAAAAATTACATCACGATATCTTGAGGAAACAGCATTTCAATTAGCGGTTCTCCAGACTGTTGTGCTCTTATTTGAAGCATTTCATTCACACACCTATCAGCTTAGCATCATTTCTCCATCGTAGAGAAAAGTCCAAGAACACTCTTCTCGCCAGATATGAGAAGTGCATTGACCCACCGTGCGCTCCATTTCAGCCATCACTTGGAGAACACGGGCAAATAGAGATGCAAAAGTGCTGAGAAACACACTTTCAGACACCCTCTTTCACATCTGCGATCGTATTGATGATTATAGAGAAGCCACGACATAATATTCATTCGAAGGCACACAAAAAAAACTCCTTCTGTGCATTATGTTTTGTTCTCTAAATTCTTTCCGGATGAAACTATGGAACTGGAAAAAAGCGCATCTCAGCTGTTTTGCTGTTATATTGCAGAATTTACTTTATTAAAGTGGACGATAAATAGATGAAAACCCTCGAAATATAATATAAAAGATATAAAATCATATCCAGCTGTTCTAAAATGAGTCATTTCCACCTGAGAATAATATAAGACGCTACTAAACAATCTACTATTCATCATAAATTGAAGATTACAGCGAATATTTGCACAGATTGCATTTATGGTGAATAAATCGTTTTTTCCACAAGCTTTTCGGTTTGGTCATTATGCAATTTCTCATGGGAAATGCATTTATATGGAAAATGTCTTCTATTTATACACATTATTATACAACATCTACATATAACACATGTCTTAAAAAACTGGCACGCACTTTTTAACCCATATAAATTGCTTCCTCAAAAAGCTCAACTCATCCGAATTGACGGCATTTTGTGTGTAAAATCTATGATACGTAAAACAAATAAACAATAAATGCATTAATATCACCACAGTATGTGTGTATGAGAAAAGTAATCAGGAAGAGGAGAATTAATTGTTTTCGTTTCATCAGTGCAAAAGTTTATGCAGCAAAACAGAGGAATTTGTCAACAACTCCGGCAAAGCATGTGCAAAAACACTCGCACAACATTTCTGCATTGCTCGGGTTAACAGCAATGTTTTCAATTTATTTTGTATATTGAACAATCTCAAAAATGTTGTGAGATTCGATTTTCACGGACGGAAGGAAACAATTTTGAACGCTTCGCCCTTTTTCCGATATCGCGTGACCTTCCCCAGAAAAATATTGACTTCAACCAAAACACAGCCTTGATTTTCCGGTAAACCACAAAGTGTTGTGAATTCTTGACTAATCACATTGACGATAATAACCAAAAGCGGCACACAAAATTATTGGCACTGGTGTGAATTTCAATACGAGAGTGTAAGAAAGAGTAAAAGAAATTAGTGGAATTATTCCGTGTAAATGCTTTCAATTACTAATAAAGTGATTTCAAGGCAATCTTTCACTAACTGTTCTCTTCTATTATATTGTGTCTTCTTTTGAGCATCTCTTTACAATAATATTCATTATGCTATGTGATCTGGAAATTTACAATTTCCTGTTATTTTTTCCCACATATCAAAGTGATCTTCAACATTATTACCCATTGTGGAACTCGTGTCTCTCCCCTTTGAGACATTTCAACACCGCACATGAATCGCAGAAAAATTGCAAGACAGGCAAAAAGACATGCATTAATAATTGATAGATTTTCAAATTTATCATCATCCCACTGCCGTTTTCCATCTGCCTATTTTACTTTACAGCCACGTTTTCAATCGTAGCATCATAAATCTTTTGCATCAATGTGTTGGTACATGATTAACATGTGAAATTGTATTCTATTGTCTGATTATAATTGCACCATTATGTACATTTTTTTGCATATTGAGAATCAAGTTTTTTCCAATCCTAATAACCCTATATATATACCTGATACTCATACACCATGATCTTGTATTTCAGCAAGAAAGTAACCCACGAAACACTTCTCTTCTCTTCTCCTCTTCCTTCCTTCCTTCCTCGGCGCAAAGTGAACATTATGTTTAATTTTTGTGGACTCTTTCTCTGACAATGCATAAAAAAAAGTTCCGTCCGATCTTTCACTCACATTTTGTGGATCAAAAACACATTTCTCATTAGGTTTGGCGAAAATAGCAAAAAAAAATTACCCGCATTGGATGACAAAATCTCTTGGAATTTCCCCTCCTTCTTCACTGTCACACAGTGTTAAACGTTTTCTCCCTCATAAAGTGAATTATATGACGAAAAAGAGGAGGGAAGAGAGAAAAAAAAAGTTTATTGAGAGGAAAAATGGGTTTGTTTTAATTAAATGTAGCGTATTTTCTCTTTTTTTCACTCTTCTCGTCTGATAAATTGAAATTGGATCATGTCACAATATTTACTATTAGTCACCACCAAGGGGAAGATATTGTGGTCAGAAGTGGTGTACAACTCATAAGAAATATTTTGGAAGTGGAAGTGTTGCAGTAGCTTAATTGTGATGCTTTCAAAAGTCACTTTCAAAAGGAACAAATGCAATAATTGGAGAAAAAGAATTGTTTTTTGCACCTTTCTAGGTTATGTTATGAATTTAAGACAAACTTTGTCACTCAATAACCTCAAAAATCACTAAAAAATGATGAAATCTGTTGAAGATCACAAGATTCTCAATGTTAAACCTGGTTAATTATGCAAAGACTGATCATAATCTCCAAAACATTATTTCGGGATACAAAATTGTCTATTTTTATAGCTGTTTGATTGATTCTCTATTCTAAAATATAAAATTTCAACTCATTTTCGATTAATAACAGATTCATATTTCCCAATGTTGCTTTTAAAAGCTTGTCGTCTGAAGGTGATTTTTAGGTTATGTTCCAAAGTGCAAATAAAAGATTGATTGGAATTTGAATCACATCAAATTGTCCACTAAAAACTTCAATTTATTTTTGAAATACTGTTTCTCTGTAAGTTTTCAAGGCAAAAAACATAAAATCGCGTCTTTTTAAGCCAAAGACCCCTTAATTTGGCGGTTAAAAAAATCTATGAAGTTCAGGAAAACGCATATTTTTAGTGCTGCTGCAGTTCTGGAAGTGTCTGTGATTCTGCACAGAAATTGTGGAAGTGTCAGGAAGTGGTGTACAGATTTTAGCCGTATTATCTCCCCCTCGGTCATCACAATAGTTTGTTCACTTAACTATTTTGTGCACATTTAACTGGCGCTCCTGCGTTCAAAGTTCCTCTCAAAAATCATTGGAATCAGGAAATACGAAGAGTGAAAGAAAACTTTAATCATCATATTATGCAAGCATTAGATTAAATAGCTAAAGAAAAATGGAGTGTCACAATAATTCCCCACATTAGCAGGCAATGACTTTTACCTCGCAAGACTTATGCGGGATGTTCTTTTAGCCGCTAAACTCTTCAATCCTTGTCTTCTGCCGTTATTTTATACTGGGTCAAATTCACGTTTAGAAGCTGAAATTCTTGTTGCATATTTGATTGGTTTTTTTTTCGACACAAATTCTAGGCAAATTTCAGTTAATCACATAAATTATATTTCTAATTATTGTTTCCACATTATTTCCAATACACTCAACCAACAATAATCACGACAGAGACTAGGTCACTTTTAGTTATTTTCACTTTGTGAAAACAACACTCTTTTCGCATCGGTTTGTATCATTTATACTTTAAAATTTTTCCATCTCCAATTTGCTCTATATCAGTCAGTGTTGTAGCATTTTTTTAATACACAGAGGAGAGAAAGAGCGCAAAAAAGGTGGAATAAAAACATAGTGGAGTAAAATCAGTTTGATCTCTCGTGTTTTTTATTCATTCTTCTCTCATTCACATAAATTTCAACCTATTTTGCCATCAAGCAAGAAGAATTGTCAAGTGTATTGCGGAAATGACGATGAATAAAACTGTTTGAAATAATAAACTTCAAATGAGTATTTCCCTCCACTTTCAATGCATTCATTCATTACAATCATCGAAAATTACAGAGGCACACCTCGCATTTGTGCGAATCACAGAACAAGTGTCAATAGAATTCTAGAAGAGTATTTATCATAACTTCATGTTTTACACGTTCAAAGTCATCTGAAGCTTAAAGTTTTGGATTTGTCAATATTCACTGTCAAATTTGTGGGATTGTAAAATACCTTGAGAGTTAAACTCCTTGGAATTTGATCCATAAATAAATATTGATCCATAAATTACCGAAAAAATGCTCTAAATGTATTCCAATTCTTCCAGATTCATTGATTACCTACATCGAATATTCATAGTCTTTAGATTTGTCACGCGCAACCAGTTAATGACTCAGGTGAACTATTGGGCACGTTTTGTAATTTAGAATGGGTTGCATTTCAGCCAAATTGTTTCATTTTCACATTCTGTGTGGACAAGGCGCAATAATCATTTCTCAAATGGTAATTTGCTGGATCAGCGAGAAGAAAAAAGTATTGAGCACACCTTTCCAATCATTTGCCACGGAAAAATCACGTCTTTTTTAACTCATTCTCATCCAAACTGGGAGAATCAAGCAACTCTATATATTGTTGGAAGAAAAGAGTCACATTGAATCGGATTTTGAGTCTTTTTCCACACAACTTTTCAACACAAAATATACCTCACAACATCACAAGACTTCTCAACATTGGCAAGAGAGCACAGAATCCATTTTGATTCCACGTATGAGGTTTTTTCTCGTCGTATTTTATATACTGCCTCTTCGTGTTGTCTTATTTGTAAAAACCTGAAAGGAAGAGTATCTCTCTCTGTCTCGAGAAGGCGATGTCTCATTGGAATGTAAGTTGAGAAGGTAGAGAGATGTAGTATGGTGATGGATTCAAGGGAGTTGAAATCTTTCTGTCAACATCTCGATTTTACCCATTAAACTGCACATACCCTCAGAACTATTTGGCGGAATATCCTATCGTTCCAGTTATCCAATGTGAGGCTTATAATATATCCCTTTGTATCTCTCCTGTGCACTTGTGGAAATTCACTCGAATTTCCACTCACTATTCATTTATTAGCACACTCGCACTGCGCTCTTAATCACATAATCGCACACCGATTCACTGCTGGAAGGGCTTCGTGATGAGTTTGTGAAACTCACGGCAAAAGGTTAATCCAAATCCTCCAACACCACCAATTCAAATGGTCAATTTCTCGAACATCGAATAATCCGTTCCACTGTCCACTCGCTACTAAAGAGCTTCCACAATCATTTTGTAGGCCACTCCAAGTATTTCTGAACTTTTTCTCTTCATCTCACACACACACGGCTAATGGCAGTCTCTCAACTCGCGGTGTGTTGTTAAAATATTTACATACATATATGGAAAAACTTGTTCCACAACTCTTTTATTGTATTTGCCATTTATTAGCAGAGATTCATTGGAAAATTCACAGCTTTTGTATTCACCGCGAAACATTGAAATTGCCCCGGAAGATTCTGCTGCACTGTTTGTATGTAAGATTTTAATGAAAATCTGTGAATTTCATCAAATTTAACTAAAAATGCATTTTCCTATAATTTGCGTGATATTCCAAATGCTTCTTTTTGCCATTAAAGTTATCGACAATGAAATTAAACTAAGTTTTCATACAATATTGGAGGGAAAATAGTTAAAATCAACTGTCTAAAGACTCCATTCAGTTCATTTTTCCCTATAAATCTATTAAAAATAAGAAACTGCACGTAATTCATTTTAAAATACCTGAAATATCATTTCAAACCACAGTTTTAGCAGAAAAATAAGACTGGGAAGGAATAAATAAATCAGTTTGTCAATTTTAAATATTTTCCTCTAAAACTGCATGAAAACTTTATCATAATTTCTTGTCGGTAACTTAAAAGTTAGTGAAATATGACGCTTCCAGTAATTTCTTACAATTTCTCAGTAATATTTACCCCTCAAAAGTGATTCAGAAGGTGCATAATGAAGTGTATTTGGACATGTAATTTTATATGAAATATTAAATTTCAATCTGAACCATATAAAAAGTTTATATTCCAAGTTTACTTGTGGAGAAATCACAACTCCCACAGTTCGAGTGGTGCAAAAGGTTTATCGCGCTTCTCTCTCTCGCTCTCTTCGCAATCAACACAGGTAAGACTGAGGTATTTTGTGTGGAAAAATGAGAGAGGCTGATGTGGTGGCCAACTCTGGCGTGGAAAACACGTACATTTTGCCCATACACAATCAAGTGGAGCTCTCGTCTACATGGAAGAGTCATAAATGAGAAAAATTTCTGACTCCAATACTCTTCCCACTCTACATTTCCACTGTGATTCTCTCAGAATTCACAGCTATTATATTTATACTGGAAATGTAGCTTCACGAAGCATGTTTTTGAGTGGAGAGCTTTTGGGATGACTCAATGTCTAACAATCACCATAATCGAATGTGAAACATTAGCATGCAATCGTTGACGTTGCATTTTTGACCCTCCTCAGTTCACCAGCAATCGCATTTAGTGCCATTCCCTATCGTAAGCTAATGAAGAATCATCACTCCCATAAGCTCGAGCGGGACAGAAGGCTTGTCACGCATTTTATTTTTCAACAATCACATGCTCTTTTAGGTGAGTTCACCTGAGAGATTTCAAGGGGAGTAAACCCATCGACGATGTGTGAGTCCCCATGGTTCTTTCAATGTATTGAAAACGAGCGAAAAAGAACACGACACACCGCTGTATAATCAATTATTAATTGTATACAGTATAATACCGGGTGGTGGAATCAAGAATGTACCTGATACAATTCCTTCCCCTGCTTCTGGCTAAATACAACACTGCCACACACTCTTCATTCGCTCTGCCACGTTCTCCACCGAAGCCACATTACAGCCAAATACCAGACGTTTTGATAAATAAATAAAACATCAGAGAAATTTGTGTCAATTGCAAAATAAAGAAATAAAAAAAGTTAGATTGATTGGATGTAATTTCATCTCTCGCCCTTATTCTCATCGGCTCAATAATGATGTGTATTTTAATATTTGAAAAAAAAACTTTAGTGGCAACTTTCTTATCATTATTTCCCCACGACCTTTCGCATCTTCGATGTGCCTTATTTCACTCCATTGAATTGCCACCTTTCTCCTGGGTTCCAATGTGTAAAACACTTGAATGAACTGATTGAACCGTCGAGAGATCAGCTGTTATATATCTTCACAAGTTTAGTAGACGAATTTCAGCTTTGTTTTTGCATCGGTAGAAAAAATATGTTGTAAAATCTCTATCAACTATGAATCATCGAGACTAGAATGTGTTCACTGGAAAATTATCGTTGTCCTCATATGTAAACACGAAGGGTGTGTTTTATTAAACAATATACAATACAACGCATATGACTCAATATAGAATTTCAACCGATTTCATCAGTTTGTTCTGTATGAAAACCAGCATATAAACTTGCAATATTTTTATCCCACTCAAAGGGACATGAAAGACTCATGATTGATCGCAATATCTGTGTAAAGCTCGACACTCGAGGAGTGTAAAGTGACCCGAAAAAGCCACTAAAATGATGGAAACGAGAATTTATCAAGAACCACATTCCAACGAAGACAGGGATGCCGATATGCAGTGTGAAAATTCAGCGATGTATCGCGATTTCGTGGTGGAAAAGAGAGACAGCGAGCAAGCAGTGAAAGAGCAAAAGATTAACGGGATTTTAGAGATTAGTCTCATCTTTGGGCGCGTGGAACTTAAGGCCTTCTATTGCTTTGATACAGAATCCACTACTGGATCACGCAAGACGATTGCCAAAGGATAGAAATACGGTCACAATGCTTGCGACACACAAAAATTTCTCTTTCTTGCCCCTTTTAAGCACCATCCATTTGCCTTTTTTTTGTACTCTGCGACCCACCCAACATCCCCCAACGCCCTCCTCGCAGCCTCCCCATTCCGTGCATCTCAGCACAGAGTTCGCTGTGTGTGTGTGTGAGTGTGGCACATACAGTGGAAAAACACTAAATTCAACATCAAATATGGGAATTAATTCAGTGGCAATTTCCTCCACAGCTTCCCTTGCTTTTTTGCCAACATGTATGAATAGATAGAGGGGATATCGCCAGCATTAGCTGACTGAGAGGGTGGCAGGGCGGTGGGAAGCGAGGAGGCCTGGTGCGGATGGATAAGTGAGGAGAAAATAAGGAGCGAGATATTGCCAAATCCTCCGGAAATTCAACCAGATTGGGCTGCTCTAAATGCGAGAGAGTAAAATCACTTACCCAGTCGAGAATCACTCCTTCTCTTCACTCGTAACTTTATCATACAAGACTGGATGCACTGCATTTCATAGAAACAAGAGTAAGGATAGTGAGGAAAATTAAATTGGGAGTGAATTTTGGAGATAGAAAGCTGAAATTGCATTTACCTCGTGAATGTGTCGAATGACCTCCGATCGCGGGAGATCCTCCAACTTCCTCTCGTTGATATCCAAAATCTCGTCCGCCACCTCCAGATTGTCCTTGTCGGCGGGCGATCCGTACAATTTGATTTTTCCATCTCGGCCCTCCACCAAGATGATAACGTACCCATTGAGCTCCACCACTTGCTGCAACGACAATTCCCACGCCCAGCACGCATCAGTACGCATTTTTTTTTGTTTTAGGGAAAATCCCAGGGCAACAGAGGCGACATGAAAGGGTGTGAATGGCGAGAAAAATGGGTCCACCATTGGCACTCACCTTTCCCGTCGATGAGGATGACGATGTCGGAACCAGAGCCTGGCGAGGTTGCATTTTCGACGCGATGCTGGAGTCGCAAGGCGATTAAAGCACACCACTCTGCGGGGCGCAAAGGACTAGAGAGACGCCAGACACCACGGCATCCGGGCCGTCAATGATAGGCGCTCACTGATGCTCAGCCGCGGTGGCCATATTTTCGTGAAAATCCCATTCACAGACATTTTTCGTCACATCCTCGCATCACCTGACTATTTTCCTCACTATCTCAACTACCTCGGCGTGTATTATCACCTCAGCACTATTCTACCGACCTCAATCAGTGCCCACGGGACGGTTGTACACCACTTTTCTTCCTCAGCCGCACATGAGAAATGTCCTACTTATCCGCGATATCGAACTCGAGATGTTTGCAGAGAGAAATCAATACTCTCTGGTCCATATACGAGTACTGATACTGGATGCTGGCGAAGGACTTCCAATCCCATTAGGGCGGTTTTCATACACGGCTGCCACCCGCGCATTCCAGTACGCTTTTCCATGCCGAAACACGGGCCATGGATCAAGCTCAAGTGCACCCAAGTGCTGTGCCATCGACAGCCCTGCTTTCCCCAGGAACTTTTCCCCCTTTTTTCCCTTGACTGCCTGACTTGCTGAGCAAATTGCTGACACTGAGAGCGACTGCGCGCTGGAAAATCCCCTCTTCTGTGTGGCGAGAAGTGCCTGAAATTTGAAAGATTGCCCAAAAATCAGAAAGAAAATGTGTGTTTATCTTTCAATAAATACACAACTTAAATATTAATTACTCTCAATCTTTCAATGAATCAATTTGCAATCAACGATGAATGATTAAAAAATAACTTCACCGATTTCTCTGCATAACGAGCTGAGGCAGGAAAACTCTTGCGGGTGGAAAATTTGAGAATTCACGAATTCACGTGTATTTCGCACACATCCTGTCCCTTTAAATTTCACCGTTAGAGCCTTTAAAGTTTAAATCCCAGCAAGATGACTTTTCCGCGTCACAACAAAACACATAACCTCAGAGTTTGTAAGCTGCCGTGTGTTTTCTCCTTTGTCGCGGAAAATCGAGATATTTACTTAAAGTCTGTGACTTATTGTGTTTAATCCGGCAAGAACTACATGAATTCTCCCTTTGCAGATGGAAGTGCCCGAAAATATGCAGGATTACATAGTAAATCCACACCTGGAGCTGCTGGAAAGCATGCCTCTGGAACACTTACCTCGCCAATCAAATCCGCAGGAGGTTTTCGACGTTTCCGAGCCCTTGGTGGGCACGACACTGAGGGCCAAACGATGTCCTGTCACCGGACAGGTGATTGACTTCGAGGAGGTGGAGATCCTGGAGCCAGACAGTCGACCAGACAATTCCATGTCCTTCCAGCGAGCTCCGGACGCTAGTGGTAAGAGATCAGTGCGCGGTTCCTCCACAAACTATCCCTTCTTGCCTGGTGGATTTGACGATGTGCCTGATGAAGAATTCCCAGACGAGGGAGATCAGTTGCTCACTCTGGCGCCCGGTTTTGAGCATGGAATCTCCAGTAGTGCTGAAGAAATTGAGGAAGCACTTGAAAATCTGAAGATTGAAGAGATCGATTATCACAAATTGATCCAGAACAACCCTATTTATGACTTGTGGCCAGAGAAGAGCCCTAAAGTGAGTGAGAAGGAGAAGATCAAGCGCCCCAAAGTGTTGAAAGTCAGCGACACGAAGGCCATCAAGACAATTGAAACGAAATGGGCTGTTATGGTGGACACAGATCAAGCAATTCCGCCTGCATCAGCTGAACCAGCTCGCATTTTTCCTTTCAAACTGGACAACTTCCAGAAACACGCCATCCACCAACTCGAGGATCACAATCATGTCTTTGTGGCGGCTCACACTTCAGCGGGAAAGACAGCCGTGGCGGAATATGCAATCGCATTGAGTCTCAAGCACCACACGAAGGCGATCTACACGTCACCAATCAAGGCACTGTCCAACCAGAAGTACAGGGACTTCAAGAAGATATTCAAGGATGTGGGACTCATTACTGGAGACGTACAAATAGACTCTGACGCTTCGTGTCTCATCATGACGACAGAAATCCTGCGATCGATGCTCTACTGCGGGAGTGAAATTGCTCGAGATCTCGAGTATGTGATCTTCGACGAGGTGCACTACATCACGGATGTGGATCGAGGACATGTGTGGGAGGAAGTGCTGATTCTCCTCCCAGCGAATGTGACTATAGTCATGCTTAGCGCCACAGTTCCCAACACACTCGAGTTCGCCTCGTGGGTGGGACAGACGAAGAAGAAGAAGGTGTACGTCGTGAGCACCCTGAAGCGCCCCATTCCCCTCAAGCACTACCTCTACGTGCCGTTCGTGACGAAGAACAAGGAGGAGATCCATCTGATTCTGGATGAGAACAATCGCTTTCTCAACAAAGGCCACTCGGACGCTGTGACGCTCAAGGAGGCGACATCAGCCAAAATTGGTCGCAATCTGTCGCGGAATCAGGAGAAGACCATGTGGGAGAAGCTCGTGGCGTATCTGCGAAAGACTGACAAAATGCCAGTGGTGGCATTCACTCTCTCCAGGAATAGATGCGACATGAATGCCGAAGCTATGCGTGGCTGTGATTTGTGCACAAATAAGGAGAAGAGCATCATCAACAGCTTCTTCCAGAAGTGCCTGCAGCTGCTCAAGCCGCCAGACAGGACGTTGCCGCAGGTGAAGAACCTGCAGTACTACCTTGAGAGAGGCTACGGAGTTCACCACTCGGGAATTTTGCCCTTTCTGAAGGAAGTCGTAGAGATGCTGTTCCAGTGTGGCCTCGTGAAGCTCCTCTTCGCTACGGAAACCTTCGCAATGGGCGTCAATATGCCCGCCAGGACGGTGATTTTCGATTCTAATCGCAAGTTTGACGGCACCGAAATGCGATATCTGCATCCGGCTGAGTATACGCAGATGGCAGGTCGTGCCGGACGTCGAGGACTGGATCAGAATGGCACGGTGATTCTCATCTGCAAGACCGAAAAGATTCCCGACATTCCGGTGCTGCAGGGAATGATGCAGGGGAAGCCAATGCGCCTGGAATCGCAGTTCAAGCTTACCTACGCCATGATCCTCAATCTTCTGCGCGTGGAGAGGGTGTCAGTGGTGGACATGATGTCCCACAGTTATCGTGAATTTCACTCGCAGCAGAAACTCCCGGAGAATCAGCTGAAGCTGCAAAAGGTGCAGGAGGAATTCACATCTCTAGAGCCACTGGGTGAGAATATGAATTCCCTGTGTGAGCTCTATGATGTGGCCACCAGTTACTTCTTCTTCCTGGATCAAGTCAATGCTGAGGTACACAAGCAGCCGGATGTGAAGAAGAAGCTTCAACCAGGGAGACTTTTAGTCATCACGAAGGGAAACTTCTGCAACAATCTGGCTGCAATTATCACAGTCACTGAGGTCCAGCGGAAGGAGGTGGAACTGAAGGTGGCCGTGCTTGGAGACCAGCTAATGTCTGATGAGGATGAGAAGGAAGATTTCTGGTATCGCATCCTTTCCCTCGCAACCGCTGAGAAGATTCATGTGCCGGACAATGTGACAACCTTCACCTTGCTCACTGTGAAATTGAGGCACATCGTGAAGATTGTGAACAGCATGGTGAAGATCCAGGCCGATACCATCCTCAATAGCTGGCATCGACGACAGCAGGAGCGCTTCAAGAACGATCCACTCGGTCCGAGTGCCTTGAAACTCATTGCCGACTTGAATCAGTTCCTCGAGGGAGACGGCAAAATTGACTACGTCAATCTCTATGAGACCATCCCACTGGCTGTGATTGATGACATGAAGGAACTCACCCTTCAGCGCAAGAGACTCACCAGTGTGCTCTCGTGCACACGAGTCAGCAATTTTCGCGAGCAATTCCGCCGTGTTTTCGAACGGAAGACGCTGGAGAAGCGTCTGCAGCATCTCAAGTACATCACTTCGAAAGACAATATGGCTCTGTATCCGGACTATTGCAACAAGTTGGAAGTTTTGCATGAGATGCGATACATTGATAAGCACAATAATATCACCATGAAGGGTCGTGTGGCGTGTGAAATGGGATCCAATGAGCTCATTCTCACGGAAATCATCTTTCGCAACATTATTTCCAATCTGGAGCCAGCAGAAATTGCCGCTCTGCTCTCTGGGCTGGTGTTTCAAGCCAAAACCGAAGCCAATCCCAATCTCACTCCGATTCTGAAGAAGGGAATTGCAGAGATTGAGGCCATCAATGATGAGATCTTCCATTTGGAGCAGAAACATCGTGTGTCAACATCGCTGGAGGCTCAAGCGAAGCCCAAGCTCAACTTTGGTCTCGTGGAGGTGGTGTATGAATGGGGGAGAAACAAGCCTTTCGCGGATATCAAGGAGCTCACGGATGTTCAGGAGGGAATCATTGTGCGATGCATTCAGCAACTTCACGAAATCCTCCTCAACATCAAAGACGCCTCGAGAGTATTTGGTGATCCTGTGCTGCACACAAAGATGGAAGATGTCTCCAATGCCATCAAGAGAGACATTGTCTTCGCCGCCAGTCTCTACACGCAAAAGGATGCCGGGATAATTTCATGAGCATGCAAATTGTCGTTGGGAGGAGAAATAAATTTAAAATTCCGCGCAATTTCACATAACCTCAATTTTTCTGAATTGCTCCGAATCGCAGATATCGCGAATGTTGATGTTTTGTTCTCTGCAAGTTTTGTCCCAATTTGGCTGGCATTAATCATGAAGATACTGTGTGATGTGGTTGTGCACAATCGCCAGCGATCCAGTGCATCGTACAAGAGTGCTAAATCAACGCTGGCTCTGGGCTTTCATCCGCCAGGTGGGAAGCCTGACAGCATCCTCTTTGTCATCCTGTTCACGGCCAAGAGTAAGTCCGGGACGCGGTATCAGATCACAGACAATGTGAAGCAAGTGTTCACGAGATTTGTGGAGGATGGGAAGTTCACGATATCGCTGAAGAATCCAGAGATAGACATTCAAGTGCGCAGCAAAGACACTGTGTTGCTGAAGAACTTCCTTCGGTGCATGAATGTGGCCCTCAAGGGCGATGACCAGAATCGAGAGAAGCTGAGACTGAGTACACTGAGTGTCACGCCTGTGACCAGCAATTTGCGCCCCGTGACAAAACTCACCATCGCCAAGAGGTCCGATTATCCCGTGAAAGGTCTGCCCAAGACACTGATTCATCTGGAGGTAAAAGCCCAATTGAGGTGAAGATTGCGGAGGATTTTCAATGATTTTCCCTCCTTTTCAGGTGATTGGTCTGAACAAATCTCGTGTAGATTCACAAATATTGTACCTGAAGAACTTGACGCATCTCAATCTCAGTGACAATGCCATCTCAAAGATGCCAAAGGCACTGGGAGAACTGCATTTGATCACTCTCAACATGTCCGGAAACGTGTTGGGCAGCGAGATTGGTGGCTGTGATTGGAGGTGGCTGGAGGGATCGGGAGTTTCAAGATCCCTGGTCACTCTGGATCTCTCAAACAACTACGTGAGCACTGCAATTGAACGCTATAATCACTGAAAGTCTAAAGATTCTCCCTTCTTTGCAGCTGAAGAACTTCCCCTTCAATCTCACCAAGTTGCAGAGACTGAATGATCTGAATTTGGACTTCAACAGTATCAAAAAGATCCCTTTTGCCATCCAGAGCATGAAGACTCTGAAATCCTTCAGTATAGAAAGAAATGAACTGGAATCTTTGCCATGTGCCTTGGAAAATTTGTGCTTCGACGATATAAATGTGTCACACAATAATTTCCCAGACAACACTGATGATATTCCACAACATGAATTTGTGTTCAAGCAATCCATCAGCCTTCTTGAGATCTCTGCTCGTGCCGTTCGCAGATTCAAGTAAGGACACTTCGTGTCAGGCATCATTGATGTGAATTACAGTATCCTTTTCTACTCTACAGCGTTCCGTATGCTCACCCATCGTCCCATCCAAATATCCAATGGAACACCGTTCCGTGGATTGTGGCGAATCTCCTGGATTACACTCCGCTGTGCACTTGTGGGAATCTCTGCTTCAGCGCCAAGATCTACGAGAAATGCTCTGCCATTCAGCTGCGCTACAAATGCATCACTTCGAATGCTGCCGGAGTCATTCTGGCGGACGGTGTCTTCTGCAGTCGCCGGTGCTTCGAGAGACGATTGGTGAATTGATTCAAAACACTTGTTAACTCCATTTACTCATAAAGCAAGTTTTTCAATAAAAATTTCCCTCAGTCAACAATCCGTGACTATGTGGAAATGACTGGCTTGAATTTATCATAGAACTTTGGTATCAATTGCGCCGACGAGTACTTGTCGAATGAGAACATTTCGAAGAACTTGCTCCGCTGCCGGTGGAAGAGTTCAGGATTCTTGCACCAATTGTACAGCATCTTGATCAGTTGATTTGATGTGTTGTAGAGATTCTCCTTTGGATAGATTTCCGGGTAGACTAGTTTATTCGGGGCAATTGGCATACAACCGCAGTACGTGGCCTCCAGCCTGTGAAGGATCACGAAGATCAGTGAAAATCTCCCAAGAAATGCAAAATAATCACAAGAACTCACATGGAAACTCCGTAGAATTCGTGGCCAGCTGTGGAGATGACTATGTCACTGGCGAGGAGAGCCTTAAAGTACTGCTCGCGGTCCAAGTGGCCAAAGTGAACGAGTTTCCCGCCCAACTTCGACTGGATGTCCTCGAAGCAGTCCGGAATGGTCTGGAAAGTTTCACCAAGAATCGATGCTCTGAAGTTCACCTGGCGCTTATTGAGTTCTATCAGCGTCTCCGTGAGCAGTTGGGGATTTTTATCGTGCTCCCACCGATGTGGCCACACCAGGTGCAGAATCCCCTCCTCATTCGGGCATCTTTCCCGCGGCATCCAATGAAATTTCACAGGAAAGTAGATCACTTCGCATTTTGGCTCGATCTTCTCGCGAATCGCCTTGAGCTTCAAGTCAGGTTGAATCTTGAGAACAGGATTGATGTTGTCGAGGAATGATGATCGATTGAAGAAGGAATTAAAGACAATATCATCGGCCGCCAAGCTGAAAAAGCCCAAGAAATCGGGTGTTAAGATAGAAATCTCCTGTCTTTTCTTCACTTTTCTACTCTACCATGACATGATTTGGTTTAATCCATATTGGCAGTCACGCTCCTTAATCTCCCGGATGGGATAGACTAATTGGTTCTCGTGGAAATACACGATCTTCTTGCACTTCACCAGATCCGGTCGGATGCCCAGAAATTCCGCCAGATTCAGCACAGAACTGTGGAAAAGGACGCAGTTGAGTAGATATCGCAAACACCACACCTGGAACACTCACCAAGTGAAGAGAATCCTGTAGTCATGGTCCAGAGGGATGATCTGAGAGAAGTAGAGAGCACTTGTTCTGGCTCTCCAGTGCCACTTCTTTGCCGGCAGTGTGAAGAGATTGTACTCAGCCGGATTGATGCCCTCGAATATTGTGTCCAGCAGTTGCTTGTGTGATCCGCCGTAGAAGGGCTCGATCACCAAGATCCTCGCCGACTGCATTGGACCCGGGAGCGTTCGCCGGAAGCACAAAATGTCACTCCGGCTCTTCAGTCTATTTAAACTTCATCACACCCCTGTCCTGCCTCTGTCGTAGGACAATAAGCGACAAAATTCCGATACACAACACTTGCACTCTCGTCTACACGCCGCCAGATGTGGCCACTATCTATGGAGTTGCGTTTGCAATTCTCTCTGCACCAAAATGACTCCAAAATAATGATTTTCATTCATCACCATTGCGACGAATTTGCGTAAATCGTGCGAAAACAGAGCAAACAGAAGTGGATAACGGGGAACCACTAGCGCCCTGAGGTTCCCACACTCTGTCCACGGGCAGCGAATTATGAATGAATCCCACAATCCAATTGGCCATAATTTGCCGGAGATTTATTGAGGCCGGGAAGTGATTTGGCAGTTAAGTCGCCACTCTAATCTTATCACGTCTGCAGACAAAACAGCAAATTACGGGTTAAATAGAGTGGAAGAAACTCACCTTTTCCCTGGAGTTCAAGGTTCCTTGCACTCGGCCGCCCTTTGCATGGCAAAATCACCTGCATGTCATGCCGGCCAGATTCCTCCGATTCTAAAAATACAGCCACCACGCCGCCTGTACTGCGTGTGGGAGGGAGATGATGATAAATTGCATAATTTTCGAGCACTATTGCCACACATTTCATCAATAGTCGGACGTTTTTTTTTGCCTCCTCCGCCTCGATTCGGCATAATTGAGAGCGCCACACAGAAGCAGATGCTAATTGGCGACGAGGGGCGCAGAGCGTGTGTGTGTGTGTGTGAGACAAAAAGCAGTGAGGCTGCCCCCTCGTGGCTGACGTGAGAAATCGTTAGTCGTTTCAGGTTTTTCAGTGGAAAAGTTGGTGCGTCTATTCTTTTGACTATTTCTGAGGTAATCTGTGCCGGGTTTTGTGAGCAAGGTGCCAGGAGATCTCCCTATGCATCCGCCGAGACGTGGTACAGCGTGATTTTGTGCAATTGAGGACTCTTGGTGAGTGATTTTCACTGTTTTCTTGCGCTCCAAAATTTTCATGGTCCCCCACAAGCAGTCCCACATTTTCCTTGCCCCATTCAGCCCCTCGTGCTGTTGCCCTGGTGGCGAGAGAAGGTGGCCAGAGTTGATGTGATTTCGCCTATAATGTCTCCTACGACAATGTATCATGTTTGAAATCGCTGAATTACTGCCATTTCGATGTACATAGCGGAGTAAATGAGCGAATGTAATGGCCGCCGCCATCATGCCACAGTGTCAGATTGAGGTAAATAAGCGCCACACAGTGGCGCGCTGGTGTGTGTGTTGTGTTGTGTTGTGTGAGATAGCTGAAACTTCCGAGGGAGGTGTTTTTGTTCTTCGAACTCGCGATGATTTCCCCATAAAACGGCACTACCGCAAGCCATGGATTCTCGACTTTGATGTCCTCTCCACACACATAATCAAATTTGCAAACATTCAGCCCTTTGCAGAGTCTCCCGGCCTTGCGTGCGCCTTTTTTTCTCTGTATTTCAGTCCACTGCGGGAGGCATGTTGCAAATGTGAAGGGACGTGAAGAAAAAAATTGTGGGTGATATTGCCGAGGTATTTTATTTTTAAGGCACCCCATGTACACTGATATCGGGGGTTGTTTGCCAATATTTCATGTGTATTTTATTACGTAAACACTGAAATTGTCATCCCCTATTTTTTCCTCCTTCTCTCTTGCATCTTGTTTCTGTTTCACCGTTTTTTCTTCTCTCTGTCCAAAACGTCTAAAGAAGGGTGGAAACATTGCTCAATTTTCGGGCGTCAACATGGCCTAAGAAAATCACGAAAGTTACACCCAAAATCAATGCTTTCTTTGCGACTTTTCCAAAATTTATATTCGGCTAAAATCTCTTTTAGAAATATAATATTTGATAGGACATAAATAATTGATATTTTCGTTTTTACTTCCAATTATACAATTACAGTGTAGAGATTTTAAATAGCGCCCCCCGCGGCTCTGAGACATATCTGTGTGTCGCGAATTTCCACGTAAAGCTAGATGTCTGAAATTTTCCACCAATCTTCCTTCATTAATAACTAATGATCATGCCAAGTTTGAAGACATTCGGTCTAATCCTTAATCACTTTGTGATATCAAAACCGAGCCAAAGCAGAAAACAACCTGAGATTTCAAATAGCGTCGTCTCAGCAATCTTTGATTTTTTGTCCGACACATTTGTTTTGGGTTCTTAAAGTGGTTCAAATTAATCCGAGGTGTCTTCAGGATAATTATCCTGTGCATTTTCAATTTTTAACTGGACTTTATACGTGTTTGATATCAAAATTTGATTAAATGAATATCAAATTTTTTTCATTTTGCAAGTTTCTCACTTCCAACTCTCTTCTTTCTTTCTCTTCTTCATCTCTTTTATTTATTTATTTATTTACTCCTCTGTTTGACTCCAACTTGGTCTTCAGACTCTTCATGTGGTTTATTTTTAGAATTGGGATTCTTTTATTTTATCTCTTTTCCACGTTTCTTCGGGTATTAATATTAGAAGATCGTTGTCACTCAATTCTTGTCCACACATAATGGAAGAATGAACGTTTTTTTTAATGGTATTTGGGACTTTCCGGGTATTAAGGTGGTATTTTAATTTAATATTCCAGAGTGTGTTGCATTATTTGTGTCATTTTCGCATAATAGCAAATTACAGAGTCTCTAAAAAGTGAACATAACATAATGTGCAAAATAGTTTCACACAAGCTCTCAACCCCTCCCAGGTGGCTTCTTTCTATCATGCACACTTTATATTTTCCCGTTTGGTGGCGTTTCCTTTTCTCTCTCTCTCGCACATGCACGGGTTGTGTTTTGAAAGGAAATAATGAGCATTTTCTCCGCACGAGCATTCCATGTTTTCGTCATTCCAGTATAGTTAGCTTGGGGATTGATATCGGGTCGTACATATTCAGGGAATGTACATCAAAGTTTATATATTATGTACAATTTTCAGACATGTACATTCAATTGTATTTACCACTTTTCATCAAGTAAATAGAATGTGCGACTTTCAGTGGGGAAGACAGAGAGTGTGTGTGGGCAAAAAGCAGGAATGGGTGGATTTTTTTTTTGTTTCTACCATTTTTCACTCAACATGATTTTTTTTATGTGCACACAAAATACTCCAACCATTTTTTAATGTCCGAGGACGAGAATTTCTGTTGTTATATCTCTGGGAGAAGTAAATGAAAATTCATATCAGAATTAATTCCGTTTATTCTTTACTGAATGCTTTGCGAGAGTTTTATTAATAAAAATAGAGATTTTTTACTGTACAACAAAAAGCTATGGGGAGATATATCATATCAAGTATGCTTTGTACGTGTAAATATAATTTATTAACATGTAATATTTGTATCCTTTGAGAGAGGGTAGATGGAAGAGACGAGCTTCAAAAATAGAGAGGGAATCACTGTATCTTAATGTAACACGGCGGAGTGGAGGAAGTGCGGGAACAAGGATGGGCGGAAGAATCAAGGATAAAGTGAGGGAGACCTTATGTAGACACGTACATTATGTACTGAAACTCCAAACCACCTTTTCTACACTGATGCTTTTCCACCATGTACAATATCAAATATTTACCCCTTTCTCTCCCGGACATGAGAATTTGTATCTCGTCTTCCATCTTACTTCGCTCCCAACTCAATACCCGAGGTTAGACTCATGCTTATTCTGAAATTCGTATTATGTGTGTGTACAAAAGACGAGGGCTGGATTCCTAGGAAGAAGAAGGATATTATGTAAGTTTTCCATGGCAGTGCTTAATTGAAACGACTTGTCTATTGAATTTTCGCAATTTGCTTTTTCTGCCAATTTTCCTACATTTTCTTCTCTTCTCTATTCAACTCTGAATATCAAGCTCTAATGCCTTCATATTAATTTCTTCATCATTATAAGTGGGAGAGACATCAATTTCCGCCTTCCATTTATGTTAATTTACGGAGTTTCTTTTTTTTTATTCGCCAGAATTTTCCACTTTATTTTGGAAGAAATAATAAGTTCTGTTCTCAAGACAGTGAGACATGTTAAATACACATGGGAATTCTTTAAAAAAAAATCCTCATCAATTGGTTTGATGGAGAGGTTTGAAAGACACTAGAGAAACGAACTTCTGCTGAGTCATTTGTAGGTGAACTCATTTTAATTTTGACGTAAACACAATTTGAAATACTTTATTATATACAAAACTATTTCAATAATTCATCGTGTGCTCAAGTGTTTATTCAAATGTTTTCAAATTGTATAAACTGTATTGCGAACTGAAAGCAAGTTGTGAAAGAGAAATATTGTAAGAAGAACAAATTAAGAATAATATACGCATAATTTAAATATCAATAATAATCATGTGTATAAATTGTATAATTCTAAAGTTATTGCGACCTTCTGACCTACCCCAGTTTTGTATTATATTTGAATGATTTTTTTTTCCCCGTATCTTTATCCTGGCGCAGAGAGAGGTTTTGTGAAAACATATTATGGGTTAGGCTGTGCGCTGGTGAAGCAGGGGTTCTGACTTCGAGAGGGCACTCAAAGGCAATCCTGTGTATGTTTGGAGGGTACATATTTTATGATGCGACGGCAGAGAGCACGATAGATATCTGTGGAGTTTGTTGAGATGTGGACACATGCAGAAATTTGCAGACGCTATGACTATTTTCTCTCTCAAATGGAGGAGACAAAGGCGAGTGACAGAGATGGGAATTACAATGAATATGGTGTGTGATGATGGTGTGTGATATAAAGAAGTTTACATAAATTTTCCGCAGGGATATCGCAGCACAGGTTCTTCCTTCCCTCTATGCGCTGCTGTCTGTCACCCCTTTTCCATAGCCATAAATCGACTTTCACGCTCAAATGTCTTTGGGGGTGTGAAATTTTTCTGTGGAAAAAACCGAAAATAGCGTGTTGAAGTTGGCAGAAAAGAGAGGGTATGAAAAAAAAGTAGCAATTTCCCTGTGAAGCTGGCATTTATCGGATATGGTATGTGTGTGTATCTATTGAAGGAGGTGGAGGA